TAAAATTTTTAATTATATAAAATAAAATAAATAAAATTATTAATAAATCTTAATTATAAAGGCTTATTAATTATAAGCTATATTTTTTATATATTAATAACTTATATTATTATATAACTTATAATATATATTTATATAATTAACTTATATAAATAGATTTTAAAACCTTTATATAAAAGGTATCTAAGTTTATATATATAACTAATATTTATAATTAATATTAATTACTTTAATCTACTAAATAAGTTTTATTAACTAATTATTAACTAATTATTTAATAATAATTAAATAATACTAATTTTAAATTAATAATAATTAATTTTAAAATATTCTAATTAGTATAAAATATAATTATAAATAAAAGGTCTTCCTTAAAATAAATTAACTAATTAGTTAACTATAAGTAATAACAACTATTAATATTTACTATTTTACTATATACTAATTATTCCCTATTCGACCTAGTAACTTTTAAGATTTATTAAAAATTAAAATTATTATAAATTATAAAATTATTTAATTTTAATATTATTAAATATTATATATAAAATTATTATATAATTTAAATAAATTAATTAAAAATAAATAAAATAAAATTATTATTTTTTTAAAGGTTTTAACTTTTTATTTTATAAATAAATATTTATTTATTAACTTTATTATATATTATAAATAAAACTATTTAAAATAGTTATTTAATTTATTATATAAATTAAATTAATTAAATAAAATAATTATATTTTATTATTATATATAATATTTAAGTTTTATAATTTTAATAACTTTATAAAAAAGAAATAGTTATTAATAATTAAGTTTATAATTATATAAAATAGATTTTTATTTTTAAAAAAAGTTATTAATATTTAAATAGTTAATATATTTTTAAAAGTTAAAAATATAAATTTAATTTAAAATATATTAAAATTTATAAAATTTTAAATTTAAAATTAAATAATATAAAATTTAACTTTTTAAAAATATTAAAATTAAAAAATTTAAAAAAAATTTAAATAAAATTAAAAATTAAATAAAATTATAACAATATATAATTAAATAAAAACTAATTATAAAATTATAATTATAAATCTTTTAACTTTATATTTAAAAATAATAAATAAGTTATTAATTTTTTCAATTTATTATTAAAAATATTATTTATAAAATATAATTTTAATTATTTATAAAATTTATTTATATAATTAATTTATAAATTTATAATTTTTTAAAGGTCTTTATATTATTATTAATTTTATAAAAATTATATTTTAATATTAATAAATTTATATTATTTTTAATAATTTATATAAATTTTTTTTTTTATTTTATAAAAATTATTTTATTATTTTAAATTATTTTATTATTTTAAATAATTTATATTATTATAAATTATATTTTTAAAATAATTATTTAATTATTCATTTTATTAAAATTATATTTATATTTAATAAATTTATATTATTTTAAATAATTTATTTAAAAGTTTATATTTTATTATTTATTATATAAAAGTTTTATTTATATAATAATTAAGTTATATTATTATAAATTATTTATTTTAAAATTTTATTTATTTTTTTATATTATAAAACTTTTATTTTATATATATTAAATTATATTTTTAAAAAATTTAAAAATTAAAAATAAATAATTTAAATAAAGAATATATTAAAAAACCTTTATATAATAAAATAAATATTTAAAACTTTTATTAACTTTTTTATTATATATAATATAAAATTATTTTTTTTTAAATATAAAATTAAAAAATTTTTAATTATAATTTTTAATTAATTATTATTTAATTATTTTTATATTATAATTTAATTTTAATTTTTAATTTAATTTAAAGTTTTTAAAAATTTTATAAATATTTTTATTTTTATTTTTATAAATATTAAATTAAAATTTTAAATTTAAAATTAAAATTTTATAAAGTTTAATATATAATAAATTAAATTTATAATTATTAATTTTAAAAATATTTAATTATTTTAAATAATTATAAATTTAATTATTAATAATTATTTTTTTAATTATATAATAAAATTATTAAAATTATAAACTTAAATATATAAATTATTTATATTTTTTTAATTTAATATTAAATTAAAAATAAATAATTAAGTTTTAAAGTATATATAATATATTTTTAAAATTAATTTAATTAAATTATTATATAAACCTTTATAATAACTTTATAATTATTTATAATATTATTTATTATTAAAAAATACTTTTTATTCTAATATATTAAATTATATTTAATTAATTTAAATTAATATTATTTATTTTAATATAAATTAATTTATTAAAAATTAAAATTATTATAAATTATAAATTAATTTTAATATTATTAAATATTATATATAATATAATAATTATAATATTTTTTATTAAATTTAATTAATAAAAAGATATTTATTTATAAACTTTTAATAACTTTTAATAATTAATTATTAATAATTAATTATTTTAATATTATTTTTTTATTTTATATATATAAATTTAATTAATATATAAATTATTATATTATTTAAATTTTTTAAATTAATTTAAATAAATAATAAAAATAAAATTATTATTTTTAAAAATATATATAAGTTTTAATTTATTTTATAAATAAATAATTATTTATTAATTTTATAAATAAAATTATTTAAAAATAATTATTTAATTTATTATATAATTTATTAAATTAAAAATAATTTAATAAAATAATTATATTTTATTATTATATATAATATTACTTTAAGTTTATAATTTTAATAACTTTATTATAAAAAATTAATTATTAATAATTAAATTTTAATTATATAATAATAAATTTTTATTTTTAAAAGTTAGTTATTAATATTTAAAATAATTAATATATTTTTAAAAAATTAAATTTATAAAAACTTTAAATTTAAACTTAAAAGTTTTAATTAAAAGTTTATATTTATAAAATAAAAGTTTTATATAACTTAAAGAAAATTTAAATTAAAATTTAATATATAATAATAATAAAATATATTTATTTATTTTATTCTATTTTAATTTAATAATATAATAAATTAAATAATTATTTTTAAATAATTTTATTTATAATATAATAAAATAAGTAAATTTAAATAAAATTAAAACTTTAATTAAAAATAATAATTTTATTTTTATTTATTTTAATTAATTTATTTAAATTATATAATATATTTATTATTTATATATAATATTTATTAATATTAAATTATATAATTATAATTTATAATAATTTTAATTTTAATAAATTAATATAATTTAATATATTAATATAAAAATATATTTTAATAATAAATAATATTATAAATAAATATAAAAATTATAAAAGTTTTATATAATAAATTTAATTAAATTAATTTTAAAAATATTTTATATTTTATTTTTAAAACTTAATTATTTATTTTAATTTAATAAAATATATAAAAATTAATATTTATTTATTTAATAATTATATTTATTTATTTAATTTTTTAATTATTTATTTATAAAATTTATATATAAAATCTATATAAAATTATATATTTAATTAAAATATTTTAAATTTTAATATTTTAATATAAGTTTTTTAAACTTTAAAATTTCTTTTAATATTTTTTAAAACTTTTTATTTTTACTTTTAAAACTTTTATTTTTATTTTAAACCTAAACTATATATATTTATATTAATTAAATATTTAAATATTAATTAAATATTAAAAAAGTTAAAGTTTAAAATATTAAAAGTTAAAAGAAATATTAAAAAATTAAAAATATAATTTTATTTTTATTTTTTAATTTAAACCTTATTTAATTAATATTTAAATACTTAATTAATATTTAAATATATATAGTTTAAAATATATTAAAAATATAGTAAAAGTATATTAAAAGGTATATTTAAAGGTATAATAAAATATAATAGAAATATAACTTATATTTAAAATATTAAAATTAAAAGGAAGTATAAAGTTTTTAATATTAATTTAAAAGTATTTATAAATATAAAAGTTATTTAGAAAAATTAATATTAAATAAATAGTTAATAGAAATTAAATAAATATAATTATTAAATAAATAAATATTAATTTAATAAATAAAAATATAAATAATTTATAATATAATATTATTAATTTTATTTTATTATATAGTTTTAAATTATATTATTATATTATATTATTAAAGTTTATTAAAAACCTTTATAATAAATATATAAAATAATAATTTTTAATTTTTTTAATAATTTATTATAAAATATTAATAATTTTTAAAAATTATTTTTATAAATTTTAAAATTATTTAAATAATATAATTTAATATATTAATATAAAAATACTTTTAATAATAAATAATATTATAAATAATTATAAAATTATTATATAAAATTTTATATAATAAACTTAATTAAATTAATTTTAAAAATATATTATATTATATTTTTAAAACTTTAATTATTTATTTTTAATTTAATAATAAAATTAAAAATATAAATAATTTATATTTTAAATTTTTTTATTTTATATATTTATTTTTAATTTAATAATAAAATTAAAAATATAAATAATTTATATTTTATACTTTATATTTTATATATTTATTTTTAATTTAATAATAATATTAAAAAATATATAATTAATATATAATAAATTTAATAAAATTAAATATTTTTTTAAATTTTAATTATTTATTTTTTATTAAATAATAAATATTTAAAGATATAAATAAATTATATTAAAATTATATACTTATAGATAGTACTTAATATAAAATTTTAAATATAGGCTATACTCTTAGTCTCTTAGTCTTACCGCCAAAACTTTTTTCTGCCGGTTCTATTTTCCTGACCACTCTGATTTTCGGCCGCGCGGGCAATGTGCCGCCTCAACCAGACCTACCGTTACCATCAACACGATTGTCGCGTTGCTGCTGTTGGCAAACACATTGAGGGTTTCTCTTCTTCTTCGACAGGTGCTGCGATAATACACTAAGCTGCACAGTGTTTCGCGATGGCTTCACAGGAAAAGCCTATGCCGTTCATCAAGAACCTGGCATCAAGTGGTTAGTATCTTTGAAATGACCTTACTTGTCAAACGCCGCTTGGCTCACAAGTGCTTTCGCCGTCGCTGACCCGTGCCACTGACAGATCGCAAAACCCGTACCGCCGCCCTCGAGTCCCTCCGCACCTTCCTGTCCGCAAAGCACATCTCCTCCTCCCTCTCGACCCTCGACATCCTCAAGCTTTGGAAAGGTCTCTTCTATGCCCTCTGGATGTGTGATCGGCCCTTGCCGCAGCAGGCGCTCTGCCAGGACCTTGCCGATCTCGTCTGGGTGCTGCCCCCAACAGCCGTCGTTCCCTGGCTGAGAGGCTTCTGGGCCACGATGGCGCGTGAGTGGACCACGGGGATCGATGTGCTGCGCATGGAGAAATTCCTGCTGCTTGTAAGAAGGATGCTGGCCAGCAGTCTGGCGTGGATGCAGTTGCAGGAGCCGGCCAAGAAGACAGCACGTGCGAGGAAGAGGCAGTTGGACGGATCGGTCGAACGCCAGAGCCCTAGGTTCGACGACAAGAAAGTGGAGCAGATGTTAGGACTGCTAGCCGACTGGCCCTTCAGGCCGGACGAGGAGAGCAGGAAAGAGGAGGAAGAGGACGGCCTGATGCCCAAGATTGTTCCCGTTGGGCTGAAGCTGCACACATTGGACATTTGGGTTGACGAGGCCGAAAAGGCCCGCATGCTGGAGGAGAGCAAAGAGCCCGAGGCTGGGGACCACGGCAGGGGTAAACAGACAGCAGGTTCAGACGGCCTCCCAGGGGACGATGTCCTCCAACGCCTTAGGGGCCTTGTCGAGACGCTGCATTCCACGACACTCAGCCCGGCCGTGCGGAAACGCTCCAAGGAGTCCTTGCTTGACGAGCGCCTGGCTCGAAGTCGCCAGCGGCACGACCGCGATGAGCCGGGCGGGGGCGGTGGCAGTGGCCATGATGATGAATGGGTCGGGTTGGACTGAGCACACTGTCGACACCATTGCCTGCGAATGACACTTGCGCTGTGTGGGGGCACTGGTCGGCGTTCTCACTGGCAGCGAAACCCCAGCCGACGGGCTTCTGGCGGCCGGGTCGCCAGGATGCCATCGTTTCACCTCGCCTGGGTCTGTCCACCCTCGTGTGTGGCTGGTGGTGACATGGACCTTGCACCGGCACTGAACCCAATGTGCCAGCCGGGGCCTTGGTTATTATGGGTATGGCGCGGTCGCGCGCCCCCGGGGTGGGGGGGGGGGGGGGGCGATGACGGCACCGTGGGTGATCGGAAGCCGCAAGGGTGGGTGGGACTGACCTCTCCTCAATGCCTGGCTCGCCCTGTTTCGGACACCGAGGCTTCGCAGGAACAGGGTGGCACAGAGGCCGAGTCCATCAGTCAGGCCAGGGAGGCAGGCGTGTTCATTTTACAAATCTATTCTGTCACCCAGTCCTCGTTTGAGCGTGACCCGAGGCGTGCGGAGGCAGCAGTGTAATTGATATCGCCCTCGCTATGTACAAGCTGACGGCCGCAACGAAACCCAGAGCACTTGACTGAGTTAGTTCTACCTGATTATTAATTATCCAAATCCTATCCACATGCGCTCTCACGTGGCCCTGTCTCCCTCATCACCGGGGTATCACTGGTTCTTGTGCACAAAAGGTCTTCCCACAGCTCTCTCTGCATGCGTGTGACGGGGCAGCAGACGGCTACGCCATCAGCCGCTGGCTTGTTGTGACCTGGTCCCAATTCCTTGGGCCGTCGTGTTCCATTACGCCGCGCTTGGTGATCACCATGCCCAGGCCCTGGTGCACCTCGGCCTGAAACGGCTCGAACGGGACCTTTTCGCCATCGATGCTAATGTACCCATCTTTCTGGTCCTTGGGTATGATGCGGAAGGCCGAGACCTTGCGGTACGTGACGAGGGGGTTATCAAAGAAGGAGTTGTTGCCGACGGACAAGAGCAGGCCTGGAGCCTTGGGTGTGGGCACGTCGCCGTCGACCGTGACAAGGTCCATCAGCCCGTCGTTCAGCCAGGCGGCGTTGAAGAAGACGACATCCGGAGCCATATAGGCGACCTGCGTGCGTGTGCATTAGCGATCCCGTCATGTCCCACGTCGGGCCAGAGCCTCGCCCCCCCCCGGGGGTGATGGTGGAAGTGACTCACATTCCCACAGTAGAAGTTCCCGACCTTGTCCGCCCCAAGCTTCTCCCAGCCCTGGGGCAGTTTGTCGTTGATGGTGCCGTACTTCAAGGGTGGCAGGCCGGTAGTTGTGGGGGTGGTGGTGGTGGTGGCGGTGGTAGCAGTGGTGGCGGCGTCGTCGTTGCGCGTGGCATCGTCCGAGTCGGCAACAGAGCCCTGGGCACCGCCGGCGTGTGGGCGGGGGCCGGGCGAGGGCGTCATGTTGTCGAGCTCCAGGAGGGAGGAGTTCTCCCTCTCGCGCCTGTAGTGGTCCCTGACGCCATCCTTGTGGTGGATGTCGACCTTTGCCCACAGGTCGCAGGGGTAGACCTTCTTCTTGAGAATGCGCGTGATGACGCCGTAGGTGAAGCGGTGCTCGCCCATCCAGCGCAGGTGCTCGGTGGCGAGGTCGGCCTCGGCCATGATGCCGAGGGTCTGGCTGAGGAAAGACAGGATGCGCCTGTCGCCCTGGGTGATGCTGATGAGGTCGAGCGGGGTGGCGAGGCCCTTGACGATGGCCAGGGCGGCCAGGGAGGGCCTGTGAGTGCCAAAGGCATTGCAGGCGAGGGCGTTGCCGCTGCCGCAGGGGATGTGGGCGACGGCGACCTTGTGCAGGGCGCGGGCTGCGTCGGGGCGCCTGGCCAGGCCGTTGAAGACCTCGTGGGGCAGGCCGTCGCCGCTGCAGGGCACGATGATGTCGAACTGGTCAATGTCAATGTTCTCGACCAGGCCGACGGCCTCGCCCGAGAAGGTGGTCCGGTGCACGGTCAGGGCCATGCGCGCGGCGTCGAATATGGGCTTGACCTGGTTCTCCCATATCTTGACGGCGCCGCCGGGCCCGGCATGGGGGTTGACGAGGACGTAGGCGCGCCTCGCGCGGGGGGCGGGCCCGTACGAGCGGGCCATGAGCTGTTGTACCCATGCGGAGACGGACTCGGCCGTGGCAGCGCCGGGAGCAGGGGCCTCGGGGCCGAGGGGGAGGGCCAGCTTCGCAGCCCGGCGGCTGGTCTTGGAGACGTCGCGGGCGTAGTCGATGGTCAAGGTGTGGCGGGCACTGTCGAGCTCGGCCCAGAGGATGTTGTAAAGGGGTATGCGCCGCGGGTTGGGAGGCTGTGAGGGACCTAGCGCAGGGTCAGCGCGGCCGCTGGGCGTCTGTTGCCGACTCTTGGCTCGGAGGGGAGCTCTGAACGCACCTGAGGAGCCAAAGCCGCACGTCCTGCTTTTCTTGGAAGCACCGGCCCTGCCATCTGGACCGGGTTTCATGTCAGCACCTCAGGTGTCTGGCGGGGCAGCATGGGGCGGCGGAGCCGGCCGTACCTTGGATGATCAGGGAGTCGTGCTGTATGGCGAGGGACAGGCCTGGAGCGAGGCTGATGGAGCAGTCCGAGTCACCGGGCCCGGGCCCGGGCCCGGGCTCGGGCGCAGGCTCGGCCAGGTCGGGAGGCTGCAGCGGCATCAGGCTATCCCTTGAAATCTCACAGGCCCACGCCCAGGAGCGAGACCGTTGGGCCGGGAGGCCGGGACACGGGTGTGACGGCCGAGGCGCGAGCGAGCCGGACCCGGGAGCCCGAGCTGGACTGGAGCCGAGCGTGCCAGTCTTCGTGTCAGAGTCAGACGAGGGCTGGTCCAAAAACAAAACAACACAAAGAGTGACAGGCTGGGGAGGGAGAGGGAGGGCCAAAAACGTGCAAGTGCATGGAGTGAGTGAGTGAGTGAGGGTGTGTGTGAGAGAGAGAGAGGGTATGTGTGTGTGTGTGTACGGAGTATGTGTGTTGGGGGAAGGGACGGTGAGCCGACTATCCATATAAGTACCTACCTGCCTACCTGCCTACTTAAGTACCTACCTACCTTGTACCTGCCTACCTAGGTAGGTGACGAGGTAGGCAGGGTAGGTACCTACCTGGTAGATCGACTGCATTGGATGCCTGTCTAAGCAGGCACCCCCGGTGCTCCCGGGACGCTCGCACGGCTCTGGTCAGGATGTATGTATGCATGTACCTAGGTACCCAGGTATGTGTGAATTGTCCAAGTACCTAGGTACTCAGCTACTGTCTGTCATGTGCCCACGCCTGGCCAACCAAGACCATATATACAACTGCACTTAGAGACCAAACTGAGGCTTCTCCTCTGTTTTTTTCTTGTATGTCCTCCTCGAGCACATTGTACAACAACACAATGTATTTGTGCAGTTGCAAACCATTGCCGTAACAAGAGGCTTGTCTCGCACAGACCCTGTAGACAGCCCGCGGAAGCCGAGCCCGGCTGGTCATGCACCATGGAACATGGACACATGGACTGACTGACTGACTGACTTATCACTAGCCCGGCCACGCCAGCCAGCCAGCCTTGCCTCGCCAGGCCGGCCCAGCTGCCCTCCGGCTCCGCCCTCGCCCTCGCCCTCGCCCTCGCCCTCTGCTCCCTCCTCTCCCGCAGGGACTGCCAGCAGCGTACAGGCTTGGTTCCGTGGCTGCATTGCTTCTTTTCCTCGATTGTCCGTCTTCAACAAACTATCTACAGTCTTGCCAATCCGGCCTGCAGCCAGCCCACCTGCCCTCTTTCTTTTTTCCCTTTCCCCCGCCCTTGCCTTCGACAGCCAACCCTACCTATCCAACCGCCGCCCCTTTCTTTATATGAAGACCGACGACTCGGGCCACTTCTGCGCTGCCGCCTTCTTGAACTCCTCGAGCTCCTCGCTCTTCCAGCCCCTCAGCAGTTCCTGCGCATCGCTGGCGTCCCTGAGCTCCACTCCCTCCATCTCCAGCAGGCTTGTTACCTCCTTGCCCAGCCTCCCCCGGTCCCCGCCCAGCCTGTCTTGCACGCGGATCGTTGCAAGCACGTGCGGCGCGCTGCTTTCGTGCCTCTTCCGGAACCCCTCGTTGTGCTTGGTGAGGTCCGTAGATGCCGGGATTTCCGTAAACTCCGCCTTGATGACCTCGGCCACCTTGGGTGGCAGTGTGCCGGCCTCCTGGTCCAGCGCCTGCCTGAGCCGCACCGCCTGTTCGTGGGCCACGGCGTTCTCCCTGTCCAGCGCAAACACCGCCTTCAGGCAACCAAGCGCCCGTATGTACTTTTCTGTTTCGGCCAGGGGGGTCAGCAATGTGGTCTTGCCCGGCACGGGGCGGGCATGACTTACTCCTGAGGATCAGCACCTCGAACGCCGTCGTCTGCGCATCAATGCTCTTCGGGCTGCACGCTAGCATCGGGCTGACAAACTTCATGGCTTCTCCCAGCGGGTCCGTCGTGGCCGTCAGTTTCTGCCCTAGCGGGTCGTCGTCCTTCTTCTTGAGCGCCTCCGCGTCCTGCTTTCCTTTCTGGCCCTGGTTGGGGTTCTGCTTGGCTGCCCTCTCCGCCGCCTCCCGCTCCAGCCGCTGCGACTCCTTCTTTGCCTTCTTTGCCGCCTTCTTCCTCTCCAGGGCGTCGTCACCATGCGCGTCCCCTGATCCGTTGACGCCGTTGGCCTCCACTGCCGCCCGCTCCTCGTGTAGCCGCAGGTACGCGCGTGCGGCACCGATTGCCACGCGCGTGTACATGGGGTGGTCCCGGAGGTGGTCCTCCCACCTCACCATGTCGACATAGGCCCGGATCATGCCCTTGCGCAGCGAGAAGCTGTGGAAGTCGAACTGGTCCTCCTGCCACACGTCAAAGATGTTGTAGACCGCGTGGAACCGCTTCAAGGCTATTCCCTTGTTTCCCAGCCGCGCGTGGGCCTCGCCGTCCTCGGTCAGGAACCAGACGCTCTGCATGTCCAGGAGGTCTGCGAGCGGACCGCCGGGGGTGTCGGCCTTGGTGAACATGCCCATTGTCCTGAGTGCCTTGTCGCACTCGTTGTTCCGCAATTGGTACTTGGCTGCCTTGGTGTTGATGTACCGATCCCTGGTGTCGAGTGCTCGGGCGTGGTCCATGGCCTCCGAGGCCCTGGGCAGGTTCCCGTGGTGCTTCCATATGCGGGCCTTGGTCATGGCAAAGTCGACGTTCTTGGGGTCGAGCTCGATGGCCTTGTCCACGTACTCCATAGCCCTGGCAAGGTCCCGGCTCTTGGAGTAGTTGTAGTGCTGGGCCAAAAAGTACAGGGCTGCCCCTTTGCCCTTGGAGCTGTCCCCATTGGCATGCTGCCCATCTGCCGTGTCCAGGTATTCTTGCACGAGGGCAGGCAGGGTTGCCCTCTTGAAATCGTCACTATACAAATGCTTCAGGTTGGCAAAGGTAGACGGCACGCCCTTGTCCAGGACCGCAGCCAGGTACTTCTTCGCTGCTTCTCGGAACTCGTCGCCTAGACAGGAACAAGAATAGAGACGTCAATTGAAATCCCGAGAGACAAGATGGTCTGGGGAAGGGGGGAGGGGGAAGGGGGGGAGGGAGGGAGGGAGGGAGGGAAGAACCAGTCGTGGATTCTGTTTCGGGTTGCTTGGGTGGTGCTCCTTGCACACCTGCACATACCGCTCAAGAAGTCCAGGGGAAGTCGTTTCGCGGCGTCTGAGCGGGGCGACTTTGCAACATACTCGTCATAGATCGCCTTGCGTGCCGCGTGGTCATCCTCGGCCAGGTCAAGTACTGCGATAAGGGAGTCGTAATATTCAGGATGATCAGGGTTCCGGTCAAGAAGCGCACGATAGGCCCGGGCAGCCTCATCCTTCCTCCCCAGCTGGGTCAGGTACTTGGCTCGTGCTTCCATGTAGGCCAGGCGGTCCAGGTTCTGCTTGCAGTTCGAGTCAAGATGGTCCAGGGCCCTCTGGGTATCGCCGGTCTCGGCGATGATCAGATTCCGGTACATGATGGCCTCTGCGTGCTCTATATCTGTCTTTGGGGGAGGCGTCTTGAGCGTCTCCTCAAATGTCTTGAGGATGTTCTCAGCCTCGGTGAGGTTGCCGGCGAGGTGGTGGGCGATGGCCAGGCCGGTCCAGCTCTGCCTCAGCTGGGGCCGCTGCTGCAGCATGGAGAGCCTGCTCTGGACGTAGCCGTGGTAGTCGCGCATCTGGATCTGAAGGATGGCAAGGTCCCGCTGGATCTGGCTGGAGTCGGGCTCGAGCTTGAGGGCGAAGCGGTATGCCTTGATTGCCTCCTCGAAGTTCTTGTTGGTGCGGTAGAGCAGCCCATAGACGTGCCAGCAGATGTGCGACTTCATGTCGACGGTCAGGGCCTCCTTGCCCAGTGCAAAGGCCTCGTCGGTCTTGCCCTGGGCGTTGAGTATGAGGGCCTTCATGGCCATTGTGTCGCCGTGCCTGGGGCTCTTCTTGAGGATCTGTTCGGCAGCCTTGAGGCCACGCTTGTATTGTTTCTCCTCATAGTTCCGGACGACCTGGCGGAAGAGGTTCTGCTCTCTCGTGCTCAACTTCTGCGACATTTTCCGACGGATGGGCGTGGCGCCGTGTCTCTTTGAGAAGGGCGTGTTGTGCGTTGGGGGTGGGACGACGGGATCTGCGGTGGGCAAAAGACCTTGTCAGCTACCTGAGCGGGTCGCAGGGGGCGCGCAGGTACGGAGTACACAGTCAGCCGCCTCGCAGGCAGGTATGAGGTATGGGTGGGTGGGTTCAGGTTGGTGCAACGGAATGCCCGTGTTATGAGTTCGGGAGGTGAGGATGCCAGCTCGCTACGCGCATGCCCGGGCCGGGCAGGATTGTCAAGGCAAATTTTTGGCCGTGGCCCCGGGGGCGGAGTGTGGTAGAGGCCAGGCTGTAGGATACAGAAAGGGGTGGTGTGAGAAAGGGTGGATTGGATGTATGCGTGCGCATGCGCGACGCCGACTGTCAAAACTTACACGGAGGCACGGAGCAAGACACGTACAGGAAGCTGCTCCCGGCAGAGGTGGGTTGGAGGTAGGTCAGGTCGCGGCACGACAAGCCTCTGTCCTAGCCTGGCTCTACTGTAGGCTCCCCAAAGCTTGCCGTTAGCAGGACGTGGGGTCATTGGCTCTCCCCCACCGCCATGTACGGGAGTAGGGGACATACCACGAGTAGCCAGGCCAGGTACAGGACCATATGGACAGAGCGCCGGGACGGCACCAGCCGGCACCAGCCGTCGAAGGGCGGGGGGGGGGGGCGGGGGGCGGGTTGGTTGTGGGTTTCTCAGTTTACCACGACCTAGGATACGTAGTGCGGCTGGACTCGAGACAAGCACAATTCCCATGAGCCCAACTGCTGGCCTCAGTGACCGACCGGCAGGAGGACACATTGGCGTCTCACGGCAGCAGGAGGACAGAGGGCACGGCCGCATCTGTCCTGCCAGCTCATGACACCAGTGCGAGCACCATGGACGAGCAGTCTTGGACAGTCATGCGCCCTGCCCAACGGCCTGCTGAGCAGTCAGTCAGTCACGTCAACGGTCGAGGCGGTTTCGTTTTGTTACACCCTAGGTCACCAACCACCTCCAGAGCGCCTGGGCAAGAGCCAGCGTCTGTCAGTCAGTCAGTCAGCCTGCCTGCCTGCCTGCTAAGTCTATCTCGAGTGGCCTGCCCGATGTGTGGCTGGTTCCCAGTGGAGAGGAGAGAACAAGCCCGCGAACCCCACCTCATGCGCCGTTGCCGTTCCTGGCTCTCCATTCCGCCATGGCCTTCTCCCAGCTGTCGGCCGGTTCGCCGCACCTCTCCCGAACGAGGCCCCATGTCCTGGACCTGACTATGTTTTCCACGCCCTGCTCCTGGCGCAACAGCAAAGCCAGCTGAGTTGTCCTTGGCTCTCGAGGGAAGTGGCGCGCCGAGTAGGGGTCAAGCCTCTCGTCGACAAGCCTCTCCCTGTCCTTCTCCTGCTCTGCCTCCCCCACTGTGGCGTCAGGATCGTCAGGATCCGGGCTGGTGGCCACCAGCGCGCAGTAGCTCAGGACGTCGGTGCGGGCCTGCCACGTGGGAAATAGAACCTGGTCCTTGAAGTTCTGGCACGAGCGGGGTGCAATGTGCCCGCGGGTCTGTGGTCTCGAGGCCCGCTGGGAGGTGGAGGCGGGGTCGAAGCCGCGGGCGGCGGGCGTCACGAGGGCGTTGAGGCTCTGGGTGATGGAGTCGTCCAGCGCACCTCGGGACAGGCGCAGGAAATCTGCAGGGTAGCAAGCGCACGTGTTAGCAGCCGGACAGGCCCGAGTCCGGGTCGGGCCAGGCGGGCATGGGGACAAGCGCACCACGCAACACAGTTGTTGAAAGGCAGAACTGCGGTGTGAGTCTGGGCTGCGCCGGCGGCTGCTCGGCCATTGTGACCTCCCGAGGCTGTGTGTTGGGAGATGGGCCAGGATCGCCCGAGGTGGCCGGGTCCGGGTCCGGGTCCGGGTCCGAACTCTGCCGCCTCGACCAGAGGAGGGAAGCCACTGTTACTGCTGGTGCTGTGAGTGCCTAGACCGTGTATTCTGCCAGACTTGGTCGGTGGCCGTCGGTCGGTGGCCGTCGAGGAGTGGTGGGGAGATGTGAAAAGAGGTGTCCGGGAGTGCCTGACGCCAGGCTTAGCCTTAGCCCGCATGTGTTGGCGTCATGGCAGGGAGGCAGGGAGGGAGGCAGTTGGAGCTCAGTCGTCCCACTGCGCGGCTGCGCGGGTGGGGCGGGCTCGACCGGATCTGGACTGATTACTTAATAGGCAGCATCTCGGAGCACACTTGGGGTGCTCTCAGCTGACCCGCGCAGACCTCGACCACAACCCGTCGCAACGGGACACGTGCAAACGACCAGCAAGTTGGCCGGCCCGAAGCCATCCTGTGCTCTGTTGCCGGCACGCCACTCCCGTGCTCCAAACACCGGGCAGCACATCTCACAGTAGCTGCTAACATGTCGTATCTGCAAGAGCCGGGGGCCAAGATAGACCGACGGCCTGCTCGTGGCAGAGACCAAGGCCAGACCAGAGGCAATCCGACGGGCCCATCCCTCGGGAAGGGGGGAAGGGGGGTGGGCACGAGGATGGGCACGAGGGTGGGCTGGGGGTTGGGTGAAACGGAAAAGAAGAAGGCCGGGATTGTTTGATTGGGGTTCAGAGACTGTGCAAGCCAGGCGGCCGGTGAGTCGGCCAGCCGACAGGGGTTCAGATTGATGTGAGCTCGCCAATCTCGAACCCCCCCCCCTGCCCGCTCTTGCTTCCGCGGAGCAACAAGACTGTGACCCAGGCGAGACGCAGCGTCTGCGCTGTGCGATGTGCGATGTGCGATGCGAGATGGGGGATGGGGGATGGGGGATGGGGGATGGGAGGGAGCGACTCGTTGCCCCGCCCAGACCTGGGTCTCGCCCGACGGGTCTCGCGGGCAAAGGACAAGAGGGAAAGGAGAGGGGACCGACCACGTCCTTTGGGATCTCTTGGGCGGGACCTACGCATGTGGTGTCACGCAGGCGCCTCTCTTGTGCGTAGGCGCTGGACAATATAATATGGGAGGGGCGCCAGAGAAGCCATGCCCCAAAGAAGCCATGCCCGGCATGTACAAGGACAAGCTCGGGAAGGGTACGAGTCGGATATGCAGGTGTTTTGCCAGACATGTGCACCGGTCAAGGACTCAAGGCACACAGCAGGGACATCCGTCACACAGGCGCACATAACCACGGAATGGTCTGATTCAGGGGCTGGCCGGCCAGTGACGGTCCTGGCTGACAGCCTGCCAGCCTGCCAGCCTGCCAGCGCGGAGGAAGCTGCTGTCGGCGCCAAACCTTGAATTAAGCTCCCGCTAGGGCAGGCCTAACGGGCTCGCGTATCTTTATCAGGAGGTGAACGGTACAGGGCCCTTGGTTCCCCCTTCACCCAACGGGCAGAAGCGAGACGGCAAGCGAGGCAAGCCGAGACGCCAGCAGAGCTTCCTGGCGGCCCTGGCCTCGTGGTCCCTGGCCTCGTGGTCCCTGATCCCTGGGTCCGCCATCTGCTAGGTGCTAGGCTGGCTGTTATTAATACGGACACCAAGTAATATCTGAAGCTGTCCAGTGCCCACCCATCGGCTGCACTGGCAGCCTGGGGGGCGGCTGCCTGCCAGACTGCCAGGACTGCCTGACAGCCCAGACTGCCAAACCGGTTCGCTGCGGTGCATGCAGCTCCCCTGTTCAGGAGGACCTGTCATCCCATTTCATCCTAATCTCACCCACGGTCGGCAATCTGTCGCTTGATGTGTCCCTGCCCGCCAGCCCGCCAGCCCGCCAGCCCGCCAGCCCGCCAGCCCGCATGCCTGCCAGCGAGACCTCCCCCAGAGGCATCCGTCCCTTCCACTCGGCCGAGAGCGCGTTTTGCAGCGCCCTGCGCAACGTCGACCCAAGGGGGTTGACGACATGCTCACAGCCACAGCCACAGCCCGCCGTGCCCCAAGACAGAGAGAGACACTGACCACTGGCCATGCAAGATTTCCTCATTTCACTCACACAGCAGGCGGTTGCGTTTGATTGTCAAACTGGAGCCCGGGCCGTTCGAGGTTCATGGTTGTGGTTGAAATGGCCTGCCCCCCCCCTGGCCCCCTGCCCCCTGCTCCTCCCGCCCCTGGCAAAGGAGATGGATGGCCGTACCTACCTACATAGGTAGCCAAGCACCCTGGCGTGCCCGCCAACCCCACAGGGCCCCCCCGTCCCCTGAACCACACTGGGGCAGGGCGGTACGGAGTACAGTCCGGGGCTGACACAGGCATCCCTCAGCTACTCGAGTACCTGGCCGGGTATGGACCTGTGTGCCACGCTGAAATTGCGACCGCGGAGGTACGCCGACGGGGTTGACGGGGTTGACGGTAGCCTCGCCCGCCCGCCATGAGGGCCCTGCCAGCCAGCCCGCACTGCACAGTGCTGTGGGCGCAGAGGGGAGGAGGGGACGGATGATATGTGACAGGTCATGGCCAGAAAAAAGTACGGCGCAGGACCGTACGGCGACTACGGCCACGGACGGCATGAGACTGTACATGTACAATCACTGCCCCCTGAGGCCACGTCCTGGCCCCGCTGTGGAGAGGTACAGGTACATGCCCAGGTGGGCAGCCATCTCCTCCCCCCCCCCCCTGCCCAGCACCTTGCCCGTGGTGCCGGCCCCCTGTCTCGCTGACCCTCTTCCACCCCACACCACCTATCCACTGCATCCAACGCGAATTTTCCCTCCCTCTCTCTTTTTGGCTTCATTGCCCACCCTCGTCCGTCGGCACGGGGCACAGTCCAGTCGGTCCAATTCAATTCACCTCGGGGGCTCCATAAAAATTTGGATGTGCCCCTAAGTAATAAAAGCACGCCCAAAATGGACTACCCTCCTTCGACCTCAGGCCGGTGTACATCGCCGACGCCGCCGCAGCAAAAGCACGAGTACCAGCAGCAGCAGCAGCAGCAGGCGAGGCCACAGCCCGAGGCGCACACGCAGCACACGCAGCACACGCAGGAGCACGCCCAGGAGCACGCCCAGGGCCATCGTCTGCACCGGTTGGGGTTGGCATTTGGATTGGGATTGGGATTGGGATTGGCATCTGCATCAGCATCTGCATCAGCATCAGCATCAGCATCAGCACCACCTGCACCACCCGCGCCACCTGCACCTGCACCTGCACCTGGATCCAGCCAGGGACAACTGCTGGACTCGGCCCTGCCGCTGGCAGCATCTCTCAGTCTCGGTCTCCAGAGCCCACGACGACCACCAAGCTCCCCACGCGCTCCACCACCACCCACGGCCCCGTCTTGTTCTGGCGCGTCTGGTCCTGCACAACCACCGCCCTCCTCCTCCCTCCAACCTCCTCGTTCTTGCTCGTGGCCCAGCTCTCCCCGCCAGCCAACTGACCAAGAGCCCACGCCTGCCCGCACCCACGCGCCGCCCGCCGCCGCCGCCGCCGCCTCCGCCTCACCACTGCCCCAAGGCCCACGACCTGCACAGAGTTTGGACGCCAGAGGTGAAGCTCAGCGCCGGCCCCCGAGCCCCCGGCCTGCCAGCTCCAGCTGCAGCGACTCGAGCAAGACCAGCGTCCCGAGTGCCCCTGCAACCACCGCCGCCTCCAGCGCCAGCTGTAGTCCCGGCTCCAGCGACACCGGCAAGGACCGCGACGGCAGCAGAGAAAGAGGCCCGGCTACTCTGGCGACCTGCCCTCCGCCGTCCTCACAAGGCGTGGGCCCTCCGTCGCCGCCAATGTCACACCCTCCCGCCCCAGCTGGCCCCCGCCAGCCTCAACAGCAACAGCCTCCTGAGCAGCAGAAGCATGCCCCGCCGGCTCTCCAGCCCGTCAACTATCCCGGGTCCCACTACCATCTTCACCCAGCACAGCCCGGCCATGCACCCCCTCCGCATCCCCCTCAGTACGGCTACCCGCCTCCCGGCCAGCCCGTCGATCAGTACCGACAGAGCCCGACCGGCCCGCCGCCTCACTCGCTGGCCCTCCCGAGCATGAGGAGCTTCGACCACCAGCAGCAGGCCCAGCCGCAGCATCCTATCCAGCAGCATCCTCAGGGCCAACAATACCCTCACCAGCCCCAGCCCCAGCCCCAGCCCCAACAGGCCCACGGACAGCACCCGCCGCCGCAGTACGCCCAGCACCCGCAACACCACCCCATGGGCTCTACGATGGCCCCCGGGCCGCACATGGGCTACTTCACGATAAACCAGCAGCCGTACGCCATGCACGACCCCATGGGGATGCGGTACGGCTTACCGCCGGGCCTGTATGACCCGCGCATGCAGCTTAGTGGGGGGAGGCACAAAAAGGTACGTGGCAGAGCGGCGGAAACGCGCACTCGTCTTTCTGTTACTCCCCGGGGAGGGGGTGGCCGTCTGTTGCGGCATGCGAGCAAGCATGCCCTCCCGCCCGGGAGTGGCGGCGGCGGCGGCGGGCTTGCCCAACACCGCACCGCTGTCCAGCGTCATCTCGGCCATCACCACCGCCATCACCACCACCATCATCACCACCACCACCACCACCGATGGAGCGGAGTCTGTCAAGTCATGTCTTTCGCTCTTTCCCTGGGTGTTGCTGACGGTGGGGCTCGGTTGCTAATAGGAGATCAAGCGTCGGACCAAGACTGGGTGTTTAACGTGCCGGAAACGACGGATAAAGGTACGTCGTCCCAACACTTTGTATCAAAATCTACTCTCCTTGCCGCCCCTGATTGTTCCACCGTCTGCCTGGAACACCCACGCCCCTTTCAATTCCATTGTTGCCTCACTGTCTCCTGGCCTGCCTTCTTGGCGTTGCGGCGAGGACGCGGGCCGGGCACTATTCTGCAAGCGAAGAATGGTGTCAATCGAGAAGTGCTTGCATCCTTGTCGCGGGTGACGGAAGCCAGCGGGCACGCGGCGGATGGGCAAGAGGGATTGGCACCCCGCCAAAACTTCGTTCCGTCCCGTCCCGCCGCGTGCTCGGTCATGCGACGAAGCCCCATCTCTCTCTCTCTCTCTCTCTCTCTGCCCGCACCTCTCCCCTCGCCTCGCTCCCTCGTTTCGGCCAGCGTCTTGGGCCAGCATCACCCCAACACACACACACACAGCGCCCCCCACCCGACCTGCTGTGCACGCATACGCACCCGAGTTGCCGATCTGTGTGAGCTGACCCGCCCGCCGCCCGGTGGTCCCAGTGTGACGAGACACACCCTACCTGCAACAACTGCAAGAAGTCGAAGCGCGAGTGTCTCGGCTACGATCCCATATTCAAGCAGCAGCAAACCCCGTCGTCGCTCCAGCCGGCCCCCACCGCCAGCGCCGGCCCCGGCCCCGGCCCCGGCCCCTCGCCATCCGCCCCGGCCACATCGACAGCAGGCCAGTCAGCTTCCTCGGCCAGTGCTGCCCCGTATACCACCCACCCGACGCCGGTCCTCACCCCAAGTGACCCGCCTCCTGCCCGCGAATCATCAGATGACAGCACTACCGTCAAGAACGAGCCCTTCGAGCCCGCCAGACCACCCGTCGACATCGACCCGGCCTTGGACAAGGCTGCACCTGCCCCTCCCCCCAACTCCGACTTCGGCGTGCTGCAGCCCGGAGAGGCACCGCACCTCAGAGGTGGCCGCTCCCCTTTCTCAGCATCCTCCGCCCCGCAGCAAGCACACACGCTTACTCAGGTTGCTCAGTAAAGATGCTCAAGGTCGATGAGATCATCGACAGTTCCGGCGCCGCGCCTCGGATCGAGACGACCCTGAGGCCCACGCCGCAGTCTGTCGAGGAACTCACAAAGATCTACTATGAGATCTACGTTCCTGGCCTCTGCCAATTCTTCGAGTCGCAATGGTTCAACTTCCAGAGCCAGGGCCACAATTCCATTTCCGTATTTCTTCACAACGACCCCCTCATCTCCCTCCTGGGCAGTTTCCTCGTCTCCCTACACACCGTCAATGCCGACCCCAACCACTTCTCCTACTGCGGCCACCTCGAGACCCGGGTCGTCTGGGCTCTGGCCAAGCTGGCATACACCATTCCCTCCGGTGTCAACATGCCGCGAGATGATCCTCTGCCAGAAAACAACCCAAGCGAGACTCGTGTAAGCGGCCTTCTTCCCTCCTTACCCCCCCCCCCTCTTCAGTTTTCCGTATTGCTTGGTGTTGCTGCAGCAGCTGACACTGGTTGATACTGCAGAACCGCGTGCAGGTCTTTGAGGCGCTCTTGAGCGGCGAGGTGCTCGCAACGAACCCCCTGATCCCGCCCCCAAGAAATGCGGACCAGCACCGACGCAAGGAGTACGAGTTCTGGTATTCCCTGGCCGAGTTCCTACGGCTCCAGGACCAGGCCGGGCGGGAGCATCATCTCCAGAGGCTTCGGAGCCTGTTGGATGGCCGCGAAAACCGTGACGTGCTCTACTCGCTTGCCGTCATACGGGATCTGGGCCCGCGCTTTGGGCCCGGCTACGAGAACAAGATCCCGGATCATCTCGACGAATGCGAGCCACGCAACAAGCTCCACGTGGCCACGCAGTTTATCAAGGCAGAGGCCTCTGCCACGGGCGGCACGACCAACGTCGTTCGCCAGCTCGCATCCGTGGCATGCCGGGCGCTCGTCAACCCTGGATTCAACATTGCACGTAAATTCTAGCTTAAATACACTGGCAACTGCCACCAATCCCATTGACTCTTCTGTGCGTGTAATCCCACATGGGACCGCGCAAGCCGCCCTGACATCGACGGCAACGACGACGAACAACAGAGATAGCATTGCATGGCTGTGGGGCACGGATTAGCATTGATGCGCTGGATTTCGGCCTCATGATACGGCCGGCACATGTGTGAGCGATTGTTCTTGCTTGATTTCATTCTTCCTTTTTTCTTTTTTTTTTTTTTTTTTTTCTCGGGGCCGGGTGGTGGGGAAGGGGGTTTATTAGGTTGGTCGGACTGGGGTCGTTTGTCCATGTTGGCTCCAGCAAACCGTCAACGGGCAGAGAAGCGCAGTTACTGTAATACATATCGCATCAAAGTGAAAGGCGGATGGTGGTGGTTGGGGCAGTGGGCTTGGGGGGGCGGGGTGGGCAAGGCAGCTTAGTTAGTTAGCTAAAACAAAAGGGGAGACAGACACGGATGCAGCATCAGGCATGGACCCTTTGGCGGGTCCATGGCCTGACCAGAGCCATATTGTTAATCTTAATTGACAAGAAACAGGGGAGTCTGTCTGAAGCATCTCGGCCAGGGACTTGGTAGTTGTATTTGTTGTGGTGCTACGTAGACGTCCGAACAAAGATGGGACAGGCGTTGTGGACGGACAGTGGACACTAGACAGAGAGAAGGGGGGAGGGGCTCGTTATGTGGGGACACGAACATGTGGGGTAGGTAGGTGTACGGAGTAGTACTCGTCCGTATACCACCGAAGCGACGAGGCTGCCCGCGGTAGTGTCGTCGACGCCCGCCCAATCACCCTGGGCCGAGACCTTGGTTGACACATAGTACTGCACACACATACAGACATGCATATATACATACACATATATATACATACACATATATATACATACGTATATACATACATACCTACCTACCTAGGTATAGTATATGATAGCAACCCGCCAGCCGGGCCGGCTCTACTGGACGCAGGGCGTCTGCTCCCCTCCGCACACTCTTTCTCCCTCCTTGTCTGCCTCATCCCTCCACCCTGCCCGCTTGTCAGTCGGTAAGCCCTCTCGACATCCCCAGTGCCTGCATGCTACCAGCTGAAGCGTCCGGACAGAAATGGCAACTTCCCGGCCCAGAGTGCTCCAGCTCGGTGCGATAAAACACGCGCACGAGACTTGGGATGCGGGTAGGTGACGGTATATGGCGGCCGGGGCCTTGTGGACAGACGGCTGACCAAGCTTCCAGTCGGCGGCATAGCCGACATAGTCGTGCCCAGGTCGACCGGCAGGACCGGGTTCCTAGCCGAGGCGGCCTCGGGGGCCTTTGACGGGTGTCTCGTGGCCTACCGTACCTTTGGGTCCGTCTCCATCACGGGCCGCATCGACTTAGACCTCCTCTCGGCCCTGCCGCCGTCGCTCAAGTACATCTGCCACAATGGCGCTGGCTTTGATCAGATAGTAAGCCGCACACACACACACAAAGTGAGACTTGCTGCTGACTGACAACCCCGCGTGGGGCTCCAGGACGTCCCAGCCTGCACCAGCCGAGGCATCAAGGTGTCCAATGTGCCCACGGCTGTCGACGATGCCACGGCTGATACCGCCATGTTTCTCATGCTCGGCGCCCTGCGGAACTTCCCCCTGGGCGTCCACAACCTCAGGCAGGGAGGCTGGCGGGGCCGCGAGGACGACGGGACGCTGCCCGCACTGGGACATGACCCGCAGGGCAAGAGCCTGGGTATCGTCGGCATGGGCGGCATAGGCCGCAACATGGCCAAGAAGGCCCTGGCCTTTGGCATGAGAATTCTGTACCACAACCGCACCAGGCTGCCCGAGGATGTCGAGGCCGAGCTGGGCGGCGCGCAGTATTGTGACTTTGACACCTTGCTGAAGACGAGCGACGTGCTGAGCCTGAATCTTCCCCTAAATGTGCGTCCCTCTGTGTGTTTGTGCATATATACACATATAATATATATACACACACATACAACCCCCCCCCCTCCTGTGTCTGCTCAAGGACCCACGAGATGCACAGGTGCGCTGACCAGGCCTCCGCAGCCACACACCAGGCATATAATCTCCACGCGCGAGCTGGCAATGGTCAAGCCGGGCGTCGTCATTATCAACACGGCGCGGGGTGCCGTCATCGACGAGGCCGCCTTGGTAGAGGCTCTGGACTCGGGCAGGGTTGCCAGTGTCGGGCTGGATGTCTACGAGAATGAGCCAGACGTCCACCCGGGCCTGCTGGCCAACCCACGGGCCTTGCTGGTGCCGCACATGGGCACATGGACGGTCGAGACCGAGGCCAAGATGGAGCAGTGGACCATGGCAAACGTCCAGACGGCCATCAACCACGGCCGCCTAAAGAGCATCGTCCCAGAGCAGAGGGGCATGGAGTGAAGGATGGCAGCTTTTCATAGCAAACAGTCTACCAGCCCTTCCCTCCCGAGAGAACGCCTCGGTTGCCTCTCGTACTGGCATTTTCAGGCACATACATACTTGTACCTTTCGCTTCCCTATTGCGCCGTAAAGACAGACATGATCCTTGTCAAGAGAGGGCATGATTCCTTTTCACCCTTTCCTTTGGCGGGGTGTGTATTACCTGAACACAAACAAACGTCATCGGCTGAATGCTGAGAACATGCTTATGCACACTTCACATGATGGGGCGTGTTGACATGAGTCCTCCAGTCTTTATTCGTCTCGTGTCTACCATCTCCCGGCTACGTTGAAGAGCCCAACTACTGGCCCAGTCGCCCGCAGGCCGGGCCAGGTGTCGATGGGGGCATGAGCCACCCACGCAGTATTCAAAACGCCCTTCCAGCCAGGGCGGAGGAATGTCAATGCAACAAAGGTATAATTTATCCCAACGCCGTTTTTGTTGAAAAAGCCAGCCGCCTCCGGCCCCTCTCCCCCATGTGAATGTCCGTTTTGATGTTGTCCTGCCGACCAAAGCAAACAAGAATGCTGCTCCCGTTCAAAAGAAAAGGTCATTGCCATGACCCCGATGCTGTTGAAAACATTACTTTTCGTGTCTTCCGACCTCTAGCGCAAGATCGCACTCCCAAGTCCCCAGATACTAGGGCAAGATCGACGGTGTTGGAATGTCCGTCAGCTCACGTCAATGTACAAATATAGCGTCAGGAAGACGCTTAGTAGCGGTAGCTGCAACACGTGTTAGAATATGTCGAATAACACGGTGTGGAAACTGGCCATCATCTCTCTCTCCCTCTCTCTAGAAGGGGGGCGGGGGGGTGGGGGCGGACGGGCGACGAGAGGGGGTGGGATGGGGGGCATTGTGATCACGTACTGGTCGCTCTTGTAAGGACCCTCGGATGGCAGGCTGAGGTACTCAGACTGCGCAGGGGTGAGCTCGGTGAGCTCGACGTTGCAGTGGGAAAGGTGCAGGCGGGCAACCTCCTCGTCCAAGACCTTGGGGAGGACGTAAACCTTCTTCTCGAGCTTGCCAGACTTGGCGAACTCGACGTACTTCTCGCCGAAAGCCTTGTCCTCGTTCTTGTAGAGCATGATCTGGGCAAGGACCTGGTTGGTGAAGGAGCAGGACATGACGAAGGAGGAGTGGCCGGTGGCGCATCCCAGGTTGACGAGACGGCCCTCGGCGAGAAGGATGATGTGGCGGCCCGAGGACATCAGGTAGCGGTCGACCTGAGGCTTGATGTTCTGGACGCTCTTGGCGTTGGCCTTGAGCCAGGCAACATCGATCTCGATGTCAAAGTGGCCAATGTTGCAGACGATGGCGTCATTGGGCATGGCCTCGAAGTGCTTGCCGACGAGGATGTCACGGCAGCCGGTGGTGGTGACAAAGATCTGGCCGATGCTGGCGACCTTGTCCATGGGGGCGACCTGGTAGCCGGCCATGGCGGCCTGCAGGGCGTTGATGGGGTCGATCTCGGTGACGATGACACGGGCACCCATGCCGTGCAGGGCCTGGGCGCAGCCCTTGCCGACATCACCAAAACCAGCGACGACGGCGATCTTGCCGGCAATCATGACATCGGTGGCGCGCTTGATGCCGTCGATCAGAGACTCGCGGCAGCCGTAGAGGTTGTCGAACTTTGACTTTGTGACCGAGTCGTTGACGTTGATGGCAGGGACGAGGAGCTCGCCGTTCTTGAGCATCTTGTACAGGTGGTGGACGCCGGTGGTGGTCTCCTCGGAGACACCGTAGCAGTCCTTGAGCATGTCGGGGTACTTGTCGTGGACGAGGTGAGTCAGGTCACCACCGTCGTCGAGGATGAGGTTGAGCTTCTTGCCGTCCTTGAAGGCACCGAGCTGCTGCTCGAGGCACCAGTTGTACTCCTCCTCGGACTCGCCCTTCCAGGCAAAGACGGGCACGCCGGCGGCGGCGATGGCGGCGGCGGCGTGGTCCTGGGTGGAGAAGATGTTGCACGAGGTCCAGGTGACCTCGGCGCCGAGGGCGGTCAGGGTCTCGATCAGGACGGCAGTCTGGATGGTCATGTGCAGGCAGCCGGCAATGCGGGCGCCGGCGAGGGGCTGGTCCTGGGCGTACTTCTGGCGGGTGGCCATCAGGCCAGGCATCTCGTTCTCGGCCAGCTCGATCTCCCGGCGGCCGAAGGCAGCGAGGGAGATGTCGGCGACCTTGAACTTCTGAGCAGGGGCAGACATTGTGGCGGTTTGAGGCGGGTTGTCAAGGTAGAGAGGGAGGCGGGCTGTGGTGGTTGGTCAATTAGCCGTCTCGAGCTCTGGTCCCGTCTTTGGCGAGTCTGAGATGCACAACAGAAGCTGGAGAGCAAGTATTGGTTGGGGGGGGAGTGTGTGTGGGTGAGAGGGAGAGAGAGGCGGGAGAGGGAGGGAGAGAGACAGAAGATAGAAAGTTGGTTTGGGAAGGGGTGAGCACAGGGCCGGGGGACTGGAGGGGGTCACAGAGAGTGGGGTACATCTGTGGAAGGCAGTTTTGTCGCCGGGAATCCATGTGACTGCCAGGGTGGGAAAACTCTGAGCCCGCACAGTTGATTCGGCGATTCCAGCTGGGCCGCCAGGGCCGCCAGAACCCGAGAGCCGGGACGGGGCATTGTCGGGGGGGGGGGGGGGTTACGCCAGTAGCAGCCTGAGAGAGCAGAGCTTATGTACGGAGCAGATACTTACAGTGGACGGGGGCCGTTGCTGATGCTTGCTGTCTCTTTTGCTTCGGGTGGGCACTCAATATGTGCAACCTGCTGTACCGGGCGGGAGGACAAGAGCTGAGCTGAGTGAGTGAGGAGCGCGAGAGGGAGGGAGAAAGGGACGAGGGAGGAGGAGGGAGGACGGGGTTTTGTTGATGGCCAGAGAAAACTTGGGCAGGGGCCCAGCGACCCAGCGACCCTGAGGGGAGCATGTCCTCCTGTGCCCCTCACATCGAGCTCCGAGCTCGACTCGAACCCGCGAGCCCCTTGCGGCGGGGGCTTAAGTAAGCTCGGAGCCCCACCGTCCAACTCCCAACGTCCCCTTCCAAGTCATGTCACGCCCGGGCGACTCGACTCGAGTAGAGTCGGTCAGCGAGCAGCGGGCTGACCAGCTCATTGATCCCCGTCGCCGCCGCGCTGACTGGTGAACTGGTAGACCGGAGCCAATCAACCTCCTGTCCCCGTCAGCCCCGGTGGCCTGGTCCCCCGGTCCCCCGATGCGCTGGTCCCCCGATGCTCTCCCGCCGTCGTCCCTCGGTGGGCCTTGCTACGTCCTTGTCTGCTGTGCGCACTCGTGGCCCCCGGGCCAATCTCACGCTGCATGTAATGCCACGCCACGCCACGGCATCGTGCTCCTGCGACTTTGTACTGCCCTTGTCGGGCTTTTCCTTTTTATCACAATTAAAATTCGAGTCCCCAAGTCCTTCGACAACCGGGCCATCAACGGCCCGGGTCTTGTCTTCAACACTGGCTGTCATCATAACCTTTGCCGCCCTGTCTCGCCCTGTCCCGGCCAGTCCCGCCCAGACGCCTATCAGCCGTGTCTGGCACTGGTCCAAGAGCCGAGGCCCAGACCTCCAGCTACGCTCCGTCCTCTGTCCTTGACTTTGACTTTGGCACTGGCTCCGGCTGCGATACGTCTCTGCGGCTCCGCCCCATGCGCTGTCCCCCTCGCCCTCGCTCCCCCCGCCCCCCGCCCGCCGCAAGTACAGCCTTCCCTTCTATCAGTCATCGTGATTCGAGTACGCGTCATTGTGTCCCCAAACGCCAGATCCCATGCAGCAGCCAATACGTGCGTGCCTCGAGCCTCAAGCGGCCTCGGCTGCCCCCTGCCGTCTGTGGACAACCCAACACTTGGTTGGCCACATACCACGCCGCCCGACTTCGCCCACAGCAACCCAGGGGCCTCGCCCTGCCTACTCCGGCACCAGGTTGCCTCGCACGGCGAACATCTTGGCGCTGATATTTGCCGTGAACCCGTCCACCTGCCTGCTGTACTGCTCCACCTGCTTGGCATTCAGCATACCCTCCAGCCGGCTGGGCTCCTGCGGCAGCTTGAACAACCTCTGCCACTCGTCTTCTGGCAGTGGCGCCTGCTTGGCTGCAGCCCGTGACGCGTTCTCCGCCTTGCGCTTCGTCTGCCATGCCGTGATCTTTGCCTGCTCACGCGCAAGCTGTCTCTGGTAGTACTGGTGGTTGTTGAGGTCTGTGTAGTGTGACTCGATGCTGTCCAGGAGGAGGTCGCACGTCTTCTCGAGGAACGGGTCGATGGACAGGTCGAGCGTGTCCAGGGACGGGTAGGCGGGGAGCTGGACCGGCGCCCGCTCAATGTCGGAAAGTGACTGAGGCAGCTCCACCTCGGGGTTCACCGGCGGCGGGGGCAGCTGGTGCAGGAACGAGGTGAGCAGGTGCGAGTTGTGGACGTGGACGGGGAGCTCGAGCAGGATGTCCTTGTAGGTGAACTTGGTCTTTTGGAGGCTGGGGATGCGGTCAGTATGGCTGTGCCTGCGCCGAGCGGGAACCGACGGCCTGCGTCAAAAAGGGAATCAAGGAAGAACCTCGCGATGAGGACACGTGTGAACAACCTACTTCTCGGTGGTGAACTTGTTCTCCTTGTAGGCAGCCATGAAGGCGCTGGTCAGCTTGAAGGCGCGGAGGCTGAGAGAGCCCTGGGAGCTCCGGCTGACGTCGTGGACGAGGGCGACGACGTTGTTGTTCTCGCGCTGGTAGTGGTACATGTTCTCGATGAAGCCCAGGTTCACAAAGTTGCCCATGGTGGCGCTGGTGTACCACCCGACGTTGTTGGCATCGACGTTGACCTCCTTGAGGTGCCGTATCATGTCGTTCTGGTAGTTGATGTTGGCCTTTGCGCGGGGGGCGGCAGCGGCCAGGCTGGAGGCATCGTTCTGGTGGGAGTCGGCGCTGGCGACATCGATGGTTGGGAATGGGAATGTGTTGGTGACCTCGAGCGTTGCGTTGTTATCCAGGCCGACGAGGGAGCCGGTCGCGGTGGTTGGGAAGGACGAGGAGCAGTGCTTGGTGATTTTCATGACGACCTGGGGCGTGGGAACAGAGGGCTGTCAGCGGGCAGGCAGGCGGGCAGGCAGACCAGGAGGCAGGGCAGAGGTAGAGAAAGGGTGGGAGCAGCCATCCCGACGCGTGATGGGATTCCCCAGAGCCCTCGCCCTGAGGACAGGTGGGGAGCAAGACGGCAGAGGGCAGAAAGAGGAGGGACTCACCAGGGCCTCGACCTGGACCGACTTGGTCGTGTCATCCTTTCTCGGTTCGGCCATGATTGCGGGTGGTTGTGTCCCAGTGTCCGGTCTCGAGCTGACGATGAAGAGGGTCGTGGGAGCTGGTGGTTGGGTGCCGGGCGTTGAGCGCTGGATAGTGCGTGCTGAACGTCTCCTTGCCGCCACGGGTTGAAGATTTTGGGGGGTGTACCAGGCACAGTTTTCGTGGGATCCGGGCGCGGAAGGCGGTGGGGCACCCGAAATCGCTGATTGGTCGCTGACCCAACTACCTACCTGGGTACCTAGGTACCTAGGTACCCTTGCAGCCCCGCCTGGCTACTTGCGGCATCCGAGGACTGCTGCTATCGATAAGCCACTTACTTCCAAGGTTGTCTGTTCTTGAGAGCAAGCTGTGATGATGGGGTGGATGGATGGGCGGATTCTTGACTTCCAAGGTTGCCGATGGACACTGGCAGGTCTGTCAACACACAATGCCTACACACCACCACACCCACACATAGGTAGCTCCATGCCAGGGTGCGCGTAATGTGTCCATGTACAAGGCCTCGTCCACAGTCCGTCGCATGGGACTGAGGGCTGATGTCATCGTCACCAAGACCACAGACGGCCGATCGATGACATCTATCTGAGCCGGTCCGCCGGACCTGGGCCGGCGACTTCTTCTCCCGACATGGTGCTGCACGCAGGTGGCATTGCGATGAGCAACACAAACACAGAAATCCTGCTCGTGAGTGCCCCGCAAGAGCATCCAAATGCAAGTCCTGGGCCGGGGCGGCTGACGGTAATCTTGTCTCTCCAGGCAGGCGCTGCGGCGGCCTTCGCCGTCGACCTGGTCGTCTATCCCCTCGACACAGTCAAGACTCGTCTCCAGAGCCAGGATTACCTCAAGACCTTCTCGCGCTCGGCCTCTGCCAGCCACGCCTCGGCCGGCCACGCCTCGGGCAGTGTCTTCCGCGGGCTCTACCAGGGTGTTGGCAGCGTCGTCATCGCCACCCTGCCTGCCGCAGGTTTGTTCTTCACCACCTACGAGGCCACCAAGCCCTTCTACGCAGGCCTCTCCTCCGCCTTGCCAGGCCATGCTGCCCTGCCCACGCCGCTGGTCCACTCCCTGGCGTCCGGCACCGCCGAAATGGCCTCGTGTCTGGTGCTCACCCCTGCAGAGGTCATCAAGCAGAACGCGCAGATGATCCGCTCCAGCCGCGGCTCCGGTCCTGAACCCTCCCGCGGCTGGAGGAACAGCACATCCATCCAGGCCTTCCGGGATCTGGCAGCACCAGGAGATGCTGGCGGCCCTGCCCGACGCCTCCTGACGGGGTATACTGCCCTGGTGGCCAGGAACCTGCCCTTCACCGCCCTGCAGTTCCCCATCTTCGAAGCACTCAGACGGCGCATCTGGGAGTCGCGCGACAGGCAGGCAAAAGCCACGCACACGCCCAAGGACAGACAAGATGGAGATGGGGCAGCCCGAGGGGAGAGAAGGGTGGAGCAGGGCGCAGTGGCACGTGGGCTACTCGAGACCGGCCTTGTCAACGGCGCCAGCGCCGCGCTGTCTGGTGCCGTAGCCGCAGTGGTGACCTCGCCTGCAGACACGGTCAAGACACGGATGATGCTTTTTGCCGGCCAAGAGAGGCAGCAGCGGGCCCTGCTCGAGAAGCAGGGGCAAGAGCTGCGGGAGAGACGCAAGCAGCTGGAGGGCGCGGCCAGACGGCAAGGGTTGAACGGCATGCAGGTGGCGAGGCTGATCTACCAGGAAAAGGGAGTGCACGGGTTGTTCAGGGGGGGACTGCTTAGGGCATCGTGGACCGCGTTAGGCAGCGGACTATATCTGGGCACGTATGAGGTTGCCAAGGTGTGGTTAAAGGGCAGCAGCGGGGCGGGTGATAGGGATGACGACAACCTGTGAGAGGTTGGAAGGCCGGCCGTGGCGATGTGAGGTTCTCTGCCGCGTCAATGGTGGCAGGATAAGAAGGGAGGGCCGCGCAGCAGCAGGCAGCAGCAGGACGGTGTTCCTCGTGATGGCGCAACGCTCTTCAGCACGGTCTACGATACAGCCGGTTGTATATTGTGAGCCATGAGGTCGTCTTGCTCCTTTCGCCGAAGTTGCCGTGTCAATGCCAGCCATGGCCGCCTCTGGGCTCATGTCATGACTGCTTGTTCCGAGCATGGCGGGCCAGTCACAGATGGGCGATAGTCCTGCAGCATTAGCGCAACCAGCTTTGAGTTGAGGATCGGGCCGCAGCTGCATAACCGGCTCTCTCTTTTTGTGGGAGTGTGTGTATGTGTGCGTGGTGGTAATGGGGGGTGCATCTGAATGGGGGAGTTTGTGGTAGGTCGGTCTCGGTTGCGGTTCCTCCAGTGGACGGGAACGGTATGTGGTTCATGGTCCAAGGCATAGGGCCCTTCTACCCTTCCTTACCTTATCTACGCTATCACGGGCAGGATCCCGAGTCGGCCAGTCTGGGTAGAGCGTCGCAGAGTTGCGTTGCAGGAGGCGTAGCATTGGTGCGAAGAGGTGGAGGATCCAATCCCAGCATGCGCACATTATCAGATAGACAGAGCATAGTTCTGCATTGCCACGTCTCGCCCAGCCGGACTTGACAAAAGGTAGGAAATGACTCGACCAGATAGGTCATGCATGCTCATATCCCCAGGATTGCCATCGGTGAGGGCACGGCAAGGCCAGGCGGTGAGGGTCCCTGTCGCAGGCAAGTAAATTCCTTGGTAGACAATTAGCCCAGCCTAGTGCTTGCCTGCTTTGTCTTTCTCCAAGAGCATAAAAAAAAAAGTGGCATCAACCCGTCGGGCAATGGCGCGATTTGCTCGCCTTCAAAGACGGGCCCTCGGACCCGTCTTGCCGTCGCACCGTTTGAAACACCAGCGGCGGCGGCGGCGGGCATCCTAACAACCTCGGCACCAGCAGCATTCTGGACGTGGACCAGTCATGGTACCTGCCTAGCCGGGGAGGTACCTAGGTACCTAGGTACCTATACTCAGCAGAGAAACAATTAGACTAGGAGTAGACCAACGTTGCCGTTCCCGGGCCATTATAAGTTCTGAACTGGCCCTTCCTGGACCGTAGGTAGGTGGGAGACACCCGGATGGTCCAGGGCCGTCGCTCGCCATTATTGCGACAGATTCCATAAACCTTGTGCCAGTCACCCAGCCTTGCAAGCGCCCTCTCTGCCGCCGGTGCAGCTGTTCCCCGGGGATCAGCAATACATGGCTAGGTTTCTGAGAGTATGAGTCTGTTGCACGCATGCATACCTATACAGACACACACACACACACACACATATATATCCAAGTATATATATGTATACACACACACACGCGCGCGCTCTGTTACTCACCCAACCTGCACACTTACAGGGACCGTAGGCGTATACACACGCACCTGCCCACAGCCGACTTGCCCAGTGTGTCGGTGACGACCTCTCTTCTCTACTCCTCCAGGCAGCGGCGGCAGAACCACAGAACCACAGAACCACAGGGCCGCAGGGCCACAGGGCCGCAGGTCACGCAGGCGACAGACGGTCGAGATGACCGAGACGGAGAGGGCCCTCGTGGACGACAAGGCGGTGGTTGATGGCCTGGCAGGTGGCATCCAGCGATACCTGGTGGCCTCGCCATACCCCGAGGCAGACCATCTGTTGGACCTCGAGACCCTGGACGCCGAGAACCAGCTGCTGGCAGAGGCACTGCTGGGCCTCAGGTGCCGGCGGGAGGACTACGCGACGGCAGCCTACGCAGACACCTTCAACTGGGACGAGGTGGTGGGCCGGGTGCGGGAGCTGGCAGCAGCCCGCAACCACAGGTGGAGGGAGACGTCGTGGTACATTGTCGCCTTCCGGTCGCGGTATGAGTCGGGCATCGACTACAGCCACCTTGGCGACCTCGACAAGGCGGCACACGCCGAGGCCACAGCCAGCGGCGGCTTCCTCAAGTACGGACATGTCCTTTCACGCCCCCTCACCACCGCCCCGTCACCAGAGACTAACAGCCGCGGCGGCGCTGGCAGGTATTGGTTCGGCACGCCCGACCAGAATCTCCGCAACCTGGCGACGTGCATCTGGCGCAGCCGCGAAGACGCCCGCAAGGGGGGCACGGGGCCTGCGCACAAGGAGGCCATCAGGGCCGTCCGCACCATGTACGCCGAGTGGAGGATCGACCAGCATCGCCTCATCGTGCGAGACGGCGTGTCGAGCTGGGACCTGGTCCAGTGGACAGACTGACCATGCAGACTGCCCATGCAGACTGCCCATGCAGACTGCCCATGCAGACTGCCCATGCAGACTGGCCGTGGCGCAACGGTTCACCCGGCGTCGACCACCGACCATGCGGCTCTTCTCCCCGTTCTGTTCATGCACTCATCCCTCGCCGTTGCACATTGGCGTGGGGGGCCCGGCCTTAGTCAGCACCACCCTGGCCCATCCATCCCAGCATTGCATCCCACACACATCTTAGGCGGATATATAGGGTGGACAATGTTCACCGCTATACATTTATTACATAGCTAACTCATGTGTGCTGCAATCACAATGTGTCCGGCCACGGGCTCCGGCTTGCATGCCATGGTGTCTATGCTGATCCTAGTGCTATTATAAAATAAGATACAGTTATCTTAGCACCTTTTTAAGACCGATATAAGACCTACTATATAACTATAGTTAAGAGATAGATTTAATAAGTTTTATTATATTTATTAATATTTTAAGATATTTAAATTTAAATTTAATTAAAATTATTAAAACTTTTTTAAAGATGTTTTTAATTTAATTAAATTTTATTTATTTATAAATAATAAAATTATTTATTAAAATAATAATAAAATATAATTAATTTATATTAAAAATATTTTAATTATTTATAAATAAAATAATTATTTTTAAATAAAATTATAATAAATTATTTATATTATTTTAAATTTTATTATTAAATTAAAAATAAATAATTAAAGTTTTAAAAATAAAATAAAATATATTTTTAAAAATTAATTTAATTAAATTTATTATATAGATTATTTATATTTTTTAATTTTATTATTAAACTAAAAGTAAATAGTTAAAGTTTTAAAAGAATAAAATATAATATATCTTTTAAAAATTAATTTAATTAAGTTTATTATATAGAACTTTTATAATAACTTTATAATTATTTATAATACTATTTATTATTAAAAGAGATCTTTTATATTAATATATTAAATTATATTAATTTAAGTTAATATTATTAACTTATTAAAAGTTAAAGCTATTATAAATTATAAACTACTTAATTTAATATTAATAAATACTATATATAAATATTAAATTTACTATATAACTTAAATAAATATAAGTTAATTAAAATAAATAAAGATTATAGGAAATAAAAATCTTTACTAGGTCTGGAGTGGAGAGATTTATAAGCTTATTCTTATAGCCCCCTGCAATTTAGATATAGCTATATAATGTCTCCTATAAATTAGTTGTTAGGGGAATCGAACTCGCGCCCTTTCTGGTTATTGGAGTAGAAAACCCCGTATGGGTAACCCTATGAACCCCGCATTGGGTAAAAGACCTTTATAATTATACTTCGGGTCGTGAAATATTCGATTGAGCTACCCGGGCTTATAACCTATAGGAAACAAAAATCTTCACTAGGTTTGAAGTGGAGAGACTTATAAGCTTATTCTTATAAAGATAAAGCTATTATTCCTTTAAAGATTTTAACTCTACTTTATAAATAAATATTTATTTATTAACTTTATAAATAAAACTATTTAAAAGTAGTTATTTAACCTATTATATAACTTATTAAACTAAAAAATAACTTTTAAATAAAATAATTATACTTTATTACTATATATAATATTTAAATTTATAATTTTAATAACTTTATTTAAATATTATAAATAAAAAAATAATTATTAATAATTAAGTTTATAATTATATAAAAATAAATTTTATTTTAAAGAAAAGTTATTAATATTTAAAATAATTAATATATTTTTAAAAAGTTAAAAGATTATAAATTTAATTTAAAAAATTAAAATTTCTAAAATTTTAAATTTAAATTTAAAAATTTTAATTTAATATTTATATTTATAAAAATAAAAATACTTATATAATTTAAAAGGTTTAAATTAAATTAAAAATTAAATTAAATTATAATAAAATAAATTAATTAAATAAAATTAATTAAAAATTATAATTATAAGTTTTTAACTTTATATTAAAAAGATAAATTTATTATATAAAGTTTTTATAATAATTTTATAATTATTTATAATATTATTTATTATTAAAAATATTTTTATATTAATATATTAATTCTTTTTAAATATAAAATTAAAAGATTTATAATTATAATTTTTAATTAATTTTAATTTAATTATTATATTATATTATATTATAATTTAATTTTAATTTTATTTAATTCTTTTAAGTTTATTTAATAATTTTTAAATAAATTAAATTTAAATTAAAACCTTTAAATTTAAATTTAAAATTCTTATAAATTTTAATTTACTTTAAATTAAATTTAAAATCCTTTAATTTTTAAAATATATTAACTATTTTAAATAATAACTTTTTTAAAAATAAAATCTATTTTTATATAATTATAAACTTAATTATTAATAATTATTTCTTTTTATTTATAATTTATTAAAACTATAAACTTAAAGTAATAATAAAATATAATTACTTTATTTAATTATATTTTAATTTAATAAGTTAATATACTTTAAAATTCTTTTAATAATAAATATTTAACTATAATAATAAATATAATAAGTTAAATAACTACTTTTAAATAATTTTATTTATAATATAATAAAGTAAATAAATAAATATTTATTTATAAAGTAGAGTTAAAACTTTAATTAAAGGAATAATAGTTTTATTTTTATTTATTTTAACTAACTTATATTTATTTAAATTATATAATAATTTTATATATAATATTTAATAATATTAAAACTAAATAACTTATATTTTAATAGTTTTAACTTTTAATATATTAATTTAAACTAATTAAATATAATTTAATATATTAATATAAAAATATCTTTTAATAATAAATAATATTATAAATAGTAATAATAAATTATAAAATTATTATAAAAGTTTTATATAATAAATTTAATTAAATTAATTTTTAAAAATATATTATATTTTATTTTTAAAACTTTAATTATTTATTTTTAATTTAATAATAAAATTAAAAAATATAAATAATTTATATTAATATATTAAATTATATTCCTTTTTAATATAAGGTTAAAAAACCTATAATTATAATTTTTAATTAATTTTTAATTAATTTTTATTATAATTTAATCTAATTTAATTTAAACCTCTTTTAAACTATATAAATACTTTTATTTTTATAAATATAAATATTAAATTAAAACCTTTAAACTTAAATTTAAAATTCTTATAAATTTTAATTTCCTTTAAATTAAGTTTATAATTTCTTAACTTTTAAAAATATATTAACTATTTTAAATATTAATAACTTTTTTAAAGTAAAAATCTATTTTTATATAATTATAAATTTAATTATTAATAATTATTTCTTTTTTATTTATAAGTTATTAAAATTATAAACTTAAATATTATATATAGTAATAAAGTATAGTTACTTTATTTAAAGATTATCTCTTAATTTAATAGATTAATTAAGTAATTACTTTTAAATAGTTTTATTTATAATATAAAAAAGTTAATAAATAGATATTTATTTATAAAGTAAAGTTAGAACTTTAGTTAGAAGAATAGTAGCTTTATTTTTACTTATTTTAACTAATTTATATTTATATTTAAATTATATAGTAAATTTAATATCTATATATAATACTTATTAATATTAAACTAAATAACTTATAGTTTATAATAACTTTAACTTTTAATAAACTAATTTATATTAAGGCTAATAATATTAACTTAAATTAATATAATTTAATATATTAATATAAAAGGTATTTTTAATAATAAATAATATATAAATAATAATAATAAATTATAAAGTTATTATAAAAGTTTTATATAATAAACTTAATTAAATTAATCTTTAAAAGATATATTATATTTTATTTTTAAAACCTTAATTATTTATTTTTAACTTAATAATAAAATTAAAAAATATAAATAATTTATATTAAATTTTATTTAATTAATTTAAATTAATATTATTAATTTATTAAAAATTAAAATTATTATAAATTATAAATTATTTAATTTTAATATTATTAAATATTATATATAAAATTATTATAAAATTTAAACTTTTAAATTAATTAATATAAATAAAAATAAAATTATTATTTTTAAAAGTTTTAATTTTATTTAAATAAATATTTATTTATTAACTTTATAAATTAAATAATTTAAAAATAATTATTAAATTTATTAAATTAAAAATAATTAAATAAAATAATTATATTTCTATTTAAATTTATAATTTTAATAATTTATAAATAAAAATAATTATTATTAATAATTAAATTTATAATTATATAAAAATAAATTTCTATTTTTAAAAAAGTATTAATATTTAAAATAATTAATATACTTTTAAAAAGTTAAAAATTATAAATTTAATTTAAAATATATTAAAATTTATAAATATTTTAAATTTAAATTAAAAAAATATAAAAAATTAATATTTATATATTTAATAAATTAATTTATATATTTTATATTTTCTTTTATATATTTAATATTAGTTTTTATATATAAAGTTTATAAAAAACTATATATTTAATTAAAAAATTTTAAATTTTAATATTTAAAATATAAACTTTTTAAACTTTTTAATACTTTTAATACTTTTTATCTTTATTTTCTAATAACTTTTAATATATATTTTAATTTATATACCTTTAAATATATTTAAATATTAATTAAATATTTAAGTATTAATTAAATATTAAAAATTAAAAGTAAAAATATAAAAGTAAAAATTATACTCTTTTTAATTTTTAATACCTCTTAACTTTTAAACTTTTAAACTTTTAACTTTATAATATTTAATTAATATTTAAATATATTTAAAAATATATAAATTAAAAGATATATTAAAGAGTTAAAAATATATTAAAAAGTTATTAAAAAATAAAAATAAAAGTTATAAAAAAGTTTATACTTTAAATATTAAAAATTAAAAAAGATTATTTTATAAAGTTTTTAATATTAATTTAAAAGTATTTATAAATATAAAAAAGTTATTAAAAAAGTAAATATTAAATAAATAAAAAATATTAAGTATATAAATTAATTTATTAAATATATAAATATTAGTTTAATATAAGGCTTTAATTTTTAAAAATAAAAAAATTAAAAGATTTAAATAAAAATTTAAAAATTTAAATAAAAATTTAAAAATTTAAATAAAAATTTAAATAAAGTTTAATTAAAATTTTATAATTATAAATTTTAATTTTATATTTTAAATCAAATAATATTATAAAATAAAAGTTTAAAAATTTAAATAATAATATAATTTATTTTAATATTAAATTATTATATAATTTTATTTTAATATTAAATTATTATATAATTTTATTTTAATATTAAATTATTATATAATTTTATTTATAAAAATTAAAAATAATATTTTTTAATATTTTAATTTTATAAAAATTAAATTTTATATTTTATAAATAAAATTATATAATAATTTAATATTAAAATAAAATAAAATAATAATTAATAATAATATATATAAAATTATATATTATTAAAAATTATATTTTAATTTATATTTTTTATTATAATTTATTTATAAATTATTTAAATAAATAATAATATATATTATATAAAAATATTAATTTATTATTTAATTTAAATATAAATATAAATAAAATTATTATTATTATTTTATTAAAACTTTAATTTTATTTAAATAGATATTTATTTATTAATTTTATAAAATTATATAAAATTAATTATTAAATTTATAATATAATTTATTAATTTTTAAATATAAAATTAACGGATTTATAATTAAAAGTTTTAATTAATTTTAATTTAATTAAAACTTTTAAAAACTTTATAAATACTTTTATTTTTATAAATATAAATATTTCTTTTAAATATAAGGTTAAAAATTTATAATTATAATTTTATAATTAATTTTTATTTAATTATATTATATTATTATAACTTTATTTAATTTTTAATTTTATTTAAACTTTTTTAAGCTTTTATATATTTTTAAAAATTAAATTTAAAAGGAAACTTTTAAGTTTAAATTTAAAATTTTATAAATTTTAATTTTTTAAATTAAATTTATAATTTTTAATTTTTAAAAATATATTAATTATTTTAAATATTAATAACTTTTTTAAAATAAAGGTTTACTTTTATATAATTATAAATTTAGTTATTAATAGCTATTTCTTTTATTTATAAGTTATTAGAATTATAAATTTAAATAATAAAGTATAGTTATTTTATTTAATTATTTTTAGTTTAATTAAATAATTGCTTTTAAGTAGTTTTATTTATTTTTAAGTTTTTAAATAGGTATTTATTTAAGTAGAGTTAAAACTTTTAAAGGAATAATAGTTTTTATTTTTATTTATTTTAATTAACTTATATTTATATTTAAGTTATATAATAATATTATATATAGTGCTTAATAGTATTAAAATTAGGTTAGTAGCTTATAGTTTATAATAGTTTTAACTTTTAATAGATTAGTTTATATTAAGGTTAATAGTACTAGCTTAAATTAGTATAGCCTAGTATATTAATATAAAAGGTATTTTTAATAATAGGTAGTATTATAAATATAATAAATTATAAAGTTATTATAAAAGTTTTATATAATAAATTTAATTAAATTAATTTTTAAAAATATATTATATTTTATTTTTAAAACTCTAATTATTTTATTTTTAATTTAATAATAGAATTAAAAAATATAAATAGTTTATAAATATAAATATTAAATTAAAACTTTTAAATTTAAATATAAAGTTTTATAAATTTTAATATATTTTAAATTAAATTTATAATTTAAAAGCTTTTAAAATATATTAATTATTTTAAATATTAATAAGTTTTAAAAAATAAAATTTATTTTATATAATTATTTTTTATTTATAATAAAATTATTAAAATTATTAAAATTATAAACTTAATATTATATATAATAATAAAGTATAATTATTTTATTTTATTATATTTTAATTTAAAATATAATAATTTAAATAACTATTTTTAAATAATTTTATTTATAAAATTAATAATCTTTTAAATTTATTAAATAAATATTTATTTAAATAAAATTAAAATTTATATATATTTTTAATTAAAAATAATAACTTTATTTTATTTATATTAATTAATTTATATTTAAATTATATAATAAATTTAATTAAATTAATTTTTAAAAATATTTTTATTTTTTTAAAATTATAAATATTTATTTTTAATTTAATAATAAAATTAAAAAATATAAATAATTTATATAATTTATTAAATTAAAATATTATTTTTAAATATAATAATTATACTTTATTATATAAATTTATAATTTTAATAATATATAAATAATTAAATTTATAATTATATAAAATATATTATTATTATTTTTAAAAAGTATTATTATTTTTAAAAAGTATTATTATTTAAAATAATTAATATATTTTTAAAATATAAATATTATATTTTAAATTAAATTAAAAATATATTATAATAATTTTAAATTTAACTTTAAAATATATAAAGTTTTAATTTATAAAAATAAAATAATTTAAAACTTAAAAAACTTTAAATTATATTAAATTAAAATTTTTAATTTAAATAAAATATATTTATTTTTAATATTTTAATTATTTCTTTTAATTTAATAATAATTTTTAAAATATATAATTTTATATATTAAATTTATTTTTAATTTATTTTATTTAAAATATAAAGAATTATATAATAATATTTTTATAATATAATTTTAATTAAATTTATTATAATTTTTAAAATATTTATATAATTTAAATATATAAGTTTATATTTTTATAATAATTTATTTATTTTATTTATTTTATTTATTTTATTTATTTTATTTATTTTATTTATTTTATTTATTTTATTTATTTTATTTATTTTATTTATTTTATTTATTTTATTTATTTTAATTATTTTAATTATATTATTTTATAAAATTAATATTAAAAAACTTTTTATATATTATAAGAAATACTTATAATTATATATTTATATTATAAACTTTAATTCTTAACTTCTTTTTAATATATATTTAATATATTAATTCTTAATCTAAATATACTAACTATACCTAAGTGGTGGGCGCAATATCACGCAACATTAAACATTATATAAGGCCTAGGAGGGGCTTATTTTACCGGAAGTGGTTATAGCTGTATGATATCTGCCGGTTGGTTCAACCTCGGAGGATTTATCTTTGCGGTCTGGGCTGCTTACCGGTGAAACCAACAGTTCCTTGCTGCAACGAGAGACCAATGGGTTGACAGTCATCGGAAATCATGTATGCAAGCCCCTCATTCCACAATACCACTTTATGACAGAGGCCAAGCATACTGATTCCGTACAAAGAGGTCGGTATAAATATACATATACATACATATATATATATATATATATATATCCTAGCTGGGCTGGGCTGGGCTGGGCTGGCTGTCTGTGTAGGCCCTACCCCGGACCATCCCAAGCGCTCACTTCAACAGAGGACATCTGGACCAAGTACGTACAGCCGCTCTGCATGGGAGCCATCCAGCTACAAGTGATGCGTCGCACCGCACGCTCATCAGTGCTCATTGCACTCCTGACTGGCGCTGCGGGAGCCGTTCACGACACTGCCACCGAGGTAATCAACCGCGATGTGGTGATTGTGGGCGGTGGCGCCTCAGGCGCACACGCAGCGGTGAAGCTGCGCGACATGGGAAAGACGATTGTCCTGGTGGAGAAAGGAGATGTACTCGTGAGCCAGGATAGCGCAATCCGCAGCAGACTATTACAGGGCTGACTGCGTCACAGGGTGGGCATACAAAGACGTATCGTGACCCCCTCACCGGGCAGCCAATCAATATCGGGGTCCAAGCTTGGACTACCTATAAGAATACCGTCGACTTCGTCACTGGACGCATGAATATATCCGTCATGGCAAAGCCGCAGACACCCCTTGCTACCAAGTACGTCGACTTCACAACTGGCCGCGCCCTGGACAACTACGTTGCTCCTACCAGCACTGAAGCGCTCGCCGCCATCAAAATGTACCATGAAATCTGCAAGCGATATGAGGACCTGCTCATACCAGGCTTTTTTAATTTCCCACTGCCGGGCAGCATCCCAGAGGACTTGACATTGATATTCAGAGACTTTGTTGACAAGTACAATATATCGGCGGCCGTACCGCGGCTTTTCGAACTGACGGGTATGGGTGTCGGCGAAATCATGAATACTGTCACGATGTACGTGATGCAGGCCATAGGAGCACCGTTGACGGGTACGTTTTTCGGTGAGACGAGCAACGTGGTTCCGGTGTCCGGTGACAACCATGAGCTGTACCTGAAGATCGGCGGCCTGCTGGGCCAGGACGTGCTCTATTCCAGCACCGTGGTCTCTTGTCAGCGTGGCGATGGTTCAGGCGTTACGATGACGGTGGAGGGCGCAGGTGGAGCCAGGAAGCGGATCAAAGCCCAGCGGCTTCTGCTTGCCATCGAGCCAAGTGCCGAGAACATGAGGCCCTTTGATCTAGACGCGAGCGAGTCCGCCGTCTTCTCCAAGTTCCAAAGCTCGGTGGTCTACGTCGGGGCGGTAAGGCATCCGTCGCTAGTTGTAAACCAGTCCCTGACCAACATGCCCACCGCTGCGGAACCGTCAAACTGGACGGCACTTCCCCTACCGCCTTTCAACGCTCGGTTCGACGATTTCGGCCAGGGAAGTAACCTTTTCCGCATCATCGTTCACACCGACGCTGGCCTGGACGCTGACGGAGCACAAGGTCTCGTGCTTGACGGGTTTGGTAAGATGGTAGAAAGCGGAGTCCTGGCCGCCACCGACGAGGCCGTCCAATTTGCGAGGCTCGAGGACCATGGCCCAACGCACATGCGTGTCGACGCCGATGAGATCCAGGCCGGATTTGTCCAGGCCCAGTACGCCCTGCAAGGCCATCGTGCAACTTGGTGGACGGGGGCGGCGTTTTCGGCCCAGTTTACGACCATACTCTGGGCCTTTAACGACTTGCTGCTCCCGAAAATGGTTGAGGGTATGGCGACCGACCAAGGGCATCTGTTCGGAGCCTAGACCGTCCTGCGAGCACCAGAGAAATACTATAATGTCATTGTTTTCCAAGCCCGGGTAGTTTAGTTTGTGGGTACCAGGGCATGCCTGTCTGCGTGATCAGTCTGACGAGCGTGGCAATGCAGTCTTGACAATCAGCACCAGTGGACAGCACGGGAACTCACATCCATCCCACGGACATGCGCAGCAAGTTACCTACCCAGCACCTCAAAAGCCCGCCGAAAAGGTTGACGCCAAGGGCATGTCATAGAACGCTGCTATTTGTCTATTCCGGCACCAAGGCGTCATAGCCAACGCACCGCTCATGTCTTGACATGACGAGTCCCGCCTGGTGCGCCGCGGCGGCTTCGTCACATGCTGTGTGCGCGTTGGCCCAGCTATGACTTCCGAGCAAGCCTGGACCTGGCCCTGATGCGAGGGCCGAAGAAGAACAGGACGTAGACCAGGGCAACCAGGCCGAACGAGATGAAACCCAGCGTTGCCATGGCCCACTTGGTCGTCATGTTCTCGAACATGGCGATGCCGGCGTGCGCAAGACCTGCGGCGATGAGAAACGACGGGATCAAGAACGCAGCGACAGCTGAGGCGGCAACGCTCGGGTAAGAGTCCGTCAGGTAGTTCAACATGGCCAGCCAGAGCAGGGGGTCACACACGGCCAAGAGGCCGCCAGCCACGACAGGTGACCAGAAGCTCACGGACCTAGACGGAACATACTTGTCAGCAAAACCTGCAGCGTAGGCGACCCGGGCGCCAGGTCAGGTAGCTGGCTTGAACACCCGGCCTCAGCAGGTGGACTTACCCATCGTCAGTGAAGGCGAACCACAGTAATGAGATGGGGAAGCCCCAGACGCCGACGAGGGAGGTGAGAAAGCGAGCTTCGGGCCGGTTGGTGCCATGGCTGAGCCTGTCTCTCCTATAGAGGTATGTCTGCAGGGGCACGATACAGAACATGATGGTGACCTATATATATATATATCCAGCATCAGCAAGCTTGCGTATATAGCCAGCGGCCCCAACCTGAAACCCTCCGGTGCCGTAGTTTGAGCGGGGGGTTGCACTTACGCCGACTATGAAGTTCAGATACGTGAGATCTGCCCCGATGAAGCTCAACCCATTGTTGTACACAAAGACGTCGAATACGCCGTCCAGGTACAGGAAGAGAAGGCCGTAGGCGAAGCCGTTGTACAGCCCAAGAAACAGCACGATGGGCTCGGTGACCATGATCTTCAGGGCCATGGTGGTGACGAACCTCATCTCTTTCAGGACGTCGATCTTCTCTGCGATTGCGACTTCTTGGGGGTCGGCGGACCGCTGTTTCCTGACGGCCCTCGCGATGACGGTCCGTGGCAGGGTCTCGGGCAGGAAGCACATGCCCAGGGCGAAAGCAGCACCGATGATGACATTGATCCAGAAGACCCACGGGAGGCCCATGTTTGGGTTCTCGGCTATCCATTCCCCGACAGGCGAGCCGATGGAAGGGCCGGAGTTGGCGGAGGCGACGAACAGGGCCACTATGGGACATCCGAGTCAGCGCCATGGAGGCAGCGGGCAAGGGGATAAGGGGATTCCACAAGAAGTCCACAAGAAGGTCCTTACTGGGCTGGCCAGCACCATCCGAGTCGCCAAAGAGGTCGGCGATGGTGCCGGCGACATTACACAGGGCAACACTGCCGGCAGCGCCACACAGGAACTGGAAGATGATCAGCATGGGCAGGTTCAGGGCCTTGGCACAGCCAATGTTCAGGATGGCATAGACGAAGATGGCTCCGACGTAGACCCATTTCCGGCCGTTGATGTCCCTAGATGGCAAGGGTCAGTGGTGCGGCGGTGCGGCGGTGCGGCGGCGCGGCGGAAGATGGACGCAACACATACGACAGAGGCCCGAGAAAGGCAGGGCCAACGGCAGTGCCAATGATAAACATGGACTGGCCCAGGGCAATGACCTGGGTGCTGCCGCCATAAGTCTCCTGGACCAGGAACTCGGCCGACACGTATGTGGTGGTGGTCAGGGTGACAAACGCCTGCAGGAGGCAGTACCAGAAGATGATGAACCACTTCTTTGTCGAGCTCCCTGTGGACCTGTGCTCAGCGATGCCTGCCGAGGCAGGGAAAAGAAGACGACGCACAGTGAATGGGATGATGCTCGTCGGCAGTCTTGACACGCGACAGCGCGGCGAGGGTGGCGTCCTCGAGAGAGGTGTTTCCGGGGCTGGGAGGGGCCGCCTTCTCGATGTCGGATAGCTCCTTCTCAGCCAGGGGCGGTGGCTGTGTGGGAGCATGTGCGGGTGTGGAGGCCATGATGATCTATCTGGCAGGCCGCAGACAAGGATGGATGGAAAGACTGGTTCCGTAGTGTTGCTGCTGCTGCTGCTGCCGCCGCCGGGGCCGGGTGGGATCACAGAGACGGGGACGAAAGCGTGGCGTGGGCGTGAGGGAGACGAGGACGAGGACGAGGACGAGACATTGTTCCAAATCACAGCAGGGAGGCTCGGTGAAGAGCCGGAAACACGGGCTGCTTTTAAACAACGCTTACGCCATGCAACAGGTAGATAGATAGATAGGTAGATAGGTAGGTGGATGGATGGATACCGGCACACCTACAGCAAGACATGCAGTGCAGGGGGGTGGGGGGATGTGCCTGCGTGCCTCGGGTCCTCGAGGTAAAATACTCACTTGGTAGTAGGGCTGATAATGGACTGGTGTGACGACAAGGGCTGTGTGTAATGTAGGCGAGCCCCACAGTGGCGGCGAAATGACCTGGGACTTGCAACAGGGTCAGGCCAGACGAGCGGGCAGGCAGGCAGGACAGGACATGTACGGAGTACGTATGGTGCCCCGGTGGTGGCCGCAAGCCCTAGCACTCGAAATTTTCAATATCTGGGTCCGCCAGGGACTGGACTGGGAGTGGGACCGGGACTGGGACCGGGGTTGAGATTGAGACCGAGCCTGCAGGCCTGGCGACATGCTCGGGTCTGAGGGATGCGGGCACCAGAAAAGGTGCAGGTGTGATGAATGCAGGTTGATGCGAACATGCATGCTGTGCTCGGGACACTACTATAGCTCCATGATGGTCTGTGTATATTCGAGTTGTATATTGTATGTTGTATGTTGTATAGTGTATATTGTATATTGTGCGGCGCAGCACACCTGCAGGGGGTCGAGATAAGCATTGCGGGAGCTTCTGTGTCTTTTGCTTGGCTGCTTGGCTGCTTGGCTGCTTGGCTGCATGGCTGCCCGGCTGCATGGGGGCCCCCGACTGTGTTCTTTTTCTTCTTTTCTTCTTCTTTTTTCCTCCTCGACCATTTCCCTCCTTTTTTGGTGTCTTTCGCACCGTACGAATCCCTGACGGGTCGTACGGGTGTGGCATCAGCTGTGCCGCGGTATTCTGGTTGTCCCCCCCCCCGTACGGTGTACCCCGGCACTATGGCCCTCGAGCGTGTAGATTGATATCATGCACAGGGAGACAAAACAGGGTCGAACCTATCGATAGGACAATTATCAATTACAATCCCATCTCAGCTGGCCCCTGGTAGCGTCCTGGGTTTTGCGTCTCCTGAATCCGATCCCAACCCCGCGTCTCATTCATCGCCTGGCTACTTGTGTACAAAGGACCCAGCCTGGCGGCAAGGGACACGTCGTGTGTACCTAGGTAGGCGCCCCTGATTATTCAGTGAGGTTGGCGTCCTCGGCCAGCTGCCTTTGTTCCTGTGTCGAGTTGCTGCGCTCCTGGCGGGACTGGATGTCCCCGAGCTTGACCCTCCGCCTCGCATCAATGTACATCACTGGCGGGGTTCAAGTGTTAGCCTGTGTGCCGGGGTGGGTCCGTGGGTCCCGAGGCCGGTGCCAGGGGTGCTTACTGTACTCCTGGTAGGTGTGTGGCATCACCTTGACGTCCTTTGGCACCGAGAAGGTGTAGTTGAACTGCCCTGTCGGCTTGGTGGTGGTGTCGTGCTCAACATCTAGCTCCCACACACACGCGCGCGCGTGCGAGTCAGCAGTCTGTCCCCCAAGGGACGCAGCTTATTTATGGGTGGGGGCCCCACGACATACCTCTGACCTTGCTGTCAACCCTCACGTGCACTCGCGTGACGGGCTTCTCTGGATCCCTGTGCTGTGGCTCACTGCCGCCCTCTTCGAGCAGCGGGGGGTCGGTATAGGCAACGGTTGCGCGAAGGTACAGGACGCTGCCCACCGGGACGGGGTTCCGGAAGGTACAAGGGTCGGCACTGATGAAGGTCTGCGGCGGCGGGTCAGCAAGGGGCTCGCGCGGGGGCCCGCGGCGGACGGGGCGGACGGGGCGGTGGTGGGACGGACATACGGGGCGGGCATGGGCGAAGCTGGCGGCACAGCAAAAGGCCAGCTCAAAGGTCTGCTTCAGGTGGAAGCCGCCAAAGATCATGGTCTGGTGCCTGTTGCGGTACTGGGGCTGCATGATGGCGGCGGTGGACAGCTGGGTGGAGCTCATGGGGACGACGTTGGCGGGCTGGCGGAGGGGGTCGTTGGGGTCGTGGTAGCGCAGCTGGCGGAGCCAGATGGCGTGGATGAGGGCGGACTCGGGGTCGTCGGGCTCGGTGGCCAGCAGGGAGGTCCTGCTCATCTTCTTCTTGGCCAGGGACTTGGCCTCGCCGGCGCGGAAGAGGGCCTCCTCGCGGGGGGAGTCGCAGACGAGGGCGGGGATGCTGACGGGCTTCTTGGAGGCCGGGTCGAGGGCGACCATGGTGAAGGTGCACGTCAGCAGCTCGTCCTCGGGGCGGGCGGGGTCGCCCTCGGGGCGGGCGCGGGCGACGCGGCAGGTGATCTCGACGCTGCTCCGGCCCGAGGCATACGTGACCTGGCCCGAGTACTCGAGGTCGCAGATGTCGGTCAGCGGGTGGGCGATGGTGATGCGGTCCAGGGCGGCGGTGACGGTGGTGACGCCGGGCCCGGTGTGCTTGTAGACGATGACCCCGGAGAGGGCGTCCAGGTCCATGAAGATGGTGCCCAGCCGGATGTGGCCCGACGAGTTGATGTACGTGTCCGACAGCCACGGGTCGCGGCCCAGCGGCAGCACCACGCGGTGGTAGCTGTCGCTCATCCTCCTGGGGCTGAGGTCGCGCTGCTGGGGGGCCGCCTCTTGCTGCTGCTGCTGCTGCCCCTGCCCCTGCTGCTTCTGCTGCTGGCGGAAGGCCTCGATCCACGGCGTCGGGAGCCTGCCGTCCGTCAGGCCTCGAAACACGCCGTCGGTGGTGCGCCGTGCTGTTGTGCCCAGCCGGCGGGCCTGCACGAGGGCCTGCACGCGGGCACACCATCGTGCCCGGCAGGCGGTGGTGGCCCACGCGGTCGGTCGGCCCGTCATGTTCATGTCTCAGATGAGATGGCTCTGGGCGTGCACATGCGGCTGGTACGGCATGCACGACATATACGGCATGTGCGGTGCACACGACGCCAGGACGCGTCCCGGGCCCGTGCTGAGGCCCGTGCTGAGCCCGTCGGCTCCCGGCCGCTGTGACGTTGCTTTAAGCTTATCTTATCATCCGGGCGGCCCTTATCGGCCATGCTCAATCGGATGTACGTACCTCTGTACGGAGTACTACGTACTTAAGTACTGACATGGCCATGGCCATGGCCAGCCAGGCTTTTGAACCCGGTGCCGGCTTCCCCGGTCGCACCCCGACAGTCCAGAGGGGGCCGGGGTGGGTTCCCAATCGGAAGCACGGCCAAGAGCCCAAAGCGGCAGGCCTCGAGTCGAGCACTATATCCCCAACATATCACCACCTCTTGGCTTCTGCAGTCCACCGCCCGCCCCCTTTTGCTTCAATGACACCCAAGACCACGGCCAATTTGCGGAGCCCACCTCTCCGCTGCTCGACGACACCGCTGTACTACATGGTATATTTCTTACACATATAGCCACTGGGCAGCCGCGGGTGTATTGTATTATATGAATATGTATACAGGTAGACAGGTAGATAGACTCGCATCTATATATACAGCGTCTTCAGCCCCCCCCTTTCTTCATCTTTTACTTCTCGGCCTGACCCACCATAGAGCCCAGGTCTGCTCCCGATAACCCCAACATTCGACAGACACACACACACACACACAGACAGAGCCAAGATGCGTTTCCACGTCCTCACCGGCCTCCTGGCCCTGGCTTCTACGACCTCCGCTGCCATCACCTGGACCTTGCAGAAGGCCGCAAACCCTACCACGGACCAGGCCGACGCCTACGCCAAGATCGAGGCTGCCATGAGGCTTGCTGTTGCCCGCTACGCCAGGTTTTCCGACGCCACCAAGAGGCTGACGATACAGTACGAGGTGAGTGCTGCCCACGTCCATGTCGATGGCCGAACCGCTGACTCCCACCGCCCAAACAGCCGAGTGTCGCCACCGCCGACGGCAACTACAACGGCAACATACGCTTCGGGTCCAACAGGTCCTACATGACTGAACGCACAGCCATGCACGAGATCTCCCACACCCTGGGCATCGGTCAGACTGCAGCCTTCGACACCAAGTGTGCGGCCAATGACTGGGCCACGGCAACGCCACTCTTGAGGTCCTGGGACGGCTCCAGCGCCAAGATCAACTGCGGAGGTGGCCACATCTGGCCCTATGGGCTCAACGTCAGTTTTGATTCCATCCTCCAGCCCCCGCTGCTGCTGTCGAATAGTACTGACATCACATGGAATAGTACGAGACAGAATGGAGCACAACAAATGCAGACAGGCATGTGCAGCTAATTGATGCCATGCTGGCCGACGGGCTGTGAGACGTGGACTTACCATGCTTGTAAATATATTTGAATGGTGAACCATTTGACTCGTAGGCCTGTCGCAACTGATCGGTGACGCTTTGCAGACAATGGTGGACACTGCTTATTATTGTGCATGCAGCTGTGCCCTCGTAATACTAGCTACCTGGGTAGCTACCTAGGTACCTAGGCAGGCAGTATGCATGTTTTAAGAGTGGTTGCGGTCTGTTACTCAAACTAATAATGAGATGTTGTGACACAACAAGTTCCACGTTGAATGCTTGGGAATCTCGTTATCTTGTTAATGACTGGCCGAAATTACTTGGTTTAATAGACACCAATGACTTCAATTAATGGGATTCTGCACCTAGTTAGTGGTTTCGATAACCCCAAAATCCAGTTCAGCAGTGTGATGATCCTATGCCCATACAACATTCCAAAGTCAATTGCTTGAACTACCTGCTTAAGTAGGTAGCAAGAATAAGAATACCAGCCTAGCTACATGAATCTATACCGCAGTCTCTCCACGCATATGCGCATATTCCTGATTATTTACACACACTTTGATGCCTAGGTACCTTGGTATTTACGTGCACAAATACTTGGTCATGGGTCCACTAGTCTTGTTGCAGTAACAAGGGTGCTTAGTTTCAAAAATGCCTAGGTGTACTCGGTTCTTGACGGCACAAATCTGTCTGAAAAACAAAGTTTATAACATAACTACACTTGTATACAAGATATGTAATACTATGGACATCAAAGTCCGTCCTATTAACAACCCAGGCCTCCAAGCCTGTACTGGTCAATGTCCAACTGTACAGATTTTCCGCTTTACCTTGCGCCTACACGTACACCGTCTCTCTCAGAGCCTCCGAGGCCTTGCGGCCAGCCAGCCTCGATGATCAAAAGAATATACCGTGCGAAGGGCTGCCGAGGCGGCCATTGGCTTATTAGTCAACAACACCAGCGGGGGTGTTGCAGAGGACGCCTTGCTCAAGCTGCGACGTACTGTTAGCACATGGGGGCTCGAGGCCGGGCCGAAGTCGATGACGCCAGGCCCGCCGAGACAGAAGGAAGACTCACGATGGGGAGGACACAGCAGCGAGCCTGCTGGCCAATGGCGGAGCACTCGGCCTGGAAGTCGGATGCGTTGGCCGGGACGGTTGGGGGGTCCGCGCAGTTCAGGTCGGCAACCCCGAGGACATCGGTAGCGCAGCACTGGGCGGTGCCGTACAGGCCGGAGCAGGGGATGTAGAGCTGGCGCTCCTGAAGCTCGACAGGCGAGGACAGGGCAACGCTGGCGAAGAGGGTGGCAACGATGGTGAGGTACTGCATGATGGGCTGTTTCTTTTGGTGGTATGGGGACGATAATGATGATGATGGTGGGTCAAGAGTCTTGAGGTGTTGTTGAGATGCTGAGGAGCGAGGCAAGTTGGATCTGAGCGAGTATGCAGGAGGGTATTGTGGCTTTTATACCCGAGGACCTGGGCTCCCTCCGGGCGGTTTTGCGCGCAGGTTGGACCAAGAGGCTACGTCGACGCGTCGTCTCTCTAGGGGACAGCAGCGCCTCTGACATCAGAGGGGATCAAGACCGTCATGTATCATGTGGAAGAGGACGCTAAGTGTTGATTATCTTGCTCTGGGAGGGTGGACACAAACAAGGGGACATTTCAGGGGGGGATACCAAGGGGGCATCTCAAGGCGGGCATCTCAAGGCGGGCATGCGGCGGGAAGGAGTACGGATAGCTGCTCTGCTACTCTGCTGCTCTGCCACTCTGCCACTCTGCCACTCTGCTACTCGGGCAGGCCAGCAAGGCCCGGTTCGTCTGATGTGAGGAGGCCCTGCCGTGAGAGGCATCAAGACCTCCTCCGTGCGAGCCCGGGGCATCTGGGGCACCCCGGCAAGACCAACAAGAACCTGGACTGGGATATGGGCCGCCGAGAGGCACTGAAGCATTGGACGACAATGACGGCGATGAACGCCAAGCCATACCATACCACGCAGTCGCGCAGCCGCGGGCTCGAGGCGGGCGTCGGGCCAGGGGAAAGGTGCCAGAGAACCACAGTCAGTATAATGGCAGGGGCTGGTATAAGTCGTCGTTGATGCGCCACGCAGCCCAGGCAGGATCGGCATATGCGCAGGAGTAGAGGCCAATGGCAGCCGCGAGCACAAGGATGACACAGTCCACCGCCACAAGGTCGAAGGTCGAAGGTCGAAATACTGCCTGGCAGCCTGGACGTTGTTGATTTTGGCCCGAGGGCAGACGTCAGTGGTGGTCCTGGTCCATGGCAACATGTGCTGTGCCTGACAGGGGAGGGGCCGAGATTGCACGGCCATGCATCATAGGACATGGGAGAATAGCGTGCAGTTCAACGTCGACCAGATCCCTGTGGGGCGCATCCGCACCCAGCCAATCGTAGCTTTGCGACGGGCCCGGGCCCCCTGGTGGCAATCTGGGGCTCCCTCAATGACGGCAGCCACGCACCCAGCCCAAGTCTGTCAGAATTCGGTACTCTAAATTGGCCGACCACCCCGGACCCCAGACCCCTGCCCGCTCGTCCCATCCCATCTGAGGTCTGCCAGCTCTGCCAGCTCTGCCAGCTCTGATATAGCCCAAGCCCACCTGCCCACGCAGCCAGACGGCTTCCACACACACCCACATTCCTGTTTCCTGCTCCTGCCCGACTCCCGCCCGTCGCCCTCTGGCGCTGACGCAGTACTACACAGTGGCGGCCGTTACATCGCCAGAAGTCGTGCCCACCACATTCTGGCCTGTTCAACCGCCTCTTATGATGCCAGGATGCGTACCTGACCACCCCTGTCCTCCTTTCTTTCTCTTCATCATAGCCCCAGCTCCCACTCACAAAGCCGCTCGCTCACACACCTCGCTGCCAAGCGGCCTCGCGCTCTCACAACTCCTACCTACTTCGTACTCAAGCTACTGTAGGTGCTACTAGGTGGTAGGTCGGCAGGGGGCGCAGGGGGGCAGGGGGGCAGGGGGGCAGGGGCGCCGGACAGTCTTCACAACAACCATCACCGAATCCGGTCGAGCCGTCCCCGGGCTGCCGGGCTGCTTGCCTGTTGCGGCCCACCTGCCTCTCATCTGTACAGCGCCATGTTACGCTCCTGCTAGATAGTCTGATAGTACGATAGACATATATACTGTACTACTGACTGGCCTGACTGCCTACGCGCACAGGCTGAATGGCTGACATTGTGTCTGCATGGCGCCAGGCGCTTCAACACTCACTAGTCTGGCTCATTGCTCATCTGGCAGTCTGGCTCGTCTTTGCCACTGCGTAATATCGGCCCCTAACACATGCCTCTTGTCTTGTCCTGGACACATGGTGGTCTCGCACCACACACTCCCTGCCACCCTGCCAGCCTGCATCGCGTCTCCTCCCTCCTGGGTCTCCAATACGAGCCCTCGGCCTCCGTCTGGAACCAAGTAACCTGGTGCACAGCGCCCCGTCCTGCCCCTCGGCCCGACTCTTCGCCATTGTCGCCCGCCGTTGTCATGACGGTCGGCCGGTCGGCCGGCCCATGTTGGGCCCACCTCACACTCGAGGGCTTGCAACCCCCATCCGTGAGCCCCGAGATGGCCAGGAGCCTACGCGTATGCTGCAGCACGCACCCAAGCACCCAAGCACCCAAACATCATGGCAGAGGCAGGCAGCCGGTGGGAAACTCTCACAGGCACGTTTGGATTCCGCCATGTCGACTTTTTGTCTCTGGGCACACAGGTCCCCGCGATCAGTGTACCGATTGTATTCATACAAGTAGCGCCAGTCCGCCCTCTAGCACGTGCACAATCTATCGTAGGCCTCCGAGCACTCGCCCTCATCCCCGCACCTGGCCCTCCCTGGCTTCTCCTCGCTCCGCTCCCTGCACTAGGCGTAGAAGTTGACCGTCTGCGCGGTCTGTTAGCGGGGTGCTGCCCACAGCAGGGGGGCTCCGGGGCTTCCTGGCGGGGAATCAGGCTCACCTCCTTCTTCTTGGACTGGACCTCGGCGATGGCGTCGACATAGTGCTCGTGGCTGATCTTGTTCTTGCCCATCCTGAGCGCGATCATGCCGGCCTCGACGCACACGGCCTTCAGCATGGCGCCTCCGAACTCGTCCGTGCTGCGCGCCAGCTCGCCCCAGTTGACGGCGCTGTCGACCGTCATCTTTCGGCTGTGGATCTTCAGGATCTGGGCCCGCGCTTCCTCGTTGGGCAGCGGGAACTCGATCTTGCGGTCCAGGCGGCCAGAACGCAGCAGCGCCGGGTCGAGAACATCAACACGGTTTGTTGCCGCCAGCACCTTGATGCGGTCATCCGAGGCGAAGCCGTCAAGCTGGTTGAGGAGCTCAAGCATGGTCCGCTGCACTTCTCGGTCGCCCGACTTCTCCGAGTCGAACCGTTTCGTGCCGACGGCGTCGAGCTCGTCGATGAATATGATGGACGGGGCCTTCTCCTTGGCCAGCGCGAAGCAGTCTCGCACGAGCTTGGCACCGTCGCCGATGAACATCTGTACCAGCTGCGGGCCGGCAAGCTTGAGGAACGTGGCGTCGGTCTGGGCGGCACAGGCCCTCGCCAGCAACGTCTTCCCGGTCCCGGGGGGCCCGTACATGAGCGCGCCTACAGTGTCGTCTCGTTAGTACGGTATACAGCGGCACAGACCCCGTGAGTGGGGACACCTCGACAGCACCCAAGGACTCCACCCGCCTACTCACCCTTTGGTGCCTTGATGCCGATCTTCTTGAACCGCTCCGCTTCCTTCATCGGCCAGACGATGGCCTCCACGAGCTCCTCGATCTGCTTGTCCAGACCGCCGACATCGCTGTACTTTTCGGTCGGTTTCTCATCGACCTCCATGGCCTTGACTCGGGAGTCGTATTCGGCAGGCAGGGTATCGAGAATGAGGTACGAGTCCTTGTTGACGCCGATGAGGTCGCCGGGCTTCAGATCCTCGGGGTCTACCAGCCCGATCAAAGGCAAGAAGATGGTCTGTCTCGTCGAGGTCTTGATGACAGCCGACTTGCCCACCCTCGTGGCATCGAGATCGATGTTGGCACCCTCCTCCGACGACTCTGCTGTAGGATCCAGATCGAGCAGCTCGACGACGTTGCCGACCAGGTACGGGAGCTGTCGGTTGTTCTGGATCTTCTCCCGGTTCTCCTTGATCTTCTCATTCATGGTTGCTTTCTCGTGTTGTAACCGCTGGAATTCGGACTTCATGATTCTGGCATCGTTTTCAAGTAGTCGCCTGCGGTTCAGTATGTCCTGGGTGTTGAGCGAGAGGATCTCGTCGTCGATGACGTTTTCCTCCTCGGCATCCTTCATCTCAGCGTCGCCGTCGCCAGAAGGCTTGTCATTTCCGTCACCCTTGTTGTCCTTGCCATCCTTCTTGTCCTTGTCGTCGCGGTCGCGGCGCTCGAGATCGTCCAGTTCCTCAAGGGACGCCATGGTGGCAACGAAGAAGGGTGGGGGGGGGGGGTTTAGAAGGTTTGTGATGGGGAATCCGCCTCGGGGTGGTCAGTACTGGTTGAAAAGAAAGTATGAGGTTGGCGAAGTGGCAGATGGGTCGCTCGGATGGGTGGGGTGGTAATGCAAGGGGCACTCGAGCAGGCGTGGGTGGTGAGGAGATGGATCCAAGAGGTAGTGTGTTGAACAGCTTCGGAGCTGGAGGTTGGCGGCTTAGCACGAGGCAGGCAGGCAGGCAGGCAGGCATAGGCGCGTCACCGGACCTTAGTCAGCTAGCCAAGCTGTGGCAGCCGATAAGCTCGCTTATCCACCCAAGTTGGCACCCACCGTACACATGAATTGATGTTACCAAGACTACCTACCTAGGTACTGAGTACATAGAGTCGTACAACCTGAGACTACTTGATGATCTGACTGCTCGGCCATGGCTGTCACGTACCTAGGTAGGTAGGTAGCTACTGCAATCTTACGTACAGTTTTGGGGTGTCGGTCTCCTACAATAGCCCCTGGGAGCTGCCCAGGGAGAGGTAATATGTGAATACCTACCTACCTAGGTATATAGGTAGGCAGGCTGTAGGTGCGAGTCCGCTCTCGCACTGAGCACGACATATCGAGCATCCCCGCCAACGGGGTCCTGCCAAGGATCGTAATCTTGGTATCATTACATCTCATTGCTGCTGCTGCTAGCAGTGCTAGCAGGTCGAATTGCCCCTCCCCAAAGAAAAAAGTCTTGAGCAAACAGAAGACAGCCGGCACGTGGACAGGGCTGCCCGTCTTCCCCCCTTTGAGCCACTGGGGATTACTCCTCATCCACGAACCTGCTCGCAATCTGGCCGAAGAAGGGAACCTCGAACCTGTCGAGCATGTCCGCATCACGGTATGCCTTGAGGGTCAGGAGGGCGACCAGGCCGAGATCGCAGAGGAACAGAAGCCACCCGAGAAACACGGACCACGAAAAGATAAGATGGACGATGAAGACAGCGGTGAATAGGAGCGCGGACTGCCAGGCGTGGAATCTGCTCCGAGTCAGCTGCGGTCGGGGCAAAGCCGTCTCGGACCTACCTGACGTAGTCGCTCTTCCTCTCCAGGATCAACAGCAGGATGGCCCCCAGCGGCGGCAGCGCCAGGTAAGCCAGGCATGCCTCGTAGTCCAGCCTGATGCCCAGGCTCGTGTCAAACTCGTTGATGCCCTCCCTGTCGGCGGCCAGGCCACTGCCTATGTTGCCAAAGTATCCATCGGCGCCCCGGGCGGCGGCGGCGGCGGCGGCGGCTGCAGGGGCTGGGCTGGCCTGGTAGTTGGGGCTGGCGATGCGGTATCCGCTGGCCTGCCAGTTGCGCTGAGGCTGGGGATGCTGCAGCGGCGGGGGGCTGGCCTGGTTCGAGCGCTTCTGGTAGGCGGAGGGCGAGAAGGGGCGGCGGTCCAAGGAGGCACGCGGAGATGCAGTGTCTGGCGAGCGGGACTCCTCTGGAGCCGAGGCCTGATAGGGCGCGAAGTTCATTTGGACGCGTCTGGCTGTGGACAGCAGTCCGCGGGGGCGTCGCGTTTACGGACCACAAGCAAACATGGCCCGTGGGACTTGTGATGACCTCAGGCAGCCGACGGTGACGGTGGCCGACGTGCTGCTGTCGCGTCAGGTCAAGGGGGGGGGGGGAGAAAGCTTGGGGTGCCTCGGGGTTGGACAGGCAGGCGACTGGCCTGCCCAGGTTTCCCCAGGGAGCTGGGGACTTGGGACTCCGCCTGCCGCTCGCTATCGGCTCCTCTGGGTATGGGGCCAGGCTGGCTGCAGGGGCCCCGACGCTTGCGGCCTAGACCAGACTGTACCTAAGTACGTACCTAGGTGGGTACCTAGGTACCGTTGTACACCTGCAGTGTGCAAATCCAGAGCGCCTGGCGGCCCGCTCCGTGGCTCGCTACATACTTACATGACTTCTCTGGCATGGTCGAGTGCAAGTAGTCAAACACCGTGGGCGACAGCGCTATTGGATGAGTCGGCGTGTTGTCTGAGCTCCTGAATAGTACACCCCTCGCTCGTTTGCCGAAACACAATGTTGAAATGCCCAAGAGTAGTCTGGACCCCCTGGACCGTTCTCCTGCGGGCCTCTCAACCAACGAGTTCTTGAGGCAAGGTACAGATGCATATGGCACATGCAATAAGTGGTACATTGTTCCTCCAGCCTCATGCACCGCAAGCTCCCACGGCCGAGGTGGTTGTGTTCGCGATGGTTGACGCCAAACCTGTTTCCCGCTCACCGCTCACCGCTCACCGCTCACCACCGAGGTCCTATTCGCTCTTGTTGTCATCGTTCTCGCCCTCCTCCAGCATCGTCCTCCGTGACTCCATCGTCACCCATAAGCTCTTCGATGCGCCCTCCAGCGCGGTTGTGAGACCCAGGCCTGCGCTCTGCAACATGGCCACGAGCTGTGCACGCAAGCCGTCCAGGCCGCCATCGATGCCGCCCACCCATCTCACGCCTTCCGAGTCAAAGACCTTGCCTTCAATCCTGCCGCCGATGAGAAGCAGCTTTTGCAAGCCGCTTTGTGTCGTGAGATCGTGGTAGCCCGGGTTCTTCTTCCGCGTAGGGGCGGGGAACGCGGGCGGGCTAGGCGACAGTATGGACAGCGCTGCGGCCAGGTGTTGTGGTGACACGGCCGGGAAGGTGAGGAGTGCCACCTGGCCGACCATCAGCGGCGCCAGCTGGGCGTAGGTGGAGTCCTCGGGAATGGCACCCTCGGTGGCCTTGACTGCGTTGTATGCCGCCATGGACAGGTCGTGGGTGTAGCTTTCCTTGGCGCCCGCAGCGTGGGACTTGCCGACAGCGGCCGGGTCGAAGAACTCAACAACCTTGAGGGCTTGGTCAAAGGTGCGCGTGCGTATGACCTGCAGGAGGATGTTGGGCGTGATGTCGACGGGCAGCTGGCCGTCGGGGGCTGCTGGGGCAGGCGGCACGGCGGCCAGGGCGGCCCTCAGCTCGCGGCGTATGGCTGCCCACTCGGCGGCTGTGAGGTTGTTGTGTTGGAACATGAGCATCAGAGGCGTGGACCGGAGGAGAGATGTGTAGGTGCGCAGAAGCTGGGCCTTGCGCTCCTCGGAGCGCCTGGCGCTGAGAGGCTTGGTTGGAGGGACGTAGTCATCGGGCAGCCTCAGCATCGAGGCTATCGGGGCCGCTGTGGCATACTGCCTCGGGGCTATGGCGACGGCGGAGGAGGGCGCCCACACCGGCGCGCTGCAACGGCGCGGTGTGTGCACGTTGCACCTCCACGCAGAGGCGGCAAGCCTCGTCGAGGCTTGACACTGCACCCTGGGCGGCATGCTGGAGGCGAGATGCGTGCGCCCGAAGACAAGGACTGGCCGCGGCCGGAGCAAGACAAGACAAGACAAAACAAAACAGACAAGACAAGAGAAGGAGGCAGGTTGGAAGACTGGCCGGCCTTGGAGCTCAGAGCTCAGTCAATCTTGGGAGTGTCGATGCAATCGCAGCCAGGGTCGTGTCTTCGAAATTTCTGGCCCGTCTGCCCAGCCGGTGGAGACTGGGTACCGGTACCAGGTACATGGTGATGGGGTGAGTCTGGGTGGGCCATGCCGATCCAACATGGAGATGTGCACGTACCCTCTACTCTACCCATGTGTGAGCGTGGGCAGGCAGGCAGGCTGGCAGGCCGAGCTATTAACGATAAGATAGGAGGGCTGCAGGGCTGCAGGGGTAACAAGCAGTTCCCATAATCGGGATTGGGTTTGCCTATGACTCTACCGTGCCGACGCCCTTCCCTCACTTACTACTACTACCTGCTACTTGGGCCTCACCCATTGCACCTCCTCAACACTCGGTGCCGGGCGAGATCACGCAAAGCAAGACAAAGCAGGACAGGGTAAAACAGGGCAGGGCAAGTCAGGGCAAAGCCCCGAAAATGGCTGCGCCCACCACCGACCCGGGCCGGAAGCTACAGTCCGAGTCGCAACCGGACCTCATCGAGGCTTCCGCCGGTGCTTCACAGCCCCCGCCTGTTGTCGACATCAAGCCGTTGCTTTCGCGCCTGTGGCCGCGAAAACCAGACGTCACCGCCAGCGAGATCTCCGACGCAATCGAGCACTTCTTCACCGACCGCATCGACGATGTCCAGACAGGCGCCCTGCTCATGTGCCTGCACTTCACTGGCCTGGACCGCGACCCCGAGGTCCTGTCGCAGTGCGCCCAGAAGATGCTCAGGGCCGCCGCGCAGGTCGACTCGCACCTGCTGCGGCAGGTAATCGAGACCAGGGGCAGGAGGGAGGGCAGCTACTCTGGCGGATTCGTAAGTCAGCCTGCCCGTCCGCCTTGACTTGCCTTGGCTTGCCTTGACTTGTCCTGACTTGCCCTGCTCCTGCTGACCACCATCTACCTCCCGCCTGCGCAGTGCGATATAGTCGGCACAGGTGGTGACTCCCACAACACCTTCAACATTTCCACGACCGCATCCATCCTCGCCTCCAGCCTCCTCCTCGTCTCCAAGCATGGCAACCGCGCCTCCACCTCAAAGTCTGGCTCTGCCGACCTCATTGCAAACATGTGCTTCCCCACCCCGCCCGACATGTCCGCCGTCGAGCCAGCCAGGATAGGCCAGATATACAGCAAGACGAACTATGCCTTCCTCTTCGCCCCCTCCTTCCACCCGGGAATGCGCTTCGTCTCCCCCGTCAGGAAGAAGCTGCCGTGGCGCACCGTCTTCAACCTGCTCGGACCCTTGGCCAACCCCATGGATGTTTACAACAGGCCCATGCTCGAGGCGAGGGTCATCGGCGTCGCGAGGAAGGACCTGGGCCCAGTCTTTGCCGAGGCTCTACGCCTCAACGGCGTGAGGAAGGCCATGGTTGTCTGCGGGGACGAGGAGCTGGACGAGGTCAGCTGTGCCGGGCCGACCCTGTGCTGGAGGCTTGCCGAGGACCCCGCAGGCGATGTTGTGGTCCATCACTTCAGGCTGACCCCCGAGGACTTTGGACTTTCCAGGCACCAGCTGGACACGGTCTCGCCGGGCAAGGAGCCGGCCGAGAACGCCAAGATCCTCAAGAGCATATTGAACGACGAGCTCGCCGACGACGACCCTATCCTCGAGTTCGTGCTCATCAACACTGCGGCGCTGTTTGTGGTCTCGGGTGTCTGTGACGCAGATTCCAGCGATATGGGCCATGGTGATGATGGTAACGTCCTGAAGGAGACAGGGCCTGGTAGTGGGAGATGGAGGGAAGGGGTGAGAAGGGCACGCTGGGCCATCAAGAGTGGCGAGGCGTGGCGGCAGTGGGAGGCGTTTGTCCAGGTGACAAACGATCTAAACAGTGGACCGTCTTAGTCTTTTGTTCTAGACATACAGTTAGACCCAAACGTGGTTCACGGTCTGCTAGTGACAATAGATGGCTATCAAGGGGCGTATCCTTCCCGCCCCTCCCCCCCGGCCCACCTCCACCAAATTTCCACAGGGCCAACAAATGGCCTGCCTATGCATGCCCCATTTCCCCCCACCCTATCTAGCCATGACCGCCTTCACGGTACCTTTGACACTCGGTCGGCCCTCAAATCCAATATCCTCAATCTCTGGGTGCTCACCGGCTCCTCGGGATATCCACCGTGCCAGCAGGTCATTGCTCTCCTTTGGCTTGATGTTGTTGTCCCGTGTACCGACGGTCAGGTGCGCAACCTTGTTGACACAGTGCCACTTGTCCTCGGGGTCGTTCAGCCTGACCACGATGGCCATGACACGCCCATCATAGACAACACGTTCCAAGACGACCTCAACCTCCGCCAACGGGCTGTCGGGGACGCCGGAGCTGGCTTCAGCCTCGGCCTGTAGTTTCGAGTACCGGTCCCACAGCTCAGGATGGTCTTTCGAGCTGGCACGGTGCATTAGTGTGACGTGAAACTTAGGCTGGATACGACGGGTGCCTCCCAGAAGCTTGTAGAAGCGGGACTTTTCGGGGCCGGCTTCCCTGAATGTCTTCTCGAGGATGGGGTTGATTTCCGCGGCTGGCACATCAACCGACATGTACTCAAGGGGCTTCTTCTTAATTTTCTTCTGGGCCTGGGCCTGTCCGCCATTCTGGTTTTCTTTGCCGGGCTTTTTCCGATCCGGTATCGTGTGTCGCAGGTCAGGACGGTACTCGTCCATGGCTTCTTGAATGACACGGTCCATCTCCTCAGCCTTGGGAGTATTCGGTACCAACTTGGGGTAAAGGCGCTGGAGCTCGTTCACCACCTTCTCCAGGTTCTCTCGGCTGGACGCGAGAGGATCGAGGTTGATAACGGCGTCAAAGCCATCGTCTGGTGCTCTATCGCTGTCCAGAGGCTCGAACCTGTTCAGGAACCCTTCCATGATGCCCCTGACCTTGTGGGGGTCGGTGGCAGCCTGGATGGTCTGGTGATTGTCGCCGCGAGCAAAGACGCGGCCCTGCGTGATCTCGCGCACCCTGTCCAAGTTGTTATGCACGAAATTCAAGGCCACGAGGCGGGAATCTGCGTGCTGTATCTTGACATCTGTGAGGATCTGCTTTCTCTCGTGTTTCTGGGCATTGTTGCGGTCGGCAGTGACGGCAGGGTGGCTCTCCAGCTGCTCAAGTACCATCTTGGTAAAGCGCGGGGGCCGCTTTGCGCCGGTGATGTTATCGTTTTGGACGTGTCCGAAACCAAAGAGCTTGGAGAGCCCGACAGCAATGGTTGTCTTGCCGCAGCCGATGGTTGCGATGGGGACGAGGATGACGTCCCGCTCGACCTCGGCGTGCCCGCCGTCTCCGAATAGCTCCTCGAACTTGGCCGCATCAGCACCATCGATTTTCTTGAAGGCCAGGAAGTCGTTACGGAGGGCGATGATGCCATGATTCTGGGTGTAGAGCTTGCTAAGGTTCGGGTCGGCGGCAAGCCTCTTCTTTGCAAACATGAGATACTCCTCGGTGATTGCGCGATGCTTCGTGACCCTGGGCGGTTTGCCTGCGATCAGGGCCTTGGTACTCTCCCTCCACTGGCGGTACAACAAGTAAGGCTCCTCGAACTTGTACTTGAAGAACCAGTCGAAGGGCTGGACCTTGGACGGATCCCAGGAGCGCTTGCAGCGGACGACAAAGCCCTCGACGTCACGGCCCTCGTGCGCACCGGTTTCTGCGCACTCCTCCAGAAACCTCCTGACCTCGGCGATGGTGTCCATCCTGAGAACACCGACCTTGCGAAAACCCCAGGTGTCAGCAAAGTGATGGACCGAGGCGGCGGGGTAGGTCATGAACTCCGGGAGGTTGACATTGATGCCGTGCAGGTAGAGGCCGGCCTTGTCGGGGCCGTAAGCGAGAATGTGCTCCTCAAAACCGTCGTCGCACAGCTCGGCGACTGCAGTGATGTTGCGGCTCCTCAGCTCGCGGGCAAGGTCTTCCTTGGTCCTGCCCAGGGCTTGGAGCTGGCGCTCTACCCAGCGCTCACCAGCCGCGGCATGGCTGAGGTTCACGTCGCTGCGCTCGCCCGTGGAGTGTTTACTGCAGACCAGGAGGGTACCGTCTTCCAGGCCACTCATGAATATGATGCAGCCATTCTCCTTGAGGGTGAGCTCGTAGGGCCCGGTGGTCTGGGCCTCAATGGCATCCCAGCGGGTCTCGTGGACCTCGCCGACGTTGAAGAACTTGTCATAACCGCGTATAGCGATCTCTGGGACGTTGTTGCGCGTCCTGGTGGTGAACAGGCCGCGGGCGTAGGTGGGCAGGCCGCGCTTCTTGTACTCGTAATCCTGGAACTTCCACGAGTCGACGGTCAGGCCGTCGCGTGAGCCGGCGACGGCATATTTGTTCTTCTTGGCGGTGAAGCCAGCCTTCTTCTTGTCCTTGGCGGCATCCTCTAGAGAGCGACACAGGCGGGCAACGTCCTCCGGGTTCTGCTCGGCAAAGGGGGTAGCCGTAGGTGCAGGGGCGGACGAGAGGGCCGCAGCCTTGTCCTGCACCGGCTGCTCCATGGCCTGGCTGGCTGTGCCTGCGGAGGTGGGGTGTAGTAAAGGGGCTGGAGGTCTCCGGCACGTCACAAAAAGAGGCGGCAAGCAGTATAATGCTGGGCGAGGGCGAGGTCCGAGGCGAAAATACTCGGGTCGCGGGAGGTCTGGGGCTGAAGATAAAAACTGATGGGCGAGGGTTTTGGAGGGCCAAGGGCTACAAAGACTCAGACGGCAAGGGGTGAAGGTGTTGTGAGGAAGGCGGCAACCGCGCACACTAGGCACACGAGGCACACGAGGCATTCACTGACCGAGATTGTTCCGTCTCGAGTGCAGTTGAGTCGGGGTGAGCCATTCATACAACAGAGGCGAAATCAAGAATGAGTCAAACGGCCAACAGCCAGCGACCGGCCCTCTCTTAGGCCTGCCTGCCTCTGTCTGCCTGCCTGCCTGCCTCGCCAGACTCGCCCAGGCAGAAGGCCCGCCTTGGAGGCCACGGGGAAATGACGAGAAGACCATCTGGGCGCCTAACTACCTACCTAGGGGGCTCTAACGGTCCTCAACTGGTTTTCAGATATCAACATGGTGATTTTCCCTCCTGTGCTAATTACTGATTTGGTCTCCTCCTGGTGTTGAGGGTTAGGGCTTCCTGGCTCCTGTCATTCTGCGCAGGGATTATCCGCCCAGGCACCCAGGCAGTAGTAGCGTTGCCCTCAGCCCTACGCAGACATGTCTGTTCTGCCCGCTCTGCCGCTCATTGACATCTCCACCTACCTCCCAGGTGGTCTGTGCACTGGCTCTCCAACCCTCAAACTGGCCCTAGCTATGAGCTCCCCCAAAGCTCGAGCTCCGATGCTGGCTGCCAGCTGCTAGCGTGGACCAGAGCTGCATGACATCACCGGAGCATTCTCCCCGGCGCACCACGGCTTGCAGCGCAGTACTATCCTCAATGCGTAATCGGACTTTGTGATGTAATCGTTCTTGACCTGCAGTCGTTGGATACTTACTGTGCTCCTCCTGGTGACGCTGTGCTCTATGCCACTTGCAATGTGCAGTACAGAGCAGGTGCATGTCGCACAATTGATATCCAATGACGCTTTTTGTCGCCCTTTCTCCCTCCTGCCGTTGTCTGACGTCACCAGGGTGAAAAACATACCCAACGAAGCTGCCCGTACCGCTCGCGTCCACAGGCTTGCCCTCGTTCACCCATCATCGGCCCATCGAGATGGTGGTGACTGCAATACAAACCACAGGCCAACACGTCTCTGCTTTATTTGCAGGTGGGCCGTCTGATATTCTGACCGGCGGGCTCCCATGCCACAGTGTGCACATGCCTGGGTGTCTGTGATAGCGTGCCTGGGGAATGTGTCTTGACGTTGGCGTTGGCGTGCACGTACCGTTCTGGACTGCTCCCAAAGCAGCAAGCACAAGCAAAGCTGTAACCGTAGTCCAGCCCCATGCCTGGCTACTTGTGTGTTGCGGGCGGCGTTTGTTGATCCACTCCTTCCTGCACATGCATCGGCTGGCCCCCCAAGCCACATCACAAAGAAGTGACGTACATGCGTTGCCATCGCATCATCCACCTGCCTAACCCCCCCCCCAAATTACCTACATGTAGGTTACCAGCTTCTCTCTTCTGAGCCCTCTCACATCTGCACCCACTTCCTTCTTGACGTGCCGCCTTGATTTTCGAGTGCTGCTTACCATCCACAAACAACACAATCACCCATCCATACATCCATCCATCACTCCATCCAACTTCGAAGCGACTCACAGTTTAGCCACGCCATGAGGCTCATCAAAGCCCTCATCTCCGTCGCCCTCGTGGCCGACGCTGCTGTTGCCAGCAGTAACAGCTGGTTCTCCAAGGCCGGTAAATACAGTAACCGCCCTTTTCACTTGCCCTCCTTTTCCAACTTGCCACTCTATGAGCCATACGGACACAGGCGCTGATACTGACGCACCCCCCCCGCCTCCAGCTTACAATAAGTGGCATGAGACCGAGCTCGAGCGCTGGCTCTCCGACCATGACATCCCCTATCCCACCCCGGCTGACCGCAAGGACCTTGAGAAGCTCATCCAGTCCAACTGGGAGAACTACGCCGTCAGCCCCTACAAGAACTGGGACAGCGACAAGTTGACAGGCTATCTGCAGCAGAAAGGTGTCGATGTCCAGGACTCCGCAAAGTCGAGCAAGGACACACTGGTCGCCCAGGTTGCGGCTTCTTGGTACGAGACCGAGGACAAGGCCCAGAACGCCTACTCCAACGTCAAGGATTGGATTCTGGACACCTGGACAGAGAGCCAGCTCAAGGCCTTTTGCGACCATCACGCCATTCCTGGTGAGTCCGCAGCCTTTCCCCTACCCCTCGCGGAGCCGTGCCGCCATCTGACACCATGCAGTACCCCAGCCTCGTCAGCGGGATACCATCCTGTCAAAGGCCCGCAGCAGCTATGAGACCATCGCGCAGAAGATCGGCGAGGCTGCTTCGTATCCTGGCGACTGGCTCTACGAGACGTGGACTGGTGAGTCTCCCTTTCCGCCCTCCCCACCTCCTCAGCAGGAGGAATTAGCTCCTTCGCAAGGGTCTAATGGTCGCAGAATCCGACCTGAAAGAGTGGCTTGACACCCACGGCTTCCCGGCTCCCCAGCCTAGCACTGTGAGTAACGCACATGGCCCGGTTGATGTTCAGACACACCTCTGATATCCCCTTGCAGCGTGACAAACTCATCGCCTCGGTCCGCCGCAATTCTCGCCTGGCCTACCTCAAGTCGCAGGAGCAGCTTGCCAGCGCCACAGCTAGTGCCCAGGCTGCATATGCGACGCTCACCGACAAGCTCATCGACTCATGGAGCGAGTCTCAGCTGAAGGAGTTTGCGGACAAGAACGGAATTCCTGGTGGGTATATTATGGATGCCCGACTTGGTGCAATTAACTCTGACCCCGGCCACAGTCCCTCAAGGAACCAAGTTGAACGAGCTTCGCGCCCTGGTCCGCAAGCACCGCGCTGATATCCTCGGCGACAACATCTCTGGTACCGCTGCTTCAGCATTCGGAGCTGCGACCTCGCAGGCGGGTAATCAGTACGCTAAGGCTACCAACGACGCATCACTAGCCGCCCAGGAAGCCTTTAACAGCGCAATTGACAGCTGGTCGGACACTCGTCTCAAGGCCTACCTTGATGCCCGTGGTGTCCCCGTTCCGCACGCCTCCAAGACCGACGAGCTGCGTGCCCTGGTCCGCAAGAACTACCACAAGGCATCCACTGGCTGGAATGCCTGGACTTTTGATGACTTCTCGATTGAGAATTTGAGGGACTACCTAAAGGCCAATGGAGACGCTGCTGCCAAGAAGACAGCCGACAAGTCCGGCGCTACTCGCGACGAGCTCGTAAGTGCTGTACAGTCTGCCTACGCCTCTGCCTCGTCTGCAGGCGGCTCAACGTATGCATCTGCCACGAGCTACCTCACCCAGGCCACGAATTCGGTTAGGAAGAGTGCATTCGATACCTGGAGTGAGAGCGATCTGAAAAACTATCTCGACAGCTATGGAATTGTGGGTTACTATCCTCCGCGGGAACTACCCGGCCGTGTATCATGATGGAAAGTACTGACTGTACTGTGAAGCCTGCTCCTCAGGGATCGAAGATCAACGAACTGCGAGCGCTTGCTCGCAAGCACTCGACTTACTTTCGCTACGGCACGAGCAGCCCATCTGGAACGGCCCTCGCACAACTCAGTGAGACACTGCAGGCAGCGTGGCAGTGGGTCGCAGGTCAATTCAGCGCTGGTGCCGACGTCGCAAAGCAAAACGCCGGCGCGGCCAAGGACAAGGTCAAGGAAGAGCTCTGAAGTACCACTACTGATCGTGAACTGGCCTCTCAAGCGGTGACAGAATCTCTGATGGCGCCCTCAGAAGTCGCGCGTGAAGAACGCGGCTTGCCACCACGGGAGTGTGATCCAGGCCTCGTTGTGAGGTTTTACAAGTGGGAGGCCGGAAGGGGAGGGGGGTTGGGGCAGACGAAAACGGCTTTGATGACACAACATCCTGACGACATGTAATTTATGTTTTGGCAAGGGTCATAGGGCGCGGGTTGATGAGCGTTGATGATACCGTCGTGCAGGGTCTACGCGGGAGCCCCTCGTTGCTTTTTTTCATCTCTTCCAGGCCGCAGTGCATTGCATTTCTTTTATCCTTCTCTTTTTTTTTTTTTGGCCGTAGTTAGCATGCCTTATGGAGGTAAAGAAGCTAACGCTTACTGCTCTGCCCTTCTTGCTCGCCACTTCACTTTGCTCACCTTGCGGTCCTAAAGCACGGGTATGTGGCTGATGCCAACGTGCTCCATCCTGCCTACCATTGCGGCGGGTAATGCGTGCAGCTGCCGCCGCCACTACTCTAGGCGTGCTGAGATGTGACAAATCTCGGGGCTCGTCCGAGCTGGTGTTCTGTATCAACCACACGTAGCGTCCTGAACAATTTCCATTGTGATTAAACAACCCACATCCTTGCCACCGCCGCCGCCGCCAAACCGTCTTGACCGCTGGAACCGCGCTGCAGAGCAAGACGCATCAGGTTCAGCGCTTGGTTACCCAGGAACAGTGGCATCTTGAGCAGTTGAGCCTCGTCTACCGCGGCCTGCAGTCCCTCGAGGATGTCCTCCAACCCGCTGCCGTGTCCCTGTTCTGCGGCCCAGCCCCGGGCGACCTGGTCCCGGCCGCCGCGGAAGGCCTTGATCATGTCGGGCCCGTGGAGATTCAACATTGCGCTGCCCCCAGCCGCGTTGGTGCACAGATCAAAGACCTGGTCGAGGTCCAAGCCGACGTGGCTGGCGAAGGCAATAGCCTCTGCGGTGGAGCACAGATGTATGCCCCTGAGCAGGTTGACCACCAGCCTCAGCTTCTCATCTTGGGTGCGAGACTGGCCCTTGACCGGCCCGACCTTGGCGACGCCTTCGCTGTACAGCCTCAGCATGCTCGCGTCGTCGTCGGCGCCCCACCCCCTACCCAGACCGGCGAAGTAAACCTGCTCGGCCACGCTGGTCATGGGGGTGGGGAAGGCGTAGCGCCTGGCCTCGGAGGTGATGATGCCGGCGTCCTTCAAGATGATGGTGACAGCGCTGGCGATGGGCTTGAAGTCGGCGGCGAGCAGGCGTGGAAGCCTGTTCTCGAACATCCAGCTCGCGGCGTCCGACTTGAGGATCTCGTTTGAAGCCCAGCCCAGGTCCAGGCCCAGATGGGTCGCGAAGCCCAGCGCCTCGCTCGCCGACAGGATCTGGACGGCGGCCAGGACCTGGTGGCACATCTTGAGGTTGCTGCCGGCTCCGATGGCGTCGGGGCCGGCGACAAGGTACAACTTGTTGGGGGCGGACATGGCCTGCAGCAGCCCCCTCCCCTTTGCGATGGCGGCCTCGGTGGCGCCGGCCATGATGGAGAGGGTGCCCTGGGCGGCTCTTATGGCGCCACCGGAGACGGGGCAGTCGATCAGGGAGATGTCATGCCTGCCCAGGCGGACCAGCTGCCCGGCGAGGCCCTGGACAAAGGCAGCAGGGACGGTGGAGCAGATGAGCAGGGCGGCGCCGCGGGGCAGGGCGGGCAGGGCGGGAGAATCTCCATCCAGCAGAACACTCTGGGCTTGCTGCGCAGTCGCCACCATGACAACACAGAGAGGCTTCTCTGCGACAGCCTCGGCGGGGGTTGCTGCCGAGGAGCCCCCCGCCTGACGGAATCGCTCGAGGGTCGGGGCCCAGACGTCGAAGCCGGTGACTGGGAAGCCCTTCTTGACGAGGTTGGTAGCCAGGCCGAAGCCCATGGCCCCAAGGCCAATAAAAGACACGGCGGGTTTAGATGATGCCATGGTCGTGGTCGATGGGCCGTCCGTGGGCCAGGGGCCGGGGGTCGATGGGCCGTGAAGCTGGTGAGGGAGAGAAGAGAGAGAGAGTGGGTGAGTCTCGGATTTTGCTTGAGGGGGGGGGGTTGGTTTGGGGGGGGGAGGGTAGCTGGCTGATTGATTAGGTGGTTGATTGACTGATTGATTGGTTTTGTTATGGATATTGGTGTTGATGTTTGATGTTGATCTTGTTCTTGTTGTTCTTGTTGTTGTTGTTGATGATGATGATGATGATGATGATGATGATGTTGATGTTGATGTTGTTGTTGTTGTTGTTGTTGTTCTTCTTCTTGTTCGAGTGGTCAAGTTCGACACACACGCACACTCTCTCTCACCCTCTCTCACACCCACAATCAACCATTGCTCGATGACGAGGCGCCTGACGCCCTCGGAGCCGTTTAGACCGAGGTCTGGCCCCGAAAAAGGCACTGGTCGTCTTGTCGTCCCCCGAACTCGGCCGTCTTGTCGACAAGGCAATCCCGGCTGTGGTGATGGAATGGCGATCTCAAGTGTGGGGTGAAGGCGAGTGCCGACCTGTCACGCTTCCAAGGGCCAGTTTCCCCTCGCCATCGATATATCCGGCGCCCCACAAACCCCACGACACATATCCGTCGAGCTCAAATGTCAGAGCCGGCCGGCCCTCGTGCTGTATTTTGTACATTGCTACAGCCGGCCGAATCAGGCAAGCCGAGAGACGGACAAGACTGGCCTGCACTCACTCTCACTCTCACTCTCACTCTCATCATCACCATCACCACTCTTGCTCTCACCACTCTCACTCTCGTCTCAACCCTCACTCCCTCTCCCACACACTCGCCGTCCCTCCGTCAGCTCCCGCCCTCAGAAAACAAACCCAGGACTCACTAGGTCGTGCCTCACACTTTCCATTGGCCCCATCAACCCGCCACAATGCCTCGTCCCCCGTTGTCCGAGAACAGGTCCATGGCCATCCTCAAGGCCGCGAGACAGGGAAACTACGCCGTGCCAGGGATGTGCTGCTACAACATCGAGTCCATCATCGCCACCGTCCGTGCCGCCGAGGCCGCAAAGTCCCCTGCCATGGTGCTCCTGTTCCCCTGGGCCATCGAGTATGCTGGCACCTCGCTGGTCAAAGCCGCAGCAGATGCCTGTCACAATGCCAAAGTGCCCGTGTCGCTGCATCTGGACCACTGTCAGACACCCGACCTGTAGGCTGCTCCCACCCGTCCCGGTCCTCGTCGAGATGCTGACCCCCTGTGTCCTTGCCCCCCAGCGTGAGGCGCGCAGCCGATATCGAGGACGGCTTCGACTCCATCATGTGTGATATGAGCCACTATGACAAGGAGGAGAACCTCCGTCTCACCAAGGAGCTCGTCGCCTACTGCCACGACCGGGGCATCGCTGCGGAGGCAGAGCCAGGCAGGATCGAGGGCGGGGAGGATGGCGTCGCCGAGACGGCAGACCTCGGCGGCGTGCTCACCACCCCGGAGCAGGCCGAGGAGTTCGTGGCCACCGGTATCGAGATGCTGGCACCGGCATTCGGGAATGTGCACGGCAACTACGGCCCCAGGGGCATCCAGCTCGAGTATGACCGTCTGCAGAGCATCTATGACAAGGTCGGCGACCGTGTCCAGCTCGTCCTCCACGGCGCCGACCCCTTCACCGAGGACATCTTCCACAAGTGCATCGCCGGAGGAGTCACCAAGGTCAACATCAACAAGGGCATGAACAAGCACTATGCTGCCGTCCAAGACGAGATGCGAGGGAAACCCCTGACCAGCGTCATCGAGGCCGGCACCAAGAGAATGCAGGAGGCTATCGAGACATATATGCAACAGCTGGGCAGTGCTGGAAAGGCCTGACGCCCGTCATCGTCATCGTCATCGTCATCGTCATCGTCATCGTCATCGTCACCAGCCCACCCGTGCGCCGATATGAAGGCGGCGCGGGGAGAAGGGGGAAAATAGAGAGAGTATGGGCTGGTTGGGGCCGGCGCTGCTTATTAGACTTGTAGTGGAGTAACACATTTTGGCTGCCAATACAGTAAAGCACAGACGGCCGGGATGCTGAAAAGTCACGGTGGAGGGTCTCCTCTTGTCGTATAGGGTGGCCCCCTAGCATTACCGAGCGATTGACTGCAAGTAGCATTGAGGATTACATTCATCACAACAAGACTTGGGTGTCTCGTACAACGCGCATCGTACAGCCCCGACTCATACGGCGACCGCGCTGTCTTTTCTCGGCAGCAGCCCATCCTTCAGGCCCCGTATGGCAACCATTGCGCCCCATGCCCCAGGGTCAGGGGGCAGCACGCCACCGCTCCCTCGCTCACGCCCCGCCGCGACGTAGGTGGCTCTTCCGAGTCTCGGGGTCATGTTCTTGGTGGCTTCCGCGCCCCTGACCGCAGCCTCGACGCCCTCGTCAAAGCTTCCAGCCTTCTGTATCGCCGCGGCGAAGGGGAGGAGGGTGTCCATCACCGTCCGGTCGCCTACCTTGGCCGGCGTGTACTTGGTCAGATGCTCGAGGGCCGTGCCCAGGGACTGGCCCCAGATTCCGGGCGCCCCTCTTTCCGGGCTTCCCTGCACGCTGTTCTCGACGGCGTTGCGAAGCGAGACGAAGAAGATGCCCAGGATCCCTCCGAGGGTGCCGCCCATCTTGCTCTCGACAATGTCCTCAAGCTCCCGGAGCACTGTGACCACCGACCCGCCGGCTGCGATGCCCTTGTGGTCCAGCGCTGCGAGCAGGCTGGTTGCGCCGGTCTTGAGCGTTTCACCGCAGTCTCCATCGCCCATCAGCGTGTCCCCTGGAGGCCCCGAGGATCATTAGCATCTCCGCTCTGCGGACCCCAGTCCCATGACAGACAGTGACGACAGGTGGTGAGTGACGGGCAGCAGACTCTCAAGGGCACACTATAACTCACATTTCGTCAGGTCGGGTTCCGCTTGTATCAGTGCGTCGCATGCGCCTCGCAACATCCTATCCAAGGAAGCAGGGTCCAGCCTGAGGTCCCGACCGGGATCGACAGCAGCCCTCTTGGGTTCTTGCGGGGGGCTGGCGAGTTGCTCCCGCCGCCCCCGTCTCGAGCCTTGCGACCCAGCCATGGACTCCCAAGAGGTCGTGGTCTTGACATCTGCGAAAGCCTTGATGTCATCGACCGAATAGGCGCAGTTCTCTGCCGCAGCCGTCACATTGATCATGGACACCGAGAATGCCTGTGCGTTTAGAGACCTGTGAGGCCCGCCGGTCAGTATGGCGGGTGGTTCTTTGCCCTCGCCTTCCGGTGCCAGCCAGGGGGGAAGCGTACGTTTCAAGGGGCCCGACATATACACGCGCTGGCTCTATGCCCCAGTCCGAGGACAGCTGCTCGAGGATCTCATCCGTCAGCGCACCCATCTCCAGGGGGGATATGCCGCCGAAGTTGCTGATCAGCAACATGGTCTCGTCGCCCTTGTTGAACTTTACATAGCCACGGTCCGGGTCCTTGTCGTCCAAGCAGTGAGTCAGGATCATCCTGACCAGCTCCTCTGCTGAGGGTGCCGGGGAGAGCCGCCTGTAGCCAGGCTCGTTGTGCGGCCCCGTGCCGATCTCGACCTCGTCGTCTGCCAGCGCGGCATGCTCGGTGCGCCCGGGCACGTGGCAGTGGTCCAGCGTGGCAGCAATCGAGACAATCTGCTGGGAGAATGCCACGCCGAGGTCGTAGACGTCGTCCAGGGAGGCGCCCTGGCCGGCGGCACCACCCATGACCTTGAGAACCCCAATCTGGCCGGCAAGCCCCCTGCGTCCCACCAGTGACCCGTTGGTCCTCCCGACAGAGACGTCGTCGCCACAGACAATCACCTGGCAGCGGTGACCTCTCGCAACGGCCTTCTCGTTGGCAAGGCCGAAATGCAGGCAATCGCCGGTGTAGTTTGTGACGACGAGGATGGTGCCCTCGTTGCTTGGCACCGCATCAATGGCGGCCAGGATCTGCTTGGTCGAGGGGCTGGCAAAGATGTCCCCGCCCACCGAGGCGGCGAGCAGGTTTTGGCCCACGTAGCCACTCCACGCTGTCGGGATTGTCAACGGCAGGCCAGCCACGCGCGCGGCTGCGTGTTGTGGCACTCACCCGGCTCATGGCCTGATCCCCCGCCCGAGACGATGCTGACCTTGTTCTCATCGTGCCTTGTGTCAAAGACCACGCGGTTGGCCTCGTCGAGCGAGAGGGATGGGTTGTACGAGATGAGGCCCCTCAGGCACTTGACCACGAGGCCATCCGGGGAGTGGAAGAGGTGTGCTTTCGACATTTGTGCCAGGGGCGGCTGACCTTGGACCGGCGTGAACGTGACCAGAGTGGCTTTTGACGAGGACCAGTCTCTCTATATGAGGAACTTAGGAACTGTGGCACGGCATTGACCGAGCAAGATGGCATGTGTCGGTACTTCTGAGTTGGGCATGCCGTGAAGCATTTCATGGTGGAGTCCGGCGGCGGCGGCGCCTTTATTAGCCCATATTCGCCCAAGCCGGAACCCCTCAGTTTTGACCAGCACACAGCACCATTCCAGACCCCCCTCACGACTACTACTAGGCCTACTCCGTATTTCCGGAAGAGGAGTGTGGAGGGAGGATGTACTACCAGGCCATGGTGCCGTTGCAATTTGACATGGGTCACTGCGGCCCCTGGATGAAGCATGTGTTGTCGTCGAGCTGTATTGTTCTCGTCTTGGTTCCCTTTTTGAGACCTTGACCGAGCCGTATGCTTGGTTGGGTTGTTGCTCGAACATGGGCCTCGCCATGTATGGCGGCTTAGTTGCGACGTGAGGTGGAACACAAAATTGCTGGGTCCAGACCTCTCCGCAGGCTAACTACCTAGGTACCCAGGTACCAAACCCCAGACAGACCCCACCCCCAGACCTACCCCACCCCCAGACAGACCCCACCCCACCCCACCGCCATGCTGGCTTTTGCCGACGGGTACAAAGGTACCTAGGTACCTAGGTATGTACTAAGTGTTCTGGCAGTCTGGTGAGTGTCAGATTTGCGGGGTGTGGGTCCCCGGGGCTGCTGTGGGTCCCGAGGACGAGGCTCTCGGTTTGCTGGAATAAGCAGCCCGAGCTAGCATCGTCTCGTCCAATGCTCGGCGGCACAAGAAATTCCATGGCGGCAGGGCGACAAGCACCGCAGGAGGATCTGCGGGACGGGGCTCGGGGTCAGGGCGGTGACGGCACACGACTCCTTCTCGGTGGAGCGGGCGGTGCTGAGCAACAATGCCCAGGTGCTGTGCATGGGCGAGCGGGTGAACGGGCTGGAGCTGGCACGCAGGCTCGCCAGGGAGTGGCTGGGCTACGCGTTTGACGACAAGAGCCCCAGCACCAGCAAGGTCGAGGCAATCCGCGACCTGGAGAGGGGCGCAGGGTGAGTTGATGCCATGACGTGGTTGTGGGGGGAGGGGGGGTCAAGGGTCTGAGGGATAGATAAGAAGGGGGCCCGGGGGGGGGGGGGGGCGCTGTTCAGCCATTTCTATGTTTTTTTCACACTCCACCTACTACTTCCAAGGTTACCTACCTACCTACCTACCTACCCACCTATTCCGTACTACTTTCTCTCTCTCTCTCTCTCTCTCTCCAAACACCCAACCATGACGACGACTACCACGGCGGCACAGAAACGGCGGCGGCTGGTAGGCGTGTCAACCAAGTATGGCGCAACCCGGACTGGGCTCACGTAGCGAGTTTTGCTGATGGCAGGCCAAGGATGTACTTTTCGGCACAGCGGACGAGGCAGTACGTGGGCGAGGTGTTGGGGCAGCTCGCAGCGGCGGGCGGGGCGGACGGGGCGGACGGGGCGGACGGGGTGGACATCTTCATCATCCCCGACGTCATCACGCTGGCGTCGGTGGTTGGGCAGGTGCGGTCGAGCGGCGTGCCGGTGCTGGTGGGGGCGCAGGATGCATTCTGGGAGGACGCAGGGTCGTACACGGGGTCGGTGTCGCCGGCGGTGCTGGCCGAGGTGGGCTGCCGCATGGTCGAGGTGGGCCACGCGGAGCGGCGGCGGCTGTTTGGCGAGACGGACGCAGACACGGCCAGCAAGGCGGCGGCGGCGGCGAGGAACGGGCTCACGCCGCTGGTGTGCGTGGGCGAGGCCAGCCGGGGCGCCGTGAGCATGGCGGCCGGCCAGTGCGCGTCGCAGGTGCAGCGCGTCATGGCAGCCGTGCCCGCCGCGGCAGAGGTCATCCTGGCCTACGAGCCCGTGTGGGCCATCGGCGCCGCAGAGCCCGCCGCCCCCGAGCACGTCGCCGCCGTCGTGGCCGCCCTGAGGGAGCTGCCGTGCGTGGCCGACCGTGACGGCCCCGTCCGCATCATCTACGGCGGCTCCGCCGGCCCGGGCCTGTTCCAACAGCTCAAGCACTCGGTCGACGGCCTGTTCCTCGGCCGCTTCGCCCACGACCCGGACGCCTTCGTCAAGACCATCCACGAGGTCGCCGCTGCATGAGCCACGTAGACTGTTGGTGAGGGAGAGAGGGAGTGTGTGCACCACGCGCGCCGCGCCCGGTGACGACACCCCTGCACGCCAGCCGAGGGGCAGGGGGGCAGGGGGGCAGCATCCAATTGAACGGTGGGGTAGCTCCGTTTGTTTGTGACCTGTGCCGTATGCCTGTCTCCGTCTCCGTCTCCGTCTCCGTCTCCGTCTCCGTCTCCGTCTCCGTCTCTGTCTCTCACACACACTCTCGCTCTCACTCTCACTCTCATACTCTCTCACACACACACCCTTCTTCAAGCCCTGCTGCCCTGCCCTGCCCTGCCCTGCCCTGGATACACCTTGTAGAGGAAGAATCCAACCCAGCAACAATAACAAAAATATACCAAACACAAAACACAAAACACAAACAAAAAAAAAACACCCCCCCCCCCCCACAACGCAGCATGGAAGCAGCCACAGAGCACCACTTCTACCACCACGGGGTCGAATCCGAGGTACGTGCGAGGCTGGACCTGGCTTGGTCCTGACTGAATCCCTTGCTGGCCCTGACACTTCTGGCCCAGGTGCCGCGCTCGGAGCGCGAGGCCTGCCACTTCTGCCAGCTCCGTGGCTTTGCTACCCACGACGCCTTCCCTGTGACAATAGTCAACGAGACGGATGACGGCGCCGTGCTGCCTCCAAACTTCCGCTTCATCGACCGCTCCGTCCTGGGTCCCGGCGTCACCCCTGCCCAGAAGGAGTTCCGCACCGGCTGTGAATGCCCCGATGCCCAATCCTGCATGTACTCGGCCTGCGTGTGCCTTGACGAGGTCCAAGATCCCGACGGCGACGGCGACGATGGCGGCGGCGACGACGACGACGACGACGACGACGACGACGAGCTCGACGACGAGGACCAGGAGAGCCTGAGGTGGGCCGAGGTGCACCTGAGGAAGCCCAGCTGGGCGAGGCCGAGGGCCGGCCGCGATGGGCCCAGAGACACGCCCGCGTCTGCCCACGCCACCGGCGGCCCTGCCGCAGGCACCCATGGTAAGAAACGCTTCGCCTACCACTCGCAGGGCGCCAAGAAGGAGCTCCTGCGGGGCTCCTACCTCAACTCGCGGGCGCCCATCTACGAGTGCCACGAGGCCTGCTCCTGTCTCAAGGCGCAGTGCCCCAACCGCGTGGTCGAGAGGGGCCGCAAGGTGCCCCTGCAGATCTTCAGGACGGCCGACAGCCGCGGCTGGGGGGTCAGGACCATGCGTGAGCTCAGGCGCGGGCAGTTTGTGGACTGCTACCTGGGCGAGGTCATCAAGCCCGAGGAGGCCGAGACGAGGCGGCACAACTCGTCAAAGGCCCAGCGCAAGGACGTCTACCTGTTTGGGCTGGACAAGTTCACCGACCCGGACTCGCGGGACCAGCGGCTGGTGGGAGCGCCGCTCGAGGTCGACGGCGAGTTCATGTCCGGGCCCACACGCTTCATCAACCACAGCTGCGACCCCAACCTGCGCATCTTTGCCCGCGTCGGCGACCACGCCGACAAGCACATCCACGACCTTGCCCTGTTCGCCATCCGCGACATCGCCAAGGGCGAGGAGCTGACCTTTGACTACGTCGACGGGCAGGGCGAGATTGAGAGTAACGCGAGGGACGAGAAGCTGCAGGAGGAGATGACGCGCTGCCTCTGCGGCAGCAACAAGTGCAGGGGGTTCTTGTGGTGATGCGGGCGTGCCATGCGGGCAGACAGCCTGCCACGTCGTGATTGGGCCGTGGCCAAGCATGTAATATCGATACCCTACTGTTGTTGTTGCTGCGCCGGCAAACGTCTCCTCCAATGTGCTTCCATACTCGACTTACACCGTTCGTGGCGCTGCCGAGGAACAAGGACGGGTCTGCGCAGGCACGAGACGGCCCCACATTGTTGGACAGTGACAGGTGCCCCCCTGCTAGCCTGGTGCTGCTTGGCCGCTGATCTGATCTGATCTGATCTGATCTAATCTGACCTGACCTGACCCGATCTCCCCGTCGCTCGAGTCATCACCACCACCACCACCACTCTCAGCTGCCTGCCTGCCACTTGGGGCCTGTTCGCTACTTACTACCACACTATGCCATGAGAGAAGCTCCATTACGACATGATCGCGTGAGGAACTGAGAAGTCACAGCCGGCGGTCGTCGATCGCCAATTCCAGCTGCAGCGCTGCGTGCCTCCGTGCCCTCCTGCCCCCGCGGTCTGACATTGTACGACATCTACTGCCTTGGAGAGCACCCAAGCCCTCGAGACCAGTTTCAGCCTGGTGCGCATTGCTACGGCGCAACGGTCAGCCTTCCAAAGGCTGCCCACCTCCCTAGATGGTGCGCAACGCCGGGCCCCCTGCTCCCTCCCCCAGAGAAAAAAGGTAGCCTGAGTCTCGCCGACTGACCTGCTGAGCCCAGGGCTGCTGCTTCTCGCTGCCCAGGGGCCCCAACTCCCCCTATCCCGGTGGTGGTGCTCCTCCCGCCCCGCCCCAATCTGCGGACCTCTCGCAGTCGCAGTCGCAGTCGCAGTCGCAGTCGCAACCTCCTCCTTCCGCCCGTTCCACCGCGCCAGACGTCGACCGCGCCGGTCCCCAGCAGCACCACAGTCGACACACGCGTAGACCCCTCGACCAGCACATCAATAAGCCGCTGCGTCGAAACGAGTGGTCATCCAAGAGCCGTATTTGGTCAAGAGGTGCCTTGGATCGTGAACGTACCGACTTCTTCGATACCAGGGTCAGCGGCCGCCCCGAGATCTGGCAGACCCTGCATGCCGCCCTGGATGTCCTGTGGGCGTCCGAAACCACGAGACAGCATGACCCAAACGACTCGAGTGTCGACATGAACCCTTCCCTGGCTCTTGCCACAGCGCAGACCATTCTCGATGCGGCCGACATCACTCTGCCGACAGGAAACCTCGCCGACGGCGCATACGACCATCTCGGCAATTACTACCAGTTGCCTATCCATATCGTCTCCGACCCAACTAACATTGCACCTGGAGATGACGATAATGGCGGCGGCGACGACGACGACGGCGACGACGACGACGAGCGGTTTGGGGAGGCCAAGACTGCAGAAGATGCTACCGCCGGTGCCGACGATGACGAAAACCAGAACCTGGACGACGAGGCGGGACGACGTCGCGTGCGCAAGGGCAAATCTGTTGTCGATATTTCCGACCAGGTCCTTGCCGTTGTACGTCTTAGCAATACTGCCAGAGACTTGAAACTAGACGTGGGCAAAGACGAGGCTGTCCGCAGCATCATTCAGCGCATTATGGAGGAGAGCAATGTAAGTGGCGCTCAACGCGGCTTCTCTTCGGCCCAGGCGGTCTCGTTCTTACTGATTGCTGATGGCATTTGTCTCCTGTGTTCAGCTGCCCCCTGGCTCTCGTGTTCGCCTCGTACACATGGGCAAGATCCTGAAGGAGAGTACTTCCCTTACGGCTCAGGGCTGGGCCGACCAGGTCATCAGCGCTTTTGTCTACGATCCTCCACGCTAGAACCAGGAGAAAAGCCGGGCTCTGTCGATTCGTCGACGACAAGGCTTAGGGCAATGCCGCTCACATTCGTGCGCCTCGACTATCCTGCCGACTGACAATCTCAGACTCAAATCCAGAGGCTGCGGATTGTCCAAGAATGGGCTTACTGGGCCACCACTGAGGAATATCGTGCTGTCCGAGTATGCCCGCAAGATTCTTTCATTCATCGGCAGATGAGTCCCCACGGGGATTGCCCAGGTCCGCCGGCATGGCTTGCCTCACGTCCCTGCTCGCGCAACAAGACTTGGACGAGGAGCACCACCTCGGGCCTTGGTCGCTAGCTACAGCCTGTTCCAGCATCTGTGTGCACCGCACCACGTGGCTACAGCTCCTCCAGCGCACTTGAGCGAGGCAGGGCCCCTTCCTAGGTTTGACTGGCCCCTGGCCGGGGACCTGACCGGTGCGCGGGCCCGGCCCTTGCACTCGATAGTTCACCTCGACTCCGGGGCTCAGTCATACTGTGTGTGTCAGTGGTTCCCCACGGTGAGCCTGACCGCAAACTCGTAGACCAGGCTATCGATAGAGCCTCCACACGCCACGGCTGCCAATTCATGCTCGGCAGCACCACTCCAACCGCCCCTTTCTTTTTTCTCTTTTTTTTTCTCTTTGGTTTTCCGCCGTTCATGACCGAAGCGGACCGTCCACAGAGGGCCTTGAACGCACCTTGTCATCAGATGATCATGGAACAGGAATGAGAGGGCCTCTGCATTTGGCTTTTGCACATGTTTGTCGGACTTTGGTCCCCCTTGTTGTACTGAGAGATACCCCTTTGCTGCTCGCCGTTTCCCACCTTCATATTGCGATTTGGCCCGACACCGAAACTGAAGGGTCACGAGCCCAATCTCCTCTGTCGAACGGATGGTGGCTGCTACAACTTGTAATGGATAATTATATTTCGCGCCCATATCAAATACAATTGGCAATTGTCTCTTTGTCTCTGATGCTGGCTTCGGTTGAAGAAGTTAAGATGTAGAGCGGAACACGTACCAGGTCGCGGCTGGGGAGGATGGATGCGTTCAACAACTTGTTTATGACCGTGAGGGGGATGCTCGCGACAGGAGCCGACGGGGGTGGTATCCTTGGTTTTTGGGCCTCAAGACTTACATGTCTGTGTTAATTAATGTACGGTGGGATGGTTTCTGAATCCAAGACTGTGTGAAACAAACATTTACGTGGTCACGTTCAACTCTTGAACGAGAAGTGGGATCCTAAAGCTTCTCAAGTACCTAGTCCGCCCAGGGAATCCAAAGTCAAGGTGAGCGGTGCGCTGCTCTTTTGTTGCACAGTATGGCTAACAGGCCCTGCCTGTCTTCATCCTCGGATAAATCTTACAGACAGCTATTTCATCTTGGGACGAGTAAGAATGGGCGTGGGTAAAGGAGAGACTCGGGAGTGGGTGAAGCATGTCAGGTCCGGGTCTTTTGCAAGTCCAGTCAGACAGGCATCTTGTAATGCAGAAGACCGGCGGGGTTTCTCCGTTTTCCTCTGTGTTTCAAGTATCTTTCTTGGGTGGCAACCGACACGGGCATACATTTTAAATCGTAAAAGCTTTTGTGGATGTGGTCTACCTCGGGGACAGTAAAATGCTTTCTGCTACCGTCTCCCCTTCGTCGTGGGCTTCTCCAATTAAACCAGCTCAAATCTCCTCAACCCCTACTTGTCAACTCGTCGGAGCTCAGGCCGACGTCCCAATCTTGTTCAGGCCCTTGAGACTGCCCAAGCTGAGCGCCAGACCCTGGCTGCGACTCCGTATCCGGACGAAGCCTGTGATGGGGCCGTCCTCGCCTTCCTTTTCGATGCTCAGGTTCGCTAGAGCATCCTCACCTTTGATTGAAAAGTCAGCATCAGGGCTGCTTGAGTGTGGGTGAAATGATTCTACTTACCGAACACGCTCCTCGCGTAGAGGTTAGCGCTCAGGAATTGGCAATCGCCCTTCAGACTTGCCTCTGGGGTGAGACAATTCATGTTGGTCGCCGCCATCAGCTGGTCCAGGAACTCGCGCAGGGTCTTGGCCTTGCTGTTGATATTGACCTTATTCTCCCATTCGAACTCGGTCCACATCGTGCGGAACTGTGTCTCGGTGCAGCTCGCCGGCTGGATGTAATCCATTATGTCTACGTGCAGATCATTGAGGATTACTACGTTCGTATCTGTGCTGTGGGCGCCGTCGTACACGACATTTCCGAAAATGACGCCTGTGTCAGTCGACGAGACCTTGATTGTACACTGTACGTTGTGGAAGTCGTGCGGGCCTAGGTTCTGTGTCGTCGGCCGTTCCACGACCTTGAGGTCTCCGAGCGTCGCAAACTCTACAGAGAGGTTCTGCAGGGTCTCGGTGGTCTGGTTGACGAGGAGCACGTCTAGCACAATGTCGAATTGATGGACCTTGACGTAAGCCTCAGCGTACACGGGGTCCGAGAAGCCGGTGAGTTGGACAACTCTGCTCAGCTTGGAGCTCAGGTCCTCCGTCGCAGTGCTGTCGCCACCAGTGGCGCGCTCAAGGTCGACCTCGACGTCGTCCGACCCATCACCCATGTTCTTCTTGCTTAGTTGGCGGATAGCCACGACGTCGTCGACCTGCACTGCCGTCTTGGCCTTCTCAACCGCCTCCTTGGCGGCCCGCTTCTTCTCCTCAACTTGTACCATGGCACGGAAGGCTTTCCTTGTGTCATCCAGATACACCGTCTCCAATTCCTTATGCTCACGGAACTCCGCCAGCGACCGGACGCACGACATGATTCGGTCGATGGAGTCCTCGTCGATTGGCGCCTTGACAAATTGCGACTGACCGACCCGGATGATGGAGATCAGGATCAGCATCGCCTCTGCGCGCAAAGCATTTGTCCGGGCATGTTCAGACGAGATCTCGGAGTGCCTCATGACCAGTTTCGTCAGGGTTGCCGAGAGGACCGTGGCGAGGTAATAATCGCCGTCTAGGATGAGCTGCCTCAAGGGGGGCTTCTGTGCTGCCTTGACGGCCTCTAGCTTGGCAGCAGCGGACGACTGGCTGGTCAGCGCCGTCTCTGTCGCATATGTACCGTCCGCAAGAACCCTCCGTGACCCCGTCGGCGCAGCAGGCTTATGATGACCGTTGACCTGGTCCTTCTCATTCTCCTCTTCGCCGTCAACGTTGTCCAGAAGACGCTGTTCCGATGCAAGGATCGGTATCTCTCCCAGACTAGCCCTGATACGCTTCCATGCATCTCTGATATCCTTCTCCTCGAGGGAGTATTCGCCGACGATCCACAGAATTCCCCTGTACACCTTGCCCGCGCGCACCTCGCTGAGCGTGTCGACCAGCCTGTGGACGATGGCCGGCCGCAGCTTGGGGAACTTCTCGACGACCTCCTTGACGAAGTTGATGACATCTACGGCAGACGTGTTGTTGAAGTCTGCGATGAAGTCCATCAACAAGTCGACAACGCTGGCCGCGACCTCGGAGAACTTGATGGCACACTGGTGTATTGAGTGGATGAGAAGCTGTCGGTACTCGGTGTTCTTCTCGTATTCCTGGTCCACGGTCTTGGAAAGTTCCTTTTTGAGGAGGAGCACGACCTCTTCGACATTCTTGCTCGAGACCATTTCTAGTGCGATGCTCAGGGCCTTGCGGCGCACATCGATGTCTGGGCTCGAGAGCACGCGCAGGATCTCCATGATAAGGTCGTCTAGCACCCCCTCGTTCCTGGTCCGCAGCTGGTCCACACGATCGAGCACAATCAGCTTCACGTTGTTGTCTGCCTCCTTGATGCTCAGCTCGATGAACTTGGCCGCAGCTGCCTTGACGGCGACGGGGTTGCTCGTCAGTGCGGTCAGCGACGAAGCGGCCTCGTAGACAACCGTCGACGCACCGGCCTCGAGCAGGTCGAAGATCAACCGCAGATAGCGCGCCTGGAGGTGTCAGCACATCCAATCGCCCCTGCACGCCTCGACGGAGCCAAGCCACCTACCTTGTTCTGGGGATTCTGCACGGCATCCTTGCGGATGAACTCGAGCTCGACCAGCTGCAGGAGCTCCTCGGCATTGGGTATGCCCTCGAAGACGGAGCTCAAGTATGCCAGTGCCTTCTGATGGTCGATGCTGGCAAGGGCTGCGAATGCATTGCGCTTGGACGTTGGGTCACTTTCGGTCTCGAGGAAAGTAGCGATGAGGTCCGAGGCATCGGGTATCAGCGACGGGGAGTGCTGGTAGATGGAGGCCACGGCGAAGACAGCATTCTTGCGGACGTATGCGTGACGATGCTCGAGGCAGGATCGGGCAGAGGACAGGAGGGGCTCGATCAGCTCGGGTTCGCGCAGCTTGCAGAGGAAGCGCAGAGTGTTGCCGCGGATGTATTCGTTGGGGTGCTGCAGATCATTCCTTATGCCGTTGCTGCGGAAAAGACGCTGTCAGGACTTGGGGGCGGGGGGACTTGGGGACGGGGCATGAGACAGCCAGCCGATTGTGGGAGCGAGCGTACCAGACCAGAATCATCTCCTGCTTGAGCTTGCCGCCAGCGTCGAGCTTGGGACAGATCTCGTAGTAGAAGTAGAGCAGCTTCTTGAGCGGCTTGGATTTGGAGGGCATGACGAATCGGATGATGTGCATGAGCAGCTGGGGCATTGGGTCGCCGTTGAGCATGATTGTGAGGATGGACTTCATGGTCTGGACCTTGGTCTCGTCGGTGCCCTTCTCAAGCTGCGTGCGCAGCTCGGACATGGAGGGAACATCGGCGGCGTTGTCCTGGTGGACCAGGCTGTAGGCATTCTCGAGGAAGGAGGACATGTTTGGGGGAGGGGTTGGTGGGCAGCCCGACGAGCTTCCCGCGACGTGTCAGACTGATGGCAATGCTGGCAGCTGTTTGCTGTCGACGGCGGGACCTGGGCGGCTCGAAGCTCCCCCTGGCTGGTGCAGTCGACAAGTGTCCAGAGCTGCTTGTCGGTCGGGGTCGGGGTCGGTTGGCGGAGGGGACAGGACAAGGGCCCCAACAGCTCATTCAATTGAGAAACCTGAGGGGAGCGAGGCGTCGTGGTTGAATGCCAGCTTCGAACAAACAACGTGTGCGGCCAGGGCAGGAAGGGAAAGCTGTTTGGTTGTCGGGCGAGGTGTGGAGGGTTCGAGGGTCGAGGGAGGCGCAACTCACAGGCCAGAGATGCGTCTGAGTCTAATTAGTCCGTGAGATCTGGCCCTGGCGGCTGGCGGCTGACGGGTGCTGGGCCGCTTGCTGGAGCTGCCGCGTCCAACTGCCCAGGCTGGCGGCGGCTGGCAGTAGTGAGAAAGGTCTCTGGGCCCATGAGATAAGGCCAAGCCGGTACACATCTCCCCACAGACCCGGCGCGAGCCCACCAGCTGCCATGCACCCACCCTAGTACCTGGGGAGGTACGGAGGCACCTGCCACCTGCTTGCCTGCCGCCGTCGCCTGAAGCCACCGCCCGCCTGCTGTGGATGACGAGAGCTTGTTAGTCGAGGTATGCGACCGACAGGCACCGCGCTTGCTCTCGACTGTTCAGTTCAGACTTCACCACGCAATGTCGTCCGCCAACGAGCCCTTCTACATCCGATACTACTCTGGCCACTCGGGCCGTTTTGGCCATGAGTTCTTGGGTGCGTAGCCATGGGGTTTCTCCCCTCCCATCTTGGCCTCGCCTTTCAACTTTCGCCTTTCGATAGCTGACAGCGTTTTTGCGGCAGAGTTCGACTTCCGAGTTGTAGGCGATGGACGTAGCGCTGTCGCACGGTACGCAAACAACTCCAACTATAGGAATGACAGTCTCATTCGCAAAGAGAGTACGTGGGCCCCCCCCCCCCCCCGGCTACGATGCCGCCCAAGAGCCTCCGGCACACATGGTCGCACAGGCGCATCCGAGCTCGATTTCAAGTGCTGAAGAATCCCGTCCATAGTGTGCGTGAGCTCCGTCATCATCGAGGAGATCAAGCGCATCATCAAGTCGAGCGAGATTCTCAAGGAAGACGACGGCAAGTGGCCACAGAAAAACAAAGACGGGAGACAAGAGCTCGAGATCAAGATGGGCGGCGAACATATCAGCTTCGAGACGGCAAAGATCGGCTCCCTCCACGACGTGACCGAATCCGCTGACCCCGAGGGTCTTCGCGTGTTCTACTACCTGGTGCAGGACCTGAAAGCACTTGTGTTCTCCCTGATATCCCTGCACTTCAAGATCAAGCCCATCTGAATGGGGCTTCGAAGAGGACGGTTGGGCACGATGCTCCCCTTGTATTGGGAGGCGCTTCCGGATAGGGAGAACAAGGAAACACAAGCCCTGCCCTGGTCTAGGTATTCAGGCGCCTGTGCCTGGGGAGGGGGCCTCGGCCTGGGAGAGAGGGCAAGGCAGACATGAGAGGGGCCTGGCCAGGGCCGTCAGAGACGACCGACAGTCAACGACGAGCATCGGGCCACTTGATTAGCAGCACTTGAGAGGACATGGCCAGCCTCCGTATGGCCGGTGACTTGGCATTGCACGTCCCAGCAGAGGAGCAGACTGGGAATCGGAATGAATCTGAACGTAACTGAATGATAGGGCAACCCAGAGCCTGTTGTTGAGCAATTGATGTTGACGCCCCGATGTTGATTCAGCCGTCAGCCACGGCACGGTGTGTTCATTTTCTCGTCCTCGCACCATGTGCTGGTGGCGCACAGGCTTTTCCGAGGCCAGAGGGTCAAGCCACGGTGCCTGGCTGCTGGTCGCGGCTGCCTGTCCAAGCGTCTCTTGGGGGGCCGTCAGGCTTGTTGTGGGACGGAGTACACTGCCCACCCACTGTGGTACCTAGTCTTACCTACCTGGGGTACGCCTTCCGAGGCCCTTAGCGTCGGGTCGCCGCATTGCAGGCAGGTAGGCAGGTAGCAGACACACCTGCGAGGAACCTCAACAGGAGCACCCCAATAGTAATTGGCTTGCGGCAACGACTTCATCTGGCGATTGAGCCGGATTTCACGTTAATTTTCCTCTCCTTTCCTTTTCAGTTTCGCTTTCTTTTCATTCTCCCTTTATTGTTCACCCTATCCGCTTTTTTTTACATACATACATATACATATACATATATACATATATATTCATCTATATATTCTGTCCACCCCCCTCGCCTCGCCGATCTCACCCTCCCCCCCTTCCTCCTCTTCCACTTTGGGCACCCCGGGACTACACGCAGTTAGCTGTCGCGCCCTTGGGCTTAGCTTGCTCCATTCCCCAACCCAACCTTGGGCGGTTCCAACGTTGTCTTATTAGTCTTTGGTCTGACTCGACCCCGGCCCGAGTAGGCTTCCTGCTTCTCCTTCCGCGACGCCTCCCAGTTCTAGTTAAACTGCGGATTTGTTACTTCTCATGCGCAACTTCCACGTATTCAGCATTTGGTATCCAGCACCTGACTTCGAGGCACAGGCACCCAACAGCCTTACGGGTGCCATATGGTGATTGTCTGGGCCAAGAACCTGGTTCTCTTGTTGGCTGTCCCTCGCTGCGCATTCCGCGAGAGCCAGGGTCTGCCGTCGTTGACGGCCAGAAAGCCCTTGTCGTCGACGCTCACTCGCAAGGCCCGACCGACGTGTCCCTGAGGCCATCCGTGCTGGGATTGCCTATCTGGCCGGCTGGGACGCCTCTCCGCCGCAAGCAGCAGCCGCACAGGCGTCTCGCGCGAGTGCCCTCCGTCGAACCGTACCGGCGACGGTGGCCATCCCCAAGGTCGTATCTCGCAGCAACCAAAACACGCGCCTCTCCCGCCGGAAAGGTCTCGCCAACCCGCCGAGCCACGTTCTACACTCCAGCCATGCCTACCCCGTCCTCGCCAGGCCCTCAACCTCCCTACACCATTTCCGCCACATGTCCAGATCCCGAAGAACAACAGACCGCACAGCATCCCCCCTCCGGCTGGCATACCCGCTCTGATGCCTATAGTCCTGCCCACGACGTCAGCGGACGTGCTGCTCGACACTTGAGTCTTGACCAGGACGCCGACACACCTTCGAGCGCTACGAGAAGCCCTCTCGACCCTCAGTCTTTGAGCAGTGATGGACCCACCACCGATATGCCAGCGACCAGTCCTTCCACCACCGCCGACACCCAAGCCCGCATCGACCAGCACCCAATGACAATGGCAGAAACCGACGACGAACGGACAGACTCTCCCTGCGACGCCACCCCGTCAGACGCCCTCCACGTATCCATCCCACGGCATGGCGCCGGCACAAGCACGTCATCAGGGCCTGACATGAATGTGCATAGCTCGACAGACCTGAGTCACGACGACCAGGACGACTACGCTCTGCCCAGCATGGGACATGGATTCCCCTCCAAAAGGGTAAGTCGCACGGTCTCGTGCGGTTCCGCTGCAGACTGATTGGCAATCGTTAGATAATACCAGCCTCACCGTCCACGTACTTGCGAGCAGGCAGCCGCTTCACGGGGACTCAGCAGTCCGAGAGGCAGGTCTACGAGGTCCAGGTTGAGATCAAGTACGTCGACCTGCGGGAATCTTTCCTGTGCGGCTACCTCCGCATCCAAGGTCTGTCCTCTCACACCCTGGTTGAGTGTCACGCCTGTCTGGTCATACCACTGACTTTCTCCCAGGGTTGACTGATGACCATCCAACACTGACGACGTACTTCGAGGGCGAGATTATCGGCAACAAGTATGGCTTCATGACAAAACACGAGAGCTGGGGTGCCAACGACAAGACCGACCTGTCCCACTGGTCAAAGTTTCCCGCCTTCCGGCCGTACTCCAAGCAGGCGCGCAGGGGCTCCTCGGTGGTGATAAAGGACATTGCACAGAGCGAGCACATCTTCATGCGCTGGAAAGAACATTTTCTCGTTCCCGATCACAGGGTGCGAACCATTAGTGGCGCGAGCTTCGAGGGGTTTTATTATATCTGTTTTAATCAGGTCCAGGGGGAGATCAATGGCATTTACTTCCACAGCAAGAGCGAGAGGTGAGCGGAAACCACGCTATCCATGGGCCCCTTGCGAGCGCCACGCCGATAACCCCCAACATGATGTACCCTCAAGTGCCTGATCATGTGCACCATACTGACGAGGCTCCAGGTTTCAGCAGCTCGAGTTAAAACACGTCGAGGATAAGGGTTGCTACAGCGCACTGGAGTTCCGGTAAGGATTTTGATGCTGAGCACGGAGTTGGCGGTTGGCAATACATAGCATGTGAGTGAAGACACGGGACACGAGCTTGATGAAACACGGACACATCGGTAGGGCCGGGGGCTCGCACACGACCAGATGGCTACAAGGGACCCGCCAGGCTGGTCGGGGTGTTTCTCAGTCGGGAGATCAGAACACAGGCGTTCCAGGGGCGGTAAGGGGTCCGCTTTCTCCAGCGGAGGGTTGTCTTTGCAGCATCATGGACGCGCTTCGGGGGACTGCGAGGCAAAGCATCACAATCCATCTCACAAGTCTTTGGTGGCTTAGTATTCATACAGACCAGCGTGCGCGGCATATTCTTGGCATGTTGGCTAAAAGGCCTGGCATTATCATGAGGTATCCGTCTGAAATTTGTTGAAGTAACCCTTCCTGAAGGGGTTGAGTTCGTCAGCAGTGGTGCCCACGGGCTGTCTCTGTGCCGCCGCCTTCCAGGATTCCAGTTCGGACCCGGCGACGGACTGGTCCGGGAGCTTACGGTATGTGATGAGTCTGCGAGACCCTAGTAGCGAGGTATTAGCACGTGTGACGTTGGGAGCAAGTGATGGAGGTGGCAACCCACACTTATTGAAGGGCTGCACGCAGATGGCAACAGGCTCCAAGCATGGGTGGGTTGGCGGCGGGATTTCCTGGTCCTCGTCGTTGGCCGTCGGCATCCAGAACGACAGCCGTCCGCCGTCCACAAGGGCCTCGGACGCAAAGTGCAAGATATCATTGAGCATGGCGAGAAAGCTGTAGGGTCTCTTGGGCGGCACGAAGTCGGGGTCATTGAGCCTCTCGTGACCGGCCTCAACGACCCACGGCCGCGCCTGAGGGTCCCGACACCCGAGCACCACCAGGCCCTCCCTCACGCCGTACGGCGGGTCGCAGACGATACCGTCGAAGATGCGCGCCCTCCCGCCCTCGCCGGCCGAGCCGAAGGGCAGGCGCCGCAGGGGTGAGTTTGTCAGGTCCGAGGTGAAGACGTCCCCCAGCCTGTCGAGGATTCCGTAGTGCTTGAAGTTGCCGTAGAGAGTCTTTTCTCCCTTGATCAGGCCCCTCTTGGCCTCGGCCCTGGCATCGGCGCCCGAGCCGCGCACGGCGCGGCCGTCGATATCGCTGCCCCAGCTCAGGGCGCCAAAGGCGGAGCACGCTATGGGGAAGCTGCCGGTACCGACGAAAGGGTCATAGAAGAGCCTCCCCGGGGCGGCGAGGACCATGTTTGCGGTGACGAGGGCGAGTTCCGAGTCCATAGAGGTGGTGGAGATGTAGGGCCGCTTCTTGAGGTCGAAGCGGGCAACCATGTCGCGGGCACCCCTGCCGAGGAGGCGGCCGAAGTGGAAGCGGGCCGGGTTGAGGATGCCCAGGCGCGGAGAATCGCTGGGCCACTCCTCAAAGACGGTGTACTCCTGGACGGGGTGCTTCAAGCTGATGGGCCCGCGCAGAGGCATGTAGCTGAACGAGTTCATGATGTCGCGGCGTGAGGCACCGCTGCGGTTGCCCTGGAAGGAGTCGATGTTGAACCTCCACGAGTCGTCGGCGAGCTGCTCCCACAGATGGGCGGAGCGGGCCTTGACCGCCTCGTGCAGGTCATGCAGGCTGTCTCCAGAGCCCCAGTACTCGAAGATGGCCTGGGTGAGGATGGAGCGACGGACCAGGCGGGCTGCTGCGTCTTGGTCTGGGGGCCCGGTCACGATGCAGAAGGGGACCTGGCTGCTGTACGAGACAATGGTGACAGGGACCTGCTCGACCTCGGCCAGGGCCTGCAGCTCAGGCACGCGGAATGTCTCATGGGCCTGGCTGAAGCGGATGAGAAATGAGAGCCCCGACATGTTGGTGTTGGCGCCGGCTGCAGTAGACCTGGGCCTATGTCAACGAGACAAGTACAGGCTGGGGCGAGGGAGGTGGGAAATGGGAAATGCGAGAAGAAGCGAGGATGAAAATTCACATGGCAGGTTTTGTCATGGGCCGTTCAACCTTGCCTGGCCGTGCATCTTAGATGGTTGTAGAGTGCAGTTTAGGAAGTGTCACTCCCCAGCTGCCATCTGTCTCGCCGAGTGCTGCCCCGTGGAAGAAATGAACGTGACAGCTGCTGCGGACCATGAGTTTGTACAAACCTTGGAAGTTTGTTGTGGACGTCTAGCAGCGGGCCTGCCTCGTCTATCTGCATATCTACGTACGTACCTAGGTACGTGCCTAGGTAGGTACGGAGTACTAAGTACCTAGGCACCTAAGTAATGATCTGGATCTGTGCGGCGCCTGGTACCTGACAGAGTATGCCGCTTTCCACTAGAAGGGAAGTGCCTAGGTACCTCAGTACGGATACCCTGCCTGACCAAGGCGGTTCTACCCACCCCCCCCACCTCTGTTTTTCTATCTCTGTTGTTCACTGCATTTCTGCTTCAAGCTTCTTTCCAGCCCGAGGACAGCACGTGTATCCATAGCCTTTCCCACGGCTTTCATTTGAATATTGTCGTGGGCCGGGACACCCTGGTCTCGTAAATGTGAATTGTGAGGGTCAGTCACTCAGACCTTGGACCTGCCCGGGGCGGCTGCATGGCCCAGAGTGACCACTCGGCCAGACAGCTTTGCAGCAACACCGTGTTGGATCACGACGGGTCCTTCACCAAGTCTTTTCCCCAAGTCTTTCACAAGATGCTCGGGTTCGCGCAGCCCACCGTCTACGAGGCGTCCAAGTGCTTCTTCAGTTATGGCCGCCTCTCTCACCTTGACCCCAAGCAGCTGCCGACCGCATGGGAGGCCAGGGGCAAACCGTGGTCATCGGTGCTCGTCGACGGTTTCGTCAGCACGGTAGGTATTTATTTCTCCTCTCCCGTCATGCAGAGTGTATATGCCTGCGCCTACCGCCATCACCTGTCGTCGCTGACCAGCCGCCAAGGTCAGCCTCACCATGTCCCAGGGCCAATGGCAGTCGGCCCGTGGACAGCTCCTAGCCAAGGTTCGCGTGCCAGAGTTCTGTCGCGTCACCATGACCCTGCTGCAGATCCTGCAGGGAGATTTCTTCACCGAATACATCAAAATAGGTGACGTCGTCATGCTGTCCCGTGGTCGCACTGGCCTCGACAACGTCTTCACCCTCAAGGACGGCCGGCTCACCATGTTTCTTGACAAGGAGACATATGAGCGCGCAGGCCTGGTCGGCAAGCCCCACGGTGCAAAGGGGAACAGGGGCCTGAGGCCTCGCTGGGTAGTGGATTTCGATCTCCGAAGCCCATCCATGCTGCGTGGGAGACCCGGCTTTGATAGGCTCGTGTACGCCTGCAAGAACACTCTGACTGAGCCACAGACTTGGTTGTTCTGCAACATATCTAACAAGAGTGAGTCTTGACCCTACAAGTCTGCTAACCTGCCGTTGCTTCTACATGACAGCCTGTTTGACACTACTTTCTAGCGCCTGACCCTGATCCTATGCAAGCCTTCGAGCCCATCAGGTGCGTCCCGTCCCCTCGGATTACCGAGCATCCGGAAGCAGCTGTGCCGCCTTTAGCACCGCCTCCCGGTTTCATCGCGGACAGCGGGGATGAGGAGTTGCCCGCATTTGCAGGTGATATCTATGAATGGCTGTCGCTCTTGCGCCTTGAAAGCCCGCGCGTGTCATCGGCGGACTCGGTCGACCCCTACTTGAGTCGGTACCGACAACCTGGAGAGCCCGGTCAGTGGCCCCTCCCGGAGCTCGTGACTGTCGTCTGGGAAGGTCTTCTACCGCCCTGCCTCTCCCGCGATCTGCTGGTTGAGACGATCCTCGCGCTGCCCTCGCAGGCTTGGTTCTCCATGTCGGTCTCGTCATTTCCAAGGGGCTTCTCGGGGGACGCAGCCGAGACGACATTTCTCCGACCTCCAGCATCCCCAAGCGAGTTTTTGCTGTGGGACATCCGGAGCCATGTGTAGTCGGCAGATGGCGCCCTTCAGCCCTGCCGGGGCCGCCGCACTTGTCGCTCCTGGGCCAAATCCTCACTGGAAACGGCTTCCTCCACAAGCTGTCGAAGCGCCGCCTGCCCAGATTCAGTGTCCAGGTCCTCCCTGGAAGCTAGCTCCTCGATGCGCCTCCTGAATTCAGGGTCCGGCGAAGCACCGTCGACCTCGCCCTCGCTGACTGTTCCGAAATTGACCGAGAGGCCCGGAGGGACCGGTGGCAGGGCACCGTTGGGACTGGTTCCATTGACAGGAGCTTGCGCTGCGCCGTCCCTGGTCGCCGCAGCATCCTCCCTGCCCGCTAGATACTGAGCAACCGCGGGGAAGTCGCCGTCCTGTTGGATCTTCTCGCGTGCGGTGAGACCTTCGTCCCCGGTCAGTGCAGCATCCAGGCGGAGCTCTTCGACCAGAAGTTTGGCGGCTTCGACGGTCTCTACGACGAAAAGGGCGGTCTCGGAATCCTCATCTCGGAGGTCGACGGGCACGTTGAAGTCGGTCACGAGGGCGCGCAGGAGGTCGAGGTGGTTGTAACTTGCTGCGGCGTGGAGGAGAGAGTATCCATGGTCGTCCTGCTGGGAGGCGAGGCTTGGTGTCTCGTTAAGAAGGGCTAGCAGTGCCGTCGGGTTGTCTGCAGCCAGGAGGAAGGGATTTGGGGGCATGTTTGGAGGACGCGACGTTGGCAATGAGCTAGTTTTCGGGGTTCAGAGCAGGTCAAAGCCGCAGCGGGACGGATGATCACTCTTGTTGACGCTTGCTTGCCCTGGTCCCGATTGGTGCTGAAAACCTGCTGGACAAGTAATGGATGCGAGCGTTTTGACAGGCGCGCCCCAAGGTGGGGTGATGTGGATTCGTGCTCGAAAAGCCACAAAAAGGGTAAAAACAGGAAGAGCACAGCAAAGACGGGGTAGGCTGATGGCGGGGTCTCACCTTTCTGCAAAACCCCACTAAATGAATTAGCCCAGCTGCTGCATATCGATCGACCTTCCCGCCTCGATTCAAAGCAGATTGCTGAGTGGTCACCTCGGAAGCCAGAAATGCCCAGCCAGTATTTGTCCACGGCATACCTGAGTACCTAGGCACCTAGGTACCTGTACTCAGTTGCCCGGTCGCTTTAGATACACCAACGTCTATCCTGGTAACGGCTCTACTTTCCCTGCCCAGCTGGCTGGGCCACGATGCTTGCAGTATGGCAGCGGTAGTGAGGATTGCTTCTTTCTCAATATCGAGACCCCGTACATTCTAAAGGTAGGATCGAAAAAGAACCTCAGACCTATCGTCTTCTAGATCCACGGCGGCGGCCTCATGGCTCGTACCCAGTAAGCCACATCCGTTGCTGTTGTTAATGTGGTATCGCTTCTATTCCGTATACGTCCGAGGACATACACATGCATGGCGCCTTCATACGGTGGTAAGCACTCAAGACCCAGCGCTTGGAAAGAATACGATGTCGATAACAATAGTTATAATACGATAGGTGCCTAGAGAAGAAAATGCTTATGTTTTCACCAGGTTCGCGCCTATCCTGAGCAGGCACAACCCGCTTGAGCTCGACATCCCAACAGCTATCGCTCCAGAGTATCCTCTCGGCGACCCAAGCATACTTTACTACGAGGTTCACCCATCCGACACACCGAGTTTCTTCGGTTCCTTGGACAGGTCAGTATTTGCTAACCTCAGAAGTGCCCCACCCCTTTCCCCGACGACCGAAGCAAGCCTTTTCCAGTCACCTATTCAATAACTAATTGTGAAGGGCATCAATGTCGGTGTGCCGTTTTTCCATTACTAGTCGAATTTGTCCCGGATTAGATACCGTGAAATCAACGACTTGCTCACTGTGCAGTTGACTAGCGGCTACGTCGGTAGCCTCATCACGGGCCAGCCAAACCCGGATCCGACATACCAGTTGGCCTTCAAGTCAGGGAGTGCCGGAGTACGTTAATTGCAATCAATACGTCCGGGCCCTGGCCTGAAATAAGCGAGACGACGGGGCATATCAACAGCTTCGACTATCCCTCGGCCACTTCTGGGTTCGTAGACTAAGCTCAATGTGACTACTTAAGTATTTGAATAGCACTGTGACACATCACCTAGACGTTGGGGGGGGGGGGTCGACCTCGAAGTTCCGAACGGCGCGAATGATCCTCAAACCACAGGAGTGCAAGCCACGGCGCCTGGAACCAATATTTATCTGGTCACTTGAGGCTGATGAAAAAAGAAATCTTCAACCAAGGTGTGTTGTCTTGCGGAATTTGCTGCCAATTATAGTCGGTCCATAATTTTTGTCACACATTGGACTTTCCGTGACTCAGGTGCATGACACTAAGCCAAGAGGAAAATGGATGCATCCACACCTCGAGGCGTGGTTTCTGATACTTATTGGCAGACCAAGCTAGGGTTTCCAACTATGACACCACAGCCACCCAAGTCCCTTGAGAGCACTGAGATCTCTCCCACCAGGAGATTACTTAGGTATTCCACGGTGAATTATTTTGCAAGATGTTCGATTTATTCCATACCTAGGTGGAAGATCACAAAATTCGACGACAAGAAAGAGACCAGCCTCTTATTAGAATTGTACGTAGATTTGGTTCAAGTTTACAGGTCCCGCACACCTGGGCAGCCTCATCGAGCAGCCTAGCCCAATCACCCAGCAACTATGTTTGGTCGCCACGGTCATTGCTCCAGAAATGAGTTTGCTGCGCTGCGGATGACTGGCTGCGTATAGTCATGTTTATAGCAGTTACTAGTATCGTCATGTCGAGTCACAGCATGGCGGGATTTACTTGCCCGCCGCCTATCGACAAATCACATATAGCTTGCCAACTCAGCGGGTGAGTTTCTTTGAGAGCATAAAACGAGGAGAGAAGAAGCATCATCAGGGTACGCGGTTGATGTTGGCAGGTAGATTCCCCCAGCTCTGGAACACTTGTACACCAGGGAAGAGACCAAGCTTTAGAGAATGGATTGGATCAAACACGAACGCTTTGGTTGGCGCGCTGGGCACAACAAGAACCAAGTGGCAGGATTAACAAGTACAGCCCAGACTTCACCCATGCGAAACGCCATGCTTAGTGCGCTGCTAATCTGCATGTGCACGCCCATAGTTCGCGGCCAACAACATCAACACCCGCGGCTGTGGCCACCTGCCAACATTGAACCTTGTGTGATCCAGTGTCCAGCACAGCACGTTCAAATGGCAGGTAATGCGAGCTCTGGTGCTGAGATACTGCATTGGGGGCCGCAACCGATCCTTGACTTCATGTTCAACAGCCATTTACAGACGTCACATGCGCCCGCTTTGCAGCCTCTGACTCTCGCCGTCAACCTAGTTGCAGCGTCGGGCATAACAACTCTGATGACATCCGCGACAGCCCACCAAAAGAGCCGGGAAACGTCCCTTCCGAGGTCACCAGTGTTCGTGGAGGCGGTTAGCGGCGGAAGGAGAACACTTGGGTGCGAAGTCATTCATCAAGTCGCTATCACTCTAGGCTGCGTGTGGATTGCCGCCTTCCACGGCATGTAGATACCACAGCTTGTATACAAGGTAGAGAAGTCAACTGGTAGTGACTTGAAAAGGGGGGGTTGCAATATCTGGGTACTCAAGTACACGTGTATCCAGGTACCTAGTCGAGGCCCCCGCTGTCATAGAAGCCATCAGGTATAAGAGGCACTTAGCCAGTAATAAATGGAACCAGACCATCACATGAAGACCAGTACAGGCAGTCCACAGCACACAATTAACGGGTGTATTCCATCAATCGATATGATGCTATGTAGACTATTACAACACCACCGTCAAAATGACAGTATGTTATTGTGAATTGACGTAAACTTCAAGCGTTTTACATCACCATATCCACATGCACAAGTACAAAGAAGTATGTACCTAAGTAGGTACCCGAGGTGCTGAGGGTTCCCAGCTCGGCCCCACACGGAGTAGCAATCAAAACTTGTTTCGCCAAACTAGTCTACATCTATGCCCGCGCCACCCCGTTCCACAACGAAGCCCACCAGCTACCTCGGCTCCGCACCGAGAAACAGAGAATTCTTTCGTAGTATAGTGGTTAGTATGCAAGCTTGTCATCGCCATCCTTGGAAGCAGCAACGCTTGAGACCCGGGTTCAATTCCCGGCGAGAGAGAAGAATTTGCATCGCACCTTTTTGGCAGTATTTTTTTGCTCTTTTGACTGCCCAGGTGGCTGGCACGACGCGCCATCGCGAGGGCCGTGTGTCGTATCTGAATGGCTCAGGAGATGACTGCCGTGGAAGATGAACCCTCCCGCGGAGGCCGACAGGGGTCACAAGCCGAGGCAAAGCTGACTTGCACGGCCTGCCAATGCTGCCCCGTGGGGGGGCCATAAGCCCCTCCATCCATCCATCCATCCATAGTACACGGCATGTCAGACTGTCAGACTGTGTCCCACTGCCTCGCGGGCCGACCCCGTCCTTGAAAGGTAAGTACTTGTTCTGCCTGCCTTTTATATGGTCACCGTCCTGGGCCACGACAGAGCACTTGAGGCGACACAGCAGAAACATGGCCCCCCGCCACGGTCAAGAGCCCGTCGTCATCGTCGGGGCCGGTCTTGCCGGGCTCGTCGCCGCATTTGAGCTGACGCGCAATCATGTGCCGGTTGTCATTGTCGACCAGGAAAACGAGGGCAGTCTCGGCGGGCAGGCCTTCTGGTCCCTCGGCGGCATCTTCTGCGTAGACTCGACCGAGCAGCGGAGGATGGGCATCAAGGACTCGCGCGAGCTGGCAATGCGGGATTGGTTCAACTCGGCCCGCTTCGATCGCGACAAGGATGACTTCTGGCCCCGCCAGTGGGCCGAGGCCTTTGTCAACTTTGCTACCGACCACATGGAGGCTTATCTGAAGGCCAGGGGCATGGGCTTCCTCCCAAACGTCGGCTGGGCCGAGAGGGGTGACGGCACAGCTGGCGGCCACGGCAATTCCGTCCCCCGCTTCCATCTGACCTGGGGCACTGGGCCCGAGGTCGTGAGGGTGTTTGCTGAGCCCGTCAAGGCCAAGGCCAAGGAGGGCTTCGTCGACTTCAGGTTCCGCCACAGGGTCGACGAGCTCATCATCGACCAAGCCACCGGCAGGGCCGTCGGCGTCAGGGGGTCCACCTTGGACCCGGACCACTCCCCTCGTGGCGTCAAGACAAACAGGAACGAGTCCGGCCCTTTCGAGATCTATGGCTCTGCTGTGGTCCTATCCTCCGGCGGCATTGGAGGCAACGTCGACGCGGTCAAGGCATCGTGGCCCAGGGACCGACTTGGCCCAAAGGTCCCCGAGCACTTTGTCGTGGGCGTTCCCGCTCACGTCGACGGTCGCATCATTGGCATAGCCGAGACGGCTGGGGCCAGCGTGGTCAACAGGGACAGAATGTGGCACTATACCGAGGGCCTGGCCAATTGGGATCCAATCTGGCCAGATCACGGGATCAGGGTCCTCCCAGCACCCTCATCTCTATGGCTTGATGCCACCGGGAAGCGGCTGCCTCCCTTCCTGTTCCCGGGGACTGACACGCTCGCCACTCTCAAATATATCTGCAGCACAGGCTATGACTACACCTGGTTCATCCTCACCCAGTCTATAATCGCCAGGGAGTTTGCCCTGTCCGGGTCCGAGCAGAACCCGGACATCACCGGCAGTATGTGAACCACCTCCTCGTCGACCTTTTTCAAATCCTGTTGTTGTCCCTGGTCCCTTTGGCCGTTTGGCCCTCCAAAAACCCTCGGGGCAAGTATCATCTCAGGTCTGCTAACAGAAAGCCGGACAGAGTCTTGGTGGCAGCTTCTGACGCGGGTATTTGGGAAGAAGGGCACAGTACCCGTGCAAAACTTTCAAAAACATGGGGTTGATTTCATCGTCAAGCACAATCTGGAAGACCTGGTCGACGCCATGAATCAGCTTGCTGCAGACCGCGACGGCCCCCACCTCGAGTACAGTCAGATCAAGGATGTCGTCGAGACCCGCGACAGCCAATTTCATAATTCCTATTCAAAGGATGCACAGGCTATGCTGATCCACAACGCGAGGAATTACTGGCCCGACAGCAAAAGCCGCGTTGCCCCGCCGCATCGGTTATTGGATCCCAAACATGGCCCGCTGATCGCGGTGCGAATGAATATTCTCACACGCAAGACTCTGGGGGGGTTGGAAACTAATCTTGCAAGCAATGTGATGAGGCCCAACGGTGAAACCTTCCCGGGCTTATATGCTGCTGGCGAGGCTGCCGGGTTCGGTGGTGGTGGAGTCCATGGTTATAACTCCCTCGAGGGCACATTCCTCGGCGGCTGTATCTTCTCTGGCAGGGCCGCGGGTGTCGCTATCACCGAGGAGTTGAAGGGCCAAGTTCTCAACGCTAAGCTGTGACGGCCGACGAAGACCTGCGCCCCATGTTCTTGTGGAAGGATCTTGATATGATTGAAAGGGTAGTTTCTGGGGCTGCTGCTGGAGAAAAGCTCACGCAAATCAGGCACCGACGTCTCCACTATGGCTAAATTTGATTCGACAAACAGAGCTGGTGAGGCGTATCAAATATGTCAGGTCCGGCGGCGGCGGCCCGGAGAGATTTTAATATCTTTTTATAAGAATCTTAAGAATAATATGACTCAATTACTTCGTTCCCCTCCTAAATATAAGGCTAAAAGACTTATAATTATAGTTTTCTAACTAATATTTATTTAATTAGTTTACTTTATTATAACTTAATTTAATCTCTAATGTAGTTTAACTCTCTTCCTAAGTTCTTATAGTACTTTCAATTTTAAAAGTATTTAATTTATTCTGAAGGGAAGTGGCGTGAGGCCCGCCAGCTGAAGAATCCGTTAGTGGCCGTCCTCAAACATCAGATATGACGAATCCACCCAAATTTGGACTTTGTGAGGCCGCCTTTCTCTGCGTCTTCTACGGCCGCGCGGGAGTAGAACCTGCGACCCTCGTCAAGGTCAATGGTGTGAGAGTTAACCCACCAGCCCTGCCTCTTCGTAGCATAGAAATAGCCACGAGTGATAAGCCATATGACGACTCCAGCCACAATAGAGATGTAGTTGGCGAAGAAATTTTTGGCACTCATTGGTTCGCTCAAAGGCCAGACGCTCAGGTAGAACTCAGCAATGATGAGGAGTATGCACCAGATGAGACCCCAATAGGCCCCCCAGGGATATGTCCACGTCTTCCAAGGGAGTTCATCGACAGAGCGGCCCTGGACCTTCCAAGCGTGACGCATGCGAATGTGTGACAGACATATCATCGCCCACCCGAAGAGGGTAAACAATGATGTCAGATTCGAGAACCAGGTGAACACCTCGGCGCCACTCTGGCTGACATTCAGGTAAGCCAGCCCGCCTCCAATGACAAGAGTTGGGACCAGGGCGAACCAAGGACGACCGGTCTTATCGGCCCTAAGCATTTGCTGGCAATTCCGAGAGAGTTGTTAGCAAATCGCCTCTACTATTAGTTTCTCCCTTTCTGAAGCGAAGGAGTGGGCTTAATGACCAACCTTTGGGGCCATTCCGATCTGAGCCAAGCCAACCAATGTTCGGGAGCCTCCATACCCTGAGATACTGCCAGTCGACAGAACAGATATGAAGATGATGAAATTCATAATGTGTGCGAGAGGCATCAATCCGGAGTCTTTGTAGGCTACAACAAATGGCGATGCGTTCGTTCCTTCGCCACCGAACAGGTCCGGGTTATCAGGACTGACAGTAATAGTCACCATGAGCGAGCCGAGGATGTCTAGGAACAATTATCAACGACCATGCTCTTAACGCTAGCCAGAAAATCTGATCAAGTTTCCAAGAAGTGACTGGGGAGGGGATATTCGAGTATCAGAAGCCTTTTGGGACTCACAGAAGAGAGCCAGCCGGATCCAAATAGAGCTGACAGCCTTTGGCACAGACTTCCGGGGGTTTCCTGTCTCGGCTGCAACGAGACCACAGTTTTCGGAACCTGACATTGCGAAGATACACGTAGGCATAATCGACAAAAATCCCTTGAAACCATTCGTAAACCCGCCGGTGGTGTTCCAATACCTGAATCCGATGGGTCCTCCCTCGGGGGCGCCGCCGGCAGAGATGACTATCATGCTTACTGGTGGTGAAGTTAGTCCTGCTACGGGTCCTAAAGTGTTGTATTCTAGAAAATTCCAAAACGTGAAAGACGGGGATCCGTAAAAGGTGAAATGTGATACTGACTGATTACAACAAAAATCCAGCCGAACTTCAAAGTTGCGAAGATTACTTCGACCTCGGCAAACCAGTTGACTGCAACGACATTGATTGCCACAATTACCAGGAGGAAGATCGTGATTGTTGCAGCGGTTGGAAGCTTATCCGTCCAGAAGCCCATCACTGTAACGAGGCCGGCGAGCTCGTTGGCGATGGTGATCCAATATTGGAACCAGTAACACCACCCGAGCGTCAGACCTGCAGCTGGGTCGACGAATTTGGTTGTCCACTGCACGAATGCTGACGGAAGAGGGTACATTACAGCCATCTCGCCAATGGACTGTGAGACACACCAGATCATTGTCCCGGACAATAAGTCTTGAGATATAAGCCTCTGTAAGCTTCTGACATGGCGTGACTAGGTGACATGATGTAGTGTAGCAACACGAGACAAAAAAAAGCGACAATACACTTACAGCCGATCAGGAGCGCAGCAGGGCCCCCATTGATGAGACTTGTTCCACTGCCGAGCCACAGCCCCATACCAATGGATGAGCCTAGTGCAATCATGGTGATGTGACGACTGCTCAGACGACGTTGCAGCTCACTTTCAGCGCCATGGTCCATGTCATCCGAGGCCAACACTTGCTGCTCATCTGGCGATGACGAATTGGACTTCTCTTGGCCATATTCTCCGCTGGATCCCATTTTATGGTAATTGAGATATTCCAAGTGAACGTAAAGTAACGAGGCGTAACGAGGCAAATACTTATGGTTTACCCAGAGGACCTGGTGGGGAGAACCAAGACACTGGGCATGAAATACAGCGAGGAGAACTTGTACAAGAGAATGCAGCAATGCAAGACGCAAGAAGAAGGACGAAATACAGGAGCCAGGAAATCGGGCTTGGGGCGTGCGGACCCTTTTATACAAGACCAGGCGCAACGTTTCACGAATGACACACACAGAGGTGAACATAAAACCCTGTTCAAGACGAGCGCCAATGTGACATCGAGTCTCCTCCACTGATGGGAGCTCACGAGCTCACGAGCGATCCGCGAAGGATCCAGACAACATGGGATGTGCCCAACTGCGTACTAGGGCCGACGTTTATCGCCGGAGATAGGTGCCTCATTTTGAATGCAAAGTGATCCACCAAGGCAAGTCAGCCACGGAATGAGCGCGTCCTTCAGGGAATGGGACGAGACGATTCTCGCGTGGTATGTACGAAGATAGCGCACCACGCACGTTGTCAAGCCGAGGGCCAATCAGGATACATGTGGAGGATGCCGGCGATATGAAGTCCATCCGTACTGTACGAGCGAACAGTTCCAAAAAGTCATCTCTGCCCATTCCGCGGCGACGCCGGAAGCAGATCTAGTGTGCTTTTCCAGGAAGATGATCCACCAGGAAGAAGTGGATGAAGCTTTCGAGCCCACATAAATTTGTTTTATCAATTTGTCTGGGGGAGGGTCAGTCGAGTTCAAACAGACAAAATTCAAATGGGTAGTAAATGCGGTATCTACAAAATCATTCCTCGCAATAACCCCATCGAAAGCTCCCGATTCGGCGAAGATAGCCCTACTGGTCCAGGGCACGCCAATGACACCATGCTGAGAAGGATTCCGGGGACTGTGGCCCATTCGTGCAGATGTTCAAAGCTGACACAATACCTACTTCAGCTAGATACCAAGCTGCAACCCATGGATATTTTCTATCACTTGTCGAAACCACACAACCAGCTATTACGTCTTAGGTATGAGCAGTGTTCTGCGAACAACGTATTCCCTATTATGTAGATACCGTCAGTCTACGATTTATAAATTGCCTTCCAGCTTTTTACATGCACTACAAAAGTGGGTAGTTGCGGGCGGGCCACTTTTAGTTACAGGCTGATTGATTACTTGCATTATGACCTGCCCTTCTCAGTGAATTTGTGGCTTTCATGCTCTTATCAGTACCTAGGTAAGCTTGCCTTATCGTGCATATTTCCTATCTTCTACCCGGGACACTCCGGCTCACCGATTACATCGATGTACACAGTATCTAAGATAGACTGAATCCCTGATAATAAAGCTTGCATATAGATATCCACTAAAAGCGGCACTAATACTATACTAGCTCCTAGAACTATTATCTATAATACATTAAGTTAATTAAATACTTAATAAACTTTTAAAAAAGTATTTCCTTTTTTTTAATATAAAATTAAAAAATTTATAATTTTAAATAAATTAAAACCTTATATTTTTTAAATTTAAATTTAAAGTTTTTATAAATTTTAATTTATTTTAAATTAATTTTTTTTTAACTTTTTTAAAAATAAATAAATAATTTTAAATAATAATTCTTTTTAAAAATTAAAAGTTTATTATTATATAATTATTAATTTAATTATTAATACTTATTTAATTTTAATTTATAATAAAGTTATTAAAATTATAAACTTATATAATAAAATATAATAAATTAAATAATTATTTTTAAGTAATTTAAATAAATATTTATTTAATTAAAGTTAAAATTTTAATTAAAGAAATAATAATTTCATTTTTATTTACTTTAATTAATTTATACTTATTTAAATTATATAATAACTTTTATATAATACTTTATAATATTAAAATTAATTATAAAGTTATTATAAAAACTTTTATATAAGAAATTTAATTTAATTAATTTTAAAAATATATTATGTTATATTTTTTAAAAACTTTATTTATTTATTTTTAATTTAAATAATAAAATTAAAATATATATAAATAATTATAAATTATTATAAAAGTATTAAAAATATAAAAATTAAATAAAAAATAAATATTTTATTTTAACTTATTTATAAAATAATAATTTTAAAAAAATATTTTATTTTTAATTAAGTTATATTTATATAATATTTAGGATGTAGAAAAATAATTGTTGCCTTAAGATGTATAGACGTTCTAGCCTGGCCTGTCTTCTAGTATTTCTATCTGAAAGCCCGAGGCTTCTGGAGTGGGTGTTGGAGAAGTTATGGAAATATAGTAATGTAACCAGGTACATCCCAAGGATTGTGGTGGAGGAAACGAGACCCTACGTGAGTGGTGGTGGTAATTGGGGTTCTGCATCGCAAAGACGTTGTTTATTTCTGCAAATGGGGGCGTTCCGTCTTGAATGTAACGGCCGTCTTGCTTCTTGCAACCGTCAATCACGAGCCACTGACACGATCGGGTAACGGTTTGTCCTCCTGGCCAACAGGAACCAGCCTGCCGACAACCAGGTACTTGCTCAGGAACTGTTCCTCCCAGTCCCGGAGGGCCTCCATTTCATCCGGGCCCATGCTCTCTAATGAGTCCAGCGGCCCGTCGAGATCTTTGGTCAAGACGTCCTCATCGAAAGAGCCAGAAGCCAGGCCGCGTGAGGCGTCACGACCGGCAAAATTCTGGTAGGGCCCGTCAGGACCGTAGAAGTTGCGGCCAGTGGAGACATCGAAGACTCGGCCGCGCACGGCGAAGTAGATGGGGCGGCCGTCCTTGCCGTCGAAGGGCAGGAGGGTACGTGGGGTAAAGGTGCGGAAGACGGTGGCGGGCGGTTCCTTGGGGAGCAGCGGCGGCGGGGAGGGCTTGAGGGTGGCCCAGAGAGCATAGCCGACCAGAAGAAGCAGGATGGCGTTCAGAGGTGTCAAGAGGGCGTTGCCGTGGGTAGATCTATACATATTGGGGAGGTTGTCAGCCTTTGACTGTCTCTGACTGACTGACTGTCCGCCTGCCTGTCCTGCCTGTCCTGCCTGGCCGGCTCCGAAATGGAATGAAGGAGTGGGGCTTACTGGGCGGCTCTCTGGGCCTCCTGGGCCATGCGCTGCTCGACGTAGTCCATGGCGAAGTCGCTGCCGGCGGGTTGGGATGGGAGAAAGGAGAACGGGGCCGTCGGTTTGCGTCAGGTCACTTCACTCTAGACCGCCTCCAGTCGGGGTGTGGGCGAGTTGCGAGTTAAGAGAAAACAAAGAAAACAAAAAGACGTGTTGCAAAGGGTGACGAGCGACCGGAGGACTCGGGTCATCAGTTGTCATCGAAGCTGGACACACTACACAATGTCCATTGCCAGGCCAAAAATATCCAAGCTCCGCCGTCAAGCGGCTGCCCCCACCCTGCCACCCCGAGGTCCCCGAGCCGAGCTCAGGGGTCCGTCTGCCCAAACACGACTCAGCCCTGCAGGTTCCCCACCTGCAGTGTCAGAGGGACAGACCCCACAGGCTATCTTGGAAACAGCTCCCTTCCGTCATGGCAATTCATAAGCACCTTTTCTCTTGGCCCTGTCTCAACTGCAAGCAACCTGTCTGTTCAACTGGCCCGGTCACAGGCCACGATACGCAGACAAGATGGCTGCCCGGCAGCCTACAGACCAGCGACACTGCTAGTCAGGTGCTTGTACCCATGTGCTTAAAGGCTGTATCGCAGCCATCTTATTATATTCGCCAATAGGTATGATCAATCCACCATAGCCTCGCAATGCCACCTTCCAGCCTTCCAGCCTTCCAGCCTGTCTCCCAAGGTTCCGGCGCAAGCATTTACTTGTCTGCGACGGGAAAGTCCTTTCCCGTCGTGTTTTTATACTGGCCACGAATGAAGTCTACACGAGCCGTCATGTCAGCGGTCGAGATTGGCAACGCACCCACGTGCTTGGAAACGGAAAGGCGTGCGTACCCGAGATCTGTTCGTCCTTGGCCTGCTCTACCGCCGACTCGTTGTCCTGCTTGCCCTGGCCGAGCACATTCTCTTGGACCCAGTCGACTCCTGCGTGCGATTGCAGTAAGACCGTCAGTGGCTGCAACATCGCGGCAGTCAGGGATTGGAGACAGTCCTGCTCACCCTTGTCGAGGCCGTCCTCCTTCTTCTCGCCTGCCGCCCCGCCACCGGCCATGTTGTTCAGCTTGCTCATGAACCCACCCTCCGACTTCTGCTCGCCCTGCTGCTGGCCCTGCTGCTGCTCGCCCTCCTTGTTGCCGCCCGCGAGGTTCTTGACAAAGTCCATGACGCCGTTGCGTGTTCTGTCTGAGCGGGTAGTGTGGAGTACCTTGGGCTCACTGGAGGGGATTGTGACAAGTAGGTACTTGCTTGGATGGGGCCGATGCAATTGCGGCAGGACACGCGCACCTGGGCCCCTTTTATCCAAGACTCCAGGAGGACCTGCCTCGCCACGGTCCATGTCCACGGCTGGAGTGATGTCACTCGTGTCCCATGCCAAGGCGCCCGTCTTTGGAAACCTGGCCGTCTCAGCTAGCCTGCCAACCTGCTAGCCCGCAGCGAGGTAGCACGAGGTAGCACGAGGGCACTCTCAATCTTGATTCGGGCGGTTCTTGGTCCGGATTAGAGTTTGGACGACGACTGGAATGCCCGTCGTCACCAATATGCCATGCTAGGTGCAGTCCTGAGTCCTGACCTGCCTGCCCGTCCCGGACAATCAGTGCAAGAATCTCGTCTACGTGAACCCGCGATTCGCCCAGGTGCCCGCGCCGCCCCTCTCAACATATCATTAAGTGTGCATGTGGTGTGCCCTGAGGCTCAGCCCCTCAGCTTCCTCGCAGCTTACGGGTCACGACGATTCGATGGTTGGTCAAGGTTCAACACTGCCGGACATGCTTAAGCACTAGGCGCAGTCGTCTCCCGGTGTCCTGTAACGGACATCTCTTCTCACTTTTGGCTGTTCAAGTTGATGGCAGTGGACATCGACAGACGTGTATCAGGGCACGGATAATGTCAGCGTACATTGTACATTGCAGGTAATGTCGTGGGAGTCTTCGGAGGCTGGTAGAATCGGTCACGCCTGTCATTCTTGTATTTCGGCTGCACATAGCTTAACCTCACAATAACGCCAGCACGAGTCTCCATGCGGGCACCTCTCGCTCTCTGGCCTCGGCGCCGCGGTAGTCTCCTCCTCGAGCAGGGCTGTTCAAAAGGGTATTTTGTTCATCATAACAATGTGTGTCATTGCTCTAAACACGGGAAAACCGATTGACGCCAGGTATGAGATCCTTTCAGCCAGCCCATCCGACCGATTCTGTGTGCAAGTTTGCTTTTTGTTGGTTTGCCGTGTCCCTTCGTGATTCCCCTACTCGCCATCCGCCTAGGCGACGAGCTCAACGACGCCGCCAGCGTCCGTGATCTTCTTCTCCGCCTCGGCGCTAACGTATCGGGCGCGAACGACGATGGGGGCCTCAGGCAGGCGGCCCTTTCCGAGGAGCTTTGCGTACCCGAGAGCATTGAGGTCGATGAGAGGTGCCGAGTCGGAGGCAGAGTTCTTGAGGGTCTTCTCGCGGACATCGGCAGGGACCAGAGACCACAGCTGTAAGATTGTTCAATCAGTGACCACTCGTCCGTCGCAATAGCCTAGCCATGGGGCGTTGCTGTCTCGTACCTTATCGACGTTGATCTCGGGCTTCCACTGGTGGTTCCGCAGAAGGTGGAAGCGCCTCATGCCGACCTTACCGAAGTAACCAGGGTGGTACTTGTCGAGGTTGGTTCTGTGGTGGTGCTGACCACCGGCCATACCACGACCACCGGGGTGCTATAGGACACCAAATCCATGTCAGCTTCATGTTGTGGCGGTTATTTTCTGTCGTCGCAGGGGTTGAATTCGCGCTGGGGATTGCTGGTTCGGTCGTGGAATTGGTCGTACCTTTCTGTGCTTGCCAACGCGACCCTTGCCGGCGCTGACATGGCCGCGGTGCTTGGATTCTGTCAGTAAAGAACATCTCTCGAATGGCAATCATGATGGACTCGACATTACTGACCTTGCGCGTCTTGGAGAATCGGGTAGGCATCTTGTCTGGCGATGGGTGAGGTGGTGGTTTGTCGATGCTTAAACTTCTCGGAGTGTTGAGTAGCGGCTTTGATGGGGTCGGGTTGGGAAAAATTGGACGGTGGTGCGGAAAACTAGCGACCAGCCGGCACCCATCTGTGACCAGCTGGCTCAGCTGCAGAAGTGGGTCCATGGTCTCTCGGCTACATGTTTGTACTGGTAGGTGCGTTGTCGTACCCCCTACCGGGGTGCCTGCTTGTTGCACCACCTAGGTACCCAAGTATTTAGGTAGGTGTCTAGGTACTGTGTACTCGCCATAAAGCGTAGACTGGTTGCACAGTCTGCCTGCCTGCCTGCCTGCCTCTCTCACCAGCGTGCTGCGAGCAGGCAGGCATGCAGGCATGTTGAACCTCGTCGACGCAGCACTGGCGCCGCGGCGACCTGCCTGATTTCCCGAATTCTCTCTCTGCTCCGTACACTTTCAGTCCACCTGATCTGGTAGCGGCTTGATGCCTCGATCATAACTATTGACACCGACAGAGAAGCAGTCGGCCAATATGAGCTTTCTCTGGCCCTCCGCCTGTCTGATCACCTCCTGTCTTGCTCTCAGGTGCCACCTCTACCGGTACAGCTCCCTTTCGTTCCCGCAACGCCACGATCGATGACTTTGATGACATTGCCACTGTGTGGATCGATGCCTTCAAACCTGCGCCCATCTTCAGCTATATCTACCAGTTTGTAGACGAGGTCGGCGAGGAATAACATGGACCTGCCAACGAAATAGGCTTCTCGCCTTGTTTGAACAGCAGGGTACATGTGCCGACCAACAGGTTCCAGGTGATTACGATACCGGAGCCGGCATCTCCTTCGGGCGACAAGGTTGTGTCCGTCTCGGCCTGGGACGTTAGCAGGACTGAATGTCGCCGCCACGAGCAGCTGTCCCTTACATTGCTCTCACGGGCATTTATTGCCAACGGCAGTGCCGGCAGTACAATGATATCTCTCAGGTCTCAACTGCTCCGCCCATCTCGACATGAATCTTGCCCGTGCAATTCATTTTCAGCACATCGCGAGAATGGTGAGCGGAAATGCCTCATAGAGCCCTTTGGTAATCAGCTTCCGCTGGCCCTGCTGGCCACTCATCCAAGTTGGGACGGGCATAGCTTCGCTTCTCAGCACCTACAGTGAGGGACGACCCAACTGGAGCCACTGAGAGAAGGATTGCGCGGTAGGCTGCCAATAACGTTGCTGGCCACCCCTGCCGGATTTCCCTTGTACCTTGATGAGAGCTTCACAGGGTTGGAAAACATCACGTTCGAGAGGCCGGATCGGCAGGGGGGCATTCTGGTGTGAAGCCATGGCCTACCAGCAACCCGTTGGTGGTGAGGTGAACGAGCTGCGAAGGTGACGTGCCTGAGGCAGTTGGCCGGGTTTATGGTTGCACCGATGGGCAAGCAAGCATTGGCACTGGCAGAACTGGCAATTCCAATGTCTCGTCTCAGCACCTACCCTACCTTTGCCTCCGGGACTCTTGTCGAAGGATGCTGGCTGCTGGCTGCTGGCTGCTGGGGACCTCGCAGGCCTAGCGGACGACACGCAGCCTTGACAGCGTAGCAGCCCGTTGGTCGTCAGAGTGAGCAGCCCTTGCTGCCCCAAGGCTCCAGGCCTGTCAGGGCCCCCGGCCGGGGCGGGGAAACGGGAGAAGGGGCAGCTGAGGGTGGGTTGATGGCTGGCTGAATAGCCTGGCAATCGGCCGTGTAATCGAAGATCGGGCTCATTGTCGAGCCTCAAAACCGGATTCGCAGTGTGCCTCTGGGAGGTTGTCGAATTAGAGTGTCGGGAAGAAGTGTGTGTGCCGACTGTTGCTCTACTCGGTACACTAGATCAGGCGACGACATCATGGTCATCATGGTCGGCGCCGGGGTTCCACCCAGACCCTGCCATTTCCCCACACCATTCCGCCCCTGTCGTCGACCCCGGCCCGCTGTCTGGCTGTCTGGGCAGCCCTGGCAGCCTGGGCCATTTGTTCGGAAGCGTGGCGGCAATGATGTGGGCGCCAGACCAGGGACTGCAACGAAGCCACACAGAGTACTCCGTACACTGCCTTGACTGCCTCACCTTGTGCTCGAGGTCTCTGGGGGGCCAGGTCTCGACGGTCGACGAGCACATTTCTGTCAGGCGTATCATCTCCACGGCCCCTGCTTAAGTAGCCACGTGAGAGGGCCAGATTCTCTCGCGCTGCTCTACACCTTGTCCTGGGGGCCATCAGACTGAGCTTGCCCGGCCTTTTTTGGTGGTGATGGTCCTGCCAGCCCTGCTTGGTGACCTCATCCCGTACCGTGTCTCCCACGTCCGGAGCGATCTTCACCCATCACCCAGTCACCCACACCACCCGGGCAGCCAGGACTGTTCCATTACTGTAGTTGTGTAGGTTGCATTGTGGCAAATACCGTCCCAAGCGATTTGTGCCATACCGGACCCGGTCTTCTCACAGTGATGTTTATGTACCGCGCCCCTAGCACCCAGGCGTGGCGGTTCTACCATCACGTCCTCTTGTCAATGGTGCCCCAAATTGTTCCTTTGAACCTAGCACACGCCTATTCACTCTGCCGAACCTCACTCAGCAACTCACACAGGACCGTTTGCGCGAAGCTGCCCGGAGGCCGACCCCATTTCCGATGATCAGCAATATCAGAAAGGACCGCAGGTCCGTGTTCAAGGAGGTGGGACTGGCTCAAGAAGAGCCTGTTGCAGCGGGCGACCCTGCCAGCGAACACGCCGTACCAGGTGAAAAGGGAGAGCCTAACCAGGCACAAAGACCGACAACCCCTGAAGCCGCTGAGGACAACGCCGCCGCGGCCGTCCACACGCAGGTCAAGGACCGGCAGGGTGAGGACATGAGTGATGAGCATGAGAAGGGCAGGCAATCGCCATCAGAATCTCTGAGCCGGTATCAGGGCGGTATGCCAGATATAGCACGGTCCAGAACTGTTTCGGTGCAACCAGCCATCAATAAGACACCATGGTATGCTAAGCTCGCAGCAGGGAGGAGGCCAAGGGTCAGGACGGTTGGAAGCGCGTCGGCATCACCTCTACACGGCCTGTCAGCCGTCAGCATGGTTGCTCTGGTACTGGCTGTCCTCATCCCCTTCACTGGCAGGGGCAGGCAGGACACAGTAGGTGTAGCCGATGCTGGCCCCGTCTTGTTGAGCAGGGCAGACAGCCCTACGGATGTTTGTGCGAGGTGGGCCATGCAGTGTGAGTGATCTTGAATGACCATCTCAGCCCCAACGGCACAGTAGAGAGAGACCTGACTGATCGCACTCGACTCAGCCACTATACTCAATGGTACGTTGTATCTGTACGGGGGTGAGGCCAAGTCGGATCTGGACCAGGAGAATGGCACCTGGAACAACAACCTCCTCGCGCTCGACCTGACTTCGACCTGGGATACCAGCTCGCCGTCTCTGACTGGTCTCCCCCAGCCGAGTGGACCGCCAGCTGTCGCACTCGGTGCGCTATGGAATGACTACAACAGCCTATATGTTTATGGTGGGGAGTTCGCCGACAACCCCTTCCAAGAGCCGGCAGAAGTCTCCACCTGGCAGTACAGCATCAGCACCGGCTCCTGGACCGAGCACTCGGATCCACAGACCTCCTCGGGCAACAACTCGGCGTCCGAGGGCGTGCCCGTCCAGAGGGCGGCCGAAGGGGCCGCAGTCAGTGTTCCGGAGCTTGGGCTCAGCTGGTATTTCGGAGGCCACCTGGACCTCTCCACCACGCCTGGGTGGAGCATCCACACAGAGCGTGTCTATCTGAAGAGTCTGCTCGAGTTCACCCACCCTGGATACTCCAACGACGGTGTGTTCTCGCTGAGGGGCAGCGGCGCCCCAGCCTCGGGGACCTACAGGAACATCACCGAAGGTGGCCTGCAGCTCAGCGATACCTTCACAGAGCGGGCTGACGGTGTCTTGGTATTCGTCCCCGGCTGGGGTGCTTCCGGGGTTCTGATCGGCCTCGGGGGCGGAACGGCTGAAGACTTCGTGGACGACATGTCCATGCTAGATGTCTATGATATCGCAAACTCCATCTGGTATCATCAACAAACCACAGGAACCCCTCCTGGAGTGCGTGTCAACCCGTGCGCGGTCGTCGCGACCGCACCGGATGCGAGCAGCTTTCAAATATATTTGTTCGGAGGGCAGAATCTGCAACCCGCAGTAGGTCCACATCCGTGCTGCTGAGCGGATCCATCTGCCATCTTCATGCTAACAGCCGATCTCCACCCATCAGGGCAACCAGATCCAGTACGACGACATGTACATATTGACCATCCCCTCCTTCGTTTGGATAGGGCCTGTCTCCCAAGGCGGCCCTGGCTCCAGTATTCCCTACGCACGAGCTGGGCATACCTGTGCCCTACGTGATGGGCAGATGATCGTGGCGGGTGGGTTCAACACGACCGTGTCCAGCTGTGACAGCCCCGGCATATACGTCTTCAACGCCTCATCCCTGGAGTGGGGCACTTCGTTCAAAGCGCTCGCGCCGTCCTCCGACGCTGAGTCGGCGGACAACAGCGTGTTGGCCGCTAGCTACGGCTATGTGGTACCCGAAGAGGTCATCAGCGTGGTTGGGGGTGGGCCATCAGGAAGTGCAACGGTCACGCAGCCCGCAGCCAGTGCGACCGGTGGCCCTTTCGCCACAGGTAAACCACCAGTCTTCACAATTACCGCCTCCGGGTCCACAGCGACCATCACGTCGCCGCCAGGCTCGTCCGCCCCTGGTGACTCCCGCCCGGCGAATCAGGGCGGCCTCATCGCCGCCATAGTCGTAGCGTGCCTCGCGGGTCTGGCCGCTGGATACCTCGGATACTGTGCGTGGCTTTACCGCAGGCAGGTGCGCGCGTATAAGACGCACCTCGCTGTGCAGAACCGGTTTCCGGCACGGTCTGCGTCGCATGGCTCGTTCTTCTTTGGCGCGTTCGGGCGCAGGAAGAGCAACGCTCGCGACAACAAGGAGGAGAAGGCATGGCTCGCTGGCCACAGGCGCGATGCCAGCAATGCGAGCAGCAGTGGAGGCGAAGAGTCGTTTGCGTGGGTGGGTCGGGAAAACCTGCTTAACCCGAGCTCTAACTCGCACCAAAATTCAAACAAGTTTACACCAACGAGCAGTGGTGCGAGGCCGAGCTATGGAGACGAGTCAAAAGGAGGGCCGTCGCCAGGGTCCGGGACATCTCCAGGGGAGGTCAGCGGCAGTAGCAGGCAGAGAAGAGACAGCACCAGTGGTGCGAGTACCAGTTCACTCGAGGGCCTGGAGCCGAGTTTCTTCAGTGTCGTCATGGGCCCTAGGAGAGCGTTGCGGGTGGTTAATGGGCTCGAAGATGATGCACACTAGATTACGCGGTGGGGTTTGGATTCTCCTCTGCTGTCGAATCAGTGTTGAATGCCATCCAGGTGACCCGTAGGCCTTAGCCCTCACATTTTGAGCCAGCACACTTTTCCGCCTTGTTCGCATTCTTCCAATACCTTGAGCGCTTGTATGTATCAAAACAATGCTAGACACACTAATGCAGCCGGATGGCCCGTCTCCTTCCGTTGTGTGGGTATGCCACTTCCAATCAGCACACCTAGGCAGAGCACCTATTTAGGAGTTCACCTGGCGCGACAAAACTTTCACAGGTGATGCTGATACCATCCGTGACTGCCAAAACATCAAGTTCAGAGAGGCCGACTCTCGTAACAAAGTCTTGGCACCACCAAGCCCGGCGTCTGAGCCCTTCCTTGCAGCAACCGAAGCAGCGTTGCCGATATTGCCGTACACTGACGAAGTGCTAATCAACTGCCAGACAAGGCGCTCAGGGCATGTGACAGGGCGGCTTAGCTTTCTGACTGGGTGGGGGTCATGCTTTCAGCCTGCGGGCAAAGGGTGCTCCGGACGCCTTTTATCAGTTCCTAGACTTGGCTTAAAGGCTGCTACCAGTGTGAGGCCAAACCTATCTGTGAGCAGGTTGCCGATCGAGTCCGCCTCTTTCTCACGGCCGATGCGGGATAGATGGTCGACAGTATCTATACCCATCAGAGCCACCCGTTTGACGATGGCGTTATACCTCCTCGTGAGGCTGCAAGTCTGGAAAGCTTGCATGTCTTCCTGTTTTTCTTGATCTAAGAGAGACTGCAGAGAGCACGACTGCAGGTATTCCATTCTGTCCCACCGCTGTCAGTCGGAACGATCGTGCTCATGAATCATGTCATAAACATGGTAGATGTGGTTTTCAGTGCAAGGTGTGGAAAGAGACAGCAAGCCTGTGAGCACGCTCGACATCTTGGATGCTCTACGAGACAAAAAAAAATTGAGGGTTGAGAATTGAACGTTACTTACGAGAGGTTCGCATCTGGATGCGTAGGATGGTGCAAATCAAGATGGGCTCGGTCGACCAGGAAAGTCGTCTTGGAGCGTTCCAGCTGTCTCCCCAAGGCAGCAAATGCATCAAACAACGTTTCAGACGGCCGAGAACGCTGCCATGCGGAGACTGTGGACCACCAGGATAACGCTCTCCATGCCGAGATTGCGTCAGAGTCAAAGGTTGGGTTGTCGAACATCTGACGCGCGCGAACCATACAGGCATACCCCCCGTCTAGACTCTTGCCAAAGAGTGCTTTGGCCCTTACCAAACTGTCGAGTATACATGCGGCAGGTGAAGGCGACTTGAGGGGTGTGTCGGGGCCTTCACCATTCATCAGCCTCTCCAGCCAGACCCAGGCAATCTCCTCCAGACCCTCCTCGACCATGAACTGCGTCAGGTAGGGGATCAAAGGAGTGCAGCTGACAAAGGATAGATCACGCTCATGACCGTGGGACCGAAGCCACTGGATCACACGCAAGGCTGTGCCGGAGCCAGCCACGGTCTCGTTGACGGATATGGTGGAGGACTGTGTGATGGAGTGCCGCTTTGCCTTGAGCACGCCTGCAGCGCGCTGTGGATTCATGAGGCCCTTTGCCACAGCCTCATCAAAGACGTCCATTGGGTCTCGCTCGGGGGCAGCTGGGCGGGTGTTGTGGGCGGCACGATCATAGCTGAACAAGGGATTTGAGAGGATGGCACGGACGTGACGGTCAATCGGTCGGTGATGATGCTCATGATGGGCGTTTGGCTTGACGGAGGCTGGTGCCGATGCATTTTTGGCAGCCTTCAGGGAGGTGACGGATGCGTTGTCGTTCCAGTAGCCATGCTCCCTGTCGAGATTATTCCGGAAGGATGTCGTCAGGGTCTTGAGCAGGAGCTGGGACTCGCGTCGGGTTAAGGGTAGAGGCTGATGGATCTGTGGGAAGAAGTCCTTGAGGGAGCTCAGGGTCTTCGTGCCAAACATTTTCCGTAGTACCTGAGCAGTCTCAGTCTTGATTGATGGTTGGCACGCGGGGGTTGGTCGCGTTCGAATGTCTGGTGCTCAGCGGGCGCGAGTGGCATCGGTATTGGAGCCCATTCGAGGGCGCATGCGGCGATATATGATCTCTAGAGTTGAGGCGACCACAGATCCAATGGCCCAGTTCGAGGAGTCCCGGTGCAACTAGGGGCAGAGATTAGCGCAGCTGGCAAGCGTTGGGCTGTCGGGTCTGGCGACGGGGTTGGCAGCGGAGAGTATGAGGGGATCATCAATGAATCGGCGAGCGTGAACATCCGATGTTGTCGGGGCCAAAGCATGCCCCCCACCCTACCTCGGTACCTAGGTACTCCGTCCTCCGTATGGCTGGCCTAGCAGCCGGCACGTGATGGGGGGCCAGGAGCAGGAGCCAGGCGTCAGAGCTACGGAAATTCAAACTGCCCAGGTGGTTAGTGAGTGCACAGTAGATGGGACCGGTGCCTGACGTAACTGTAGCCGCTACTTGCAACACATGTGTGCACACAGAATGAGACCAGCCCGAGACCATCGTGACCATCGTGACTCTCCAAGCAATCTCGCCACACCGGTTACGGCCATTGGGAGCTCTTACAGAGAGAAGCAGACATGCTCAAAATCGAATGAGGAGTGTGCCTAATACACTCCGCAGGGGCAGTGAAAGACGTGATCGCATCGGCGATGTGCATGTTCACGACTCCTGGTAGCCAACCACCTGCGCACTCGACCAGGCCCACGGTTTGATGTCGTCCTTTTCCTCAAGTGCTTGCCATGCTTCAGCTTCTGCAGGGCCCCAGCCCCAGCCCCAGCCCCAGCTCGTAGTCCCGTCACTTCCCTGGGGGTTTTAGCAGCAGGAGCTCAGCACAGCTCCGTCTCGGCCCCGGAGTACCATCTGGGCCACTGCCGTCAGTCAGGTACATCATGTGGGCTGGTCATGCCATTCAAACGGGGGGCAACGCAGAGCCACCTGTTCTTCATACTCAGATGTTAAGGGGGTGCTAGTGAGCAGCCTCCCTGCATCAACAAGAGTGCAATCGTGCGATCCTGTCAGCTACTTACCTACCTAGGTACCTACATGGTACCTGGGTAGGTAGGTAGGTACCTGGGTAGGGTGCCTGGGTAAGGTACCTGGGTAGCGTCTGCACACGAGGCAGGGCAGGCGGGCAGGCAGGAAGGTACCCATGTACCGCACGGCCGTTCCAGGGTGCTGTGGTACAGATCAAGGCTTGCCCACTGGCGCTGACCTTGACCTTGGGCACGCATTGCACCACCACCGCCTTGAAGGGGACTTGGACTGACTGACCTTGCCTCTACCTCTCCCTTTGCAAATGGCAATTCCAACCCCACGGCGCAGCTAACAAGGCTTTGGAACCACCATACACGCATCGCACTTCCAGAAACAGCCTCTCCGCCCACTCCTCAGTAGCACAGGGAGTACGGGCGTTCTTGTTTTTTTTCTCCTTGGTGTGGACCAACCCGATCTTTGCCCTCCTCTTAGCATTCAATCCATCCCTCTCACCTGCGCACCCACCCGTTCACACCATCCCTTCCAGCACCCATTGACGACGGCGCTGTCTCCTGACCCTCCCCCATCCTGCCAATCCAATTCTTCATCACCTGTCCCAAGCTCAGCTCCTTGTCAGCCTGCCGCCGAACCACTTCTACTCTCCACTGCTGACCTTGCCTTGCGCAGCCTGCCAGCCTACCGCCACCGCATCCTCCACACACATCCACACACAAAACATCCTCAGAAATGTCTGACGTACAAGCAAGGCCAGCCGCCTCGCGCGGCAGGGGCTCTGGTCGAGGGGGAAGAGGTGGCTTCACCAGCAGGGGAGGGCGGAACGCCTCTCGTTCTGCTGCTACCAACGGCGACCCAAAGCACGACTCTGAATCCAACGCCCTACCAACCCTCGAGGATCAAGGCGAGATTGGCGATCTGAATAAGGCCTTCGGTTCCAAGGTCTCGCTCATCAAGGAGGTCTTCCCCGATTGGTCAGAGGTCGACATCCTTTACGCTCTCAAGGAAACTGACGGCGACGAGACCTCGACCATCGAGCGCATCGCCGATGGTGAGTGATCCCACCTCATTAGCTGCCCCGCCTCCTCAACTTCATCCCTCCTTCCTCGCCGTCTCTGCCGTGCTAGCCTTCGCTACCCTCCACCATCGTCAACGTCGCTGTCGCTGGCCCTGCCCCTGTCGATTTCATTGTCTCTGCCTCGACTAACCACCCATCTCTCCGCATCAGGTACCATCTCACAGTGGGGCGAGGTATCGAAGCCCAAGGACAAGAAGTCCAAGTCCAAGGCCAAGGACAATACCTTCACTACCACCACTGGCGCCGATTCCCCAGCCGTCACGAATGCTCGAACCACCAGAGGTGGCCGGACCGACGGAGCACGTGGCCGTGGGCGTGCTACTGAGCGTGGCGCCCGCAGTGCTGCCCGTGGCAGATCCTCGACAGCGACGACCAACGGGCGCCTCAAGGAGAGCCAACCTCTCTCCGTCCCCACAGAGGACTCCAACGCCTGGGACGCCACCAAGAACGACAATGATGGCGGCTGGGCTGCTGGAGCTGCTGCTGTTGCCGCTGAGAGCGCTCGGGATGCCAACGCCGCCTCTGATGCAACTACTGCCCCGCCACCTCCTGCTGCTAAACCCGCCGCCGGCGCCGAGGCTGCTCAGTCGACTGTCATCCCTCAAGGGACCGCAAAGACTTGGGCCAGCATGCTCCGACAATCGACCGCCGCCCCCAAGCCCGCCCCTCAGCCCACTAAGGAGGCTCCTGCGCCCGTTCCAGAAGACGAGCCCGAGCCCGAGCCTGCTGTCGAACCTCTCACCGCCCCTAATGAACCCCGCGCGTCGGCTCCTGAGCCCGAGCCCGAACAGATCGCTGAGCTTTCTGCTGAGCCTGCGCAAGAGCAAGCTTCCGCAGAGAAACCTATGGTAGTCGTGCCAGAAGTTGCTTTGACGCCCTCCCAGGACCAGTTGACTGAGACGAACCTTGAGCAGGTTGTCGACGAATCCCACCCACCTGTGACAGAGACAGCTGCCAGTGAGGCCGCCGACTCGTGGGACCCGCGAGCCTCCACCATCAGCGCAAACGCAACACCCATTTCCGCCTCTCACGCCCAACATCAGGCCCCAAAGGCACCTTCGAGCGGATTTGCCGCGACCGCCAGCCGAGCCACAGAGCGCGCCCCCATCCCCCGCACTCCCAGCCAGACCCAGCGGCGGTTCCTGAACCAAGAGGAGGCTGTGCGTATGCCCCAGGCAGCCAACCAGCAGCTGGAGCGCGCTACTGTCCAGTTTGGCGCCTTTAACCTTAACGGAAGCGAGGACGACATTGATGGTGACCGTGAGGAGCCGGAGACGCGTGCGCAGCCCCCCGCCGACTCTCCAGTCACCCAGCCTCGGGCCTCACTGCCGCCCGCCCCTCCTGGCCCCGTCCCGGAAGCATTCTCTGCCCAGAAGCCCCCAGTGGCCCTCCCACCAAGCACTGGTCCCTCCGGTATTGCACCTCCCTCCCCCCAAGAGGGCCCGAAGGCCCCTGTTAAATGTCCCCGAGCCCATCAGACTAATTCCTATCTAGGCGCCCCAGTCCCCCCAACTGCGCCTGCAGCCCACCAAGCTCCTTCTGCACAAGGTAGTGAACCAGACTCCTTTGCTTCAAACTCGTGCGTCCCACCGTTTGGGGGCATAATGCTGACACCTCCCTACGCCCCAGCGCCTGTGGCACAGCCCCCGATCCAGCCAGCCGCACAGCAACAGTACGGTCGATTCGGTCAGCCAACTGCCCAGGAACAACAGTCCTCATTCCCTCCTCAGAAGCCTTTCGACTCTTACAGCCCGGCCAATCCATCTACGGGCCAGTCCCAATTCGAGGGCTTTCCAAGCCAGCAACAGTCGCAGCCTCAGAACCAGCAACCTGGTGCCGCTTACAGCTCATCTGCCGACCAGTACACCTCCTTTTACACCGCTGACCAGCAGAACCGCAACCCTTACTACTATGGGCAAAACTATGGCCAGCAGCAGCAGACGAGCCAGGCCCCACAGGACGGTGGTCTCGCTGCACGGGCTGGTTTCGGCGGATACGGCGCCTCGCAGGGTGATCTGGCCAGCCAGTATCCTCAGAGCGCCAACCAGTCCCGATTTGGCACCGCTGTTACTCAGGATCCAAACAGCGGCAACACCACGCCCAACCCAACTGCTCAAGGCCAGCAGCCAACGGCGCCTAGCCACCCGCAGGGCCTTGCCAGTCAGCAGCAGCAGCAACAGCAGCAGCAACAGCAGCAACAGCAGCCTGGAAACCAGTTCTACAGCCAGCCATACTATGGACAGTTCTACTCCAACTACATGAACCAATACGGTGGCTACGGCCAAGGCGGCTTCCCATACGGCAAGGCTGGCGGCCTCTACGGCCAGCCACACCACTACGGGATGTCTCAGCAACAGACTCCATTCGACCATGGATCATCGCCTGCCACTGGATACCCGCAGTCTTCTCTGCACCGCAACGACAGCGGCGGCGTCGGATCCGGCCTTGGCGACTACGGCCGAGCAGGGTCTGCACAGTCGGGTGCTCAACCCGGGCTTGGAAGTGCCGGTTTTGGGGGCATCCACGATACCTTTGCCCGTGGTGGCTCCTATGGCGCCGCCCAAGCGGGCCAGTCGTTCAATACACCTGCCGCACAGCCGGCCGCTTCGAGTGCTGAGAAGTTAGAGCCGTACGGCGACGCCAAGGCAGCAAGTGGACCCAGCCCTTCACTGGTCGGAGCCAGGCCAGGCTCTGCCACCAATACCGGCCCATCGCAGGGCGGCCTGCCGCCTCCACAGTCTGCCCAACCAGGGATGGGGTACGGCGGGTATCCTAGCCACCTGCAGGGCCACGGTGGCTTACACGGCGCCCAGTCTGCAGCGACAGGCTACGGTATGGGGGCAGGATCTGGCCAGGCCCACCAGAACAGCCCGTACTCTGCCTACGGCGGTTTCGGTGGCAACAGCTACTACGGCTCCGGAGGACCTCGCCACGGCGGGTGGGGCTCAAACTATGGTGGAGGCAACAACTTCTAGAAAAAGCCACCTGGTCGTGCTCCTTCGTCCCAGACTCGTCCCGAAAAGACAGCAGCATGAAGCTGCCAGTGGACTAGCCTGGCTGCCCAACCGCCCTCTCACTTTGACCGGACAAGGAGTTGGGTTATGAAGTTTCCAGGAGTTTGTCTTAATGAGGGATGGCAGGATTGTCCCATCAATCACGACTCCGACGTGCGGGGGCTTGTTGAATTGGAATGAATCGGTTGAAGGCCTGGCTGGGTATGAGTCATTCCTGCTTTGCGAGAGTCACCTTTTGTGACTTGTTTCATCACTCTATGTACGATTTTACTCAGGGTCACCCGGAATGGAAAGGCGAAGAACGCAAAATTGCGGACAGATTTTTACGTTCAAGATTGTTTTTGTGCTTATTACTACTGCGCTGACGATGTGTTAGTTTGGTTCTCAGTTTCGTAGGAAAAGCTGCACCTGTGTTCTTGTTTTCACCCACAAAGTATTACCACAAGTCCTATGACCTTACTCTCATTACTACTAACAATAAGTCAAGCCTAAGCACATGCTACTTCTACATTAAAAATATAATATATTAAATTTAAAAGTAGTTTTACTAGTTTATTTTTATTAATTAAATATAAGCATAAAAATATTCAGTCTTGTAGAGAAAAATATAATAGCTAAAAACATATTGCAAGTTCTCTCTCGCCGGGAATTGAACCCGGGTCTCAAGCGTTGCTGCTTCCAAGGATGGCGATGACAAGCTTGCATACTAACCACTATACTACGAAAGAAGTTTCTTTGTTTCCCGGTGTGGAGCCGAGGTAGCTGGTGGGCTGCTGGTTGTGCTTCCCGAAAATTTGTTGTACTATATACCACAGAGCTTTTAGTGCGTCCTGAGCGTTTTGGTATTTTGTCATCCACTTGGAACTAGTAGTAAATTATCACGTGCTGAACATTGTTATGAGGGAAGTTGTCCTTGGTTCTCAGCGCTGGGGCCGTGGGCTGTCAATGCTATCGGGGCTCGAAAAGCTTATTCTCAGTCACCGTGTCAGCGTGTCTGTACCTCGGATTCCAGCCTGGTTTTCTCTACTTGGTTGCTTTCCTAGCTAAACGATGTGCGACCATCAATGCTAAGGAGCGCATTAGGCCCCTAATACAACCAACCATTGCCAGGACCCCCAGAGCCCTGTTCCAGTCGGTGGTTGACATCTGTGATTCTCTCCGCCTCGTCCGCGACACAACATTCTTACAATCAATGCTCTTGATTTCATTATGACTGAGTCAGCTTCTGAAATGCACTGCACGACAAGTCTTGCCTCTGCCAAGGAGTTGTTTTTGCTAGGGTACTTAAGTAAGCATCAAAGCCGAAAGGCGAGGTTAACCTTCCTGCTAGCCGGCACCTAGGTAGACGAAAAAGCATAACGCCACTCAAAATCCAAGCAGAGAAAGAAGAAGGGAAAAGATATGTTAGCTTGGTTACAGCCCCTTCTGCATCGTTCATTTTCCGGGCCAAGCTGGCGACGATCGCTGATGAGGCTGATTGCGTCTGCCACACGCCTGCAGTGCATGTGCCCGGGTAGACTTGGCACGACCAACCAAAGAGAAGCGAAATTACTGGAAATATCCCACAACAACATCAAGAAGTCAATTATCAAGTCTTGTGTGGCCTCGTTGGAACTGCCTACGTGGCGTGAGCTGCCAAGTCGACTCTTCCTAGTCCGTAGCTCCTTGGCAGATTGGCCTCCGAGACGCGGCACTTATTCAGGTGCTTAAGAGCCGCACATGCAAATGCCTCTACCAGTGTCTCCCTCTCAGCTGACGCCTTGACTCCGCCTTCTTGTCGTGACAACGTCCTTGACCGTTTGGCCTGGCGTGAGGTTACCACATCACACCATCTCGGGTGGTGAGAGCCCTCACAGTCTAGGCTCAGCTATTCCGATCTACTTCTTCCCCCAAGAGGCCGCGACAAGCTGTGGGCAATGGAGCCAAAGGGGCGGTCGTGGCAGAAGTCGTTTGGGACACCACGATGGATGCCAAAGGCCAACTTCATTACTCTTCACTGTACGTATCCTGCCCTCATACACATCGGTTTTGGTTCTAAGGATGGCACACTGGCGTCGACAGACTTATACATCATTGTGGTCGGTCTCTCTGGCCTTCTCATCTTGCTCCCATACGGCAACATATCGGCCATTGATGCGTACTTTTTCGGAGTGAGTGCCTCAACAGAATCAGGCCTGAACACGTACGTACATACAGCTCGTCTAGGCGGGAGTCCGATGATTGCTGACATTGGGACAATTGGCTCTCTGAAAGCATTGATTTGAAAGAATTGGCGACATACCAACAAGTCTACACCTATCTCATTGCTATGATAACAAATCTTACTTTCATCAACATTGCGGTAGTAGTCGTGAGACTGCACTGGTTCAGGAAAAAGCTCAAGACCCTGGGTATGTGCCGGCCTGCATCCCAGATCTCACAGTCATCCCGAACGACTCAATTTGACCAGCAGCATAGCACCGATTCTACTTAAATCGGAAGGCCACGAGGCAGACGGAGGAAACCCAAGCCATGCTGACTCTGAGTCCGACCTGGATCTTCGCCCGGCGGTCACTGAGCCCGCCAGAAAACCCCCACCTTCACTCGCAGGAGGGGATAACAAGTCATTGCATTTGGTCAAGACCGACAGCCCGAGGCGTATCACATTTGCCCTCGACGTCCACCGCACTCCTGAATCAAAGCCGCTTTACATTCCAGGGCCAAGAGATCGCGATAATGGTACGCCTACCAACTACGACACCCAACTTGAAGTTCTCGACCGAGAGCTTAAGCTTACAACCATTGCATAGGCCATCCTATTGTCGAACGAGACATCCTTGACGAGGCGGATGGTGAGTGAGATCTTCCTACGGTGTTACGCCACCCACTTTGACTACTCTAGGTCTTCTCTGACTTCAGAATTGCTTGCAGATGCCGAAGACGCCGTCGGGATGGCCCCAAGAACCAACGAGCCCAAAAGCGGCGTCGTCAGGCGACGTACCTGGGGGGCAGACGGCCCAGGGAGCTCCCCAGCCCTTTCCAAGGCAATATCCATCGAAAGGGTTGCAACGACAGTCGGAACAGTGTTCGTACTGGGCAAGACGCGTGCCGGGGTTGCCCGCCAACCTCCCGCACCGCCTCGGCCCCCCGCCACCGGGCTGCCAATGCTGCTTTCGAAGCAGGTCACGATCGGGCGCAACTCGCAATTTCTGAATTTGACATCGTCAGATAGGGAGAGGCTTGGAGGTATCGAATACCGAGCTCTAAAAGTGCTGTTGAAGATTGTGGTCTGTAAGTCAAACTCTGCGTGGCCTGCATGTGCCGTGGTGGTGCCATTCTCCTGCATCCGCACGCTGACCTCGGATGAGCATACGCCGTTTTCCTCAACATACTCGGGGTAGTCAGCTTGGTTCCCTGGATCCATCGCGCGCCTCAGAAATACCGGGACTGGCTCGACGTGAATGCTATCGACTACTCCTGGTGGTAAGGACGCAAGATTGCCGTTACAATTACTTATCACCCTGTGCCGTAGCCGAATGCTGACTTTCCAAGGGGCATTTACTCTGCCCAAACAATGGCGAATAACTTAGGTTTCACGCTTACGCCGGATTCAATGGTGACTTTCCGTGACGCTACCTGGCCCATGCTTATCATGACGTTCCTTGCATTTGCAGGCAATACTTGCTATCCGATTTTCCTTCGCCTCGTCGTCTGGACCATGTTCAAGCTCGTTCCCTCTCGGTCGTCCTTGAAAGAGACACTCCGATTCTTGCTCGACCACCCACGAAGATGTTACACCTTGCTCTTTCCGAGTCGCGCGACGTGGATCCTGTTCGGCATTGTCGTCTTCCTTAACCTCGCGGACGTTGTGCTTATCATCGCTTTAGATCTAAACAACCCTGCGGTGAATGATCTTTCTCTTGGGCCCAGGATCTTATCATCTCTCTTCCAGGCAGCGTCGGCCCGCCACACCGGGACTGCAACTTATGTGCTTTCGCAGGTGAATCCAGCTGTGCAGTTCAGCCTATTGGTAATGATGTACATTTCAGTGTTGCCAATAGCAATCAGTATACGCGCGTCGAATACTTATGAAGAGAAGAGCCTGGGAATTTATCTGCCCGACGAGGAGGAGCCTGACGAGGGCCAAGGGACGACGTCGTACATCCTTGCACATGTCCGGAACCAGCTGAGTTTTGACTTGTGGTATATATTCCTGGGAGTGTTTTGTATTTGTATTGCTGAGGCAGATAAGATCATGGAGCCGGATCAGACGGTAATGCCCAAAAGATCCTAGTGTCAACCAGCCTGGGCTGTTATTGCTGACCACTCGTGACAAATACAGGCTTTCCAGGTCTTTCCCATCCTGTTCGAAGTCATGTCCGCCTAGTAAGTTGCACATGCGCACCCGAGAGGAAAATGGCAATTAGGTGCTGAGAAATAGCCAGCGGGTGTGTCGGTCTGTCCCTTGGCCATCCTTCGGTAATGACCTCGCTCTGTGGTAAGCAGCTTCTGGGTACAATTTTTGAACCTCTGGGAACAAGCATACCACATTATCAGCCTACAAATAAAGACTTGAGGGGCCGCAGGTCTTCAAGGCACGCTATAGCCACCTTGTGGCCTAGTCTTTATGGTGTTGGTATAAGCTAATCCTTTACTTCCTGGATTGCTGACTCGAAATGCTGGTAGGACAATTCACTACTTTTAGCAAAGTCATCATTTGCTTGATGATGTTACGAGGCCGACACCGAGGATTGCCGTATTCTCTCGACCGAGCCATCATGCTCCCTAGCGAGCAGTTGAATGAGCGCGGTGGGCTCTCCAGGACAACATCTCAGCAAAGTGCAGGCAAACCTAGCTCTCTCGGGTTTCGACGCAGGAGTAGCGGGACCGCAAGGATGATACCCATGAAAACACACCATACACAGTGAACTTTTGTGTGGCTGGGCGTGGGATACTAGTTGGGGAGGAGCGCCCAGTTTATTACACACAGTGTGGTTTCGCTTCTATTCCGAGGACATACATGGCGCCTTCATATGGTGGTGGTACGCACTCAAGACCCAGCGCTTGAAAAGAACATGGTGTTGATAACGATAGTCATAATACGATAGGTAATTACACACAGTATCAACATCTATCCCCAGTCCTCCAAGAAGGGATGTCAAGCATGTTCCACAGATATATACAAAGAAACGGAAACGACTTTTGATTTGCTCCTCGGTGGCCGTTCGACTGAGAAAAGCGCATGCACCCATCCCTCCAGTGCCAGGTCCCATCTCGCAGTTGTAAGCTGGAGTGTAGCCCCAGACAACACAAGTCACCGATGATGCTATCAGAGCGCACTCAGAGAGACTAAACAGCCGAGATAGCTCTTTTGCAGTAACCGACGAATAGGGGATCCTTGAAGGGGACCATTGCCTTGCCGAAGTGCGTAGTGTGGTAGTCTGCAGAGCATCGCTGGCTGCATCAGTCGCGCTTTCCCTAGCGATCAGCGGCTGGGTATCTTCGATTCTCGGTATCCGCACGAGGCCTAGATGACATGCTCGATCGACACTGAGAGATGAGCAGTTGCGAGGCAGTGGCACGCACGCACTCAGCAGGATGGGATGATGGCGAGAAGGCTGTGAGGCTGATAGATACAGACAGGAATACAGGTTTGATGATGGCAACACGGACATCTTGTATTTTTTTTCTCTCTCCCTTGGTGTACACATGAACGCCTCGTTATCACAGTATAACTCTCATCATCTTGCAATCCGTATTCTCGCCCATGATGCCTTGTCCGATGCTCAGATGGACTTTTACTGCGCATGCACTACATACCTCAGCATGCGCGGAGAATTCGCTGTCTGATGTAACTCCTAAAATGGAGCTGTATTAGTTTACCGGGCTTGGCACTGTATTTTTTAAACGCTGGGTCTAGAGTGCTTACCACCGTATGAAGGCGCTATGTATGTCCTTAGATGTATATAGAATAGAAGTAAAACTATATGAAAAAAAGTAAATAACTTTTTATATAAAGAAATTTAAAAATATATATTAAATAATTATTAACTTTATATTTAAAGTATAAGTTAATAATTAATTTAAAAGTTAATAAAATAATAAATAAATAAATAAATAGTTAAATAAAAAAATATTATATAATTAAAGCTTTAAAAATAAATAAAATATATATAGTGTTATTATAGCTTATAATAGAGTGGTGTAAATAGTAAAGGAGTTAATATTCACTCACTTAATAATTATATTTATTTATTTAATTCCTATTAATTATTTACTTAGTATTAATTTTTTTAAATAACTCCCTTATATTTATAAGTATCTTTTAAGTTAGTATTAAAAGACCTTATAATATAATTTCCTTCTTTAATTTTAATACTTTAAATATAAGCTTTTTTTAATACTCTTTTTAATACTTTTTTAATATACTTTTTAATATACTTTTTAATACCCCTTTTAATATACTTTTTAATATACCTTTTAATATACCTTCTAATTTATATATATTTAAGTATTAACTAAGTATTTAAATACTAATTAAATATTAAAAAGTTAGAAGTTTAAAGAGTTAAAAGGTTAAAAGGAGGGTTAAAAGGTTAGAAAGTATATAATTTTTACTTTTACTTTTTTAACTTTTAACTCTTTAATATTTAGTTAATATTTAAATATTTAGTTAGTATTTAAATATATATAGGCTAGAAAGTGTGCTAAAAGGTGTGCTAGAAGGTGTGCTAGAAGGTATATTAGAAGGTATGCTAGAAGGTGTGTTAGAAGGGGTGCTAGAAGGGGTGTAGAAGGGGCTTATATTAAAAGTATTAAAAATTTAGAGAATCTTAGTTAGGTATATAGTTTTATATAGGCTCTATATATAAATTCTTGTACTAGATAAGTGGTTGAAAAAAACTGGGTGAGTGGATATAATTGCTGGGTGAGTGGACGTTAGCTTATAGTAAAGTACTTACTTAGGTAGGTACCTACTTATGTATCTAGGTATTCTTACCTCTTGTACCGGTATCTGACTTGTATTTAGCTGAAAACCTCCAGGCTTAAAGACAAGTCACCGTATGAAGGTCTCTTGCCTAGATGACCGACCTTATAATAAGGGAGAATGTGTGCTAGAATCGCCAAGCGATCGGTTGGTGATGCAGTGGCCGGGTGGAGACGGAGAAGGCCTCGGGGGCGGCGTCAGTAACAAGGGAGATGAGGTCCTAATAATCGGCGCACCGTGGCCGGCGGGCTCCTCCTAGGCGCTGGGGCCAGGCGGGCTACCTGCATAGGGAGGTACTCAGTACCTAGGAATCCAGGCATTTAGGTGCGGGGTAGCCAGGTATCTGGGTACCCAGGTGTCCAGGTACTTGTCACAGCGGCCAGGCAGGCCAATCAGGGGCGGTTTTCTGAGCCTCGCATCTGCCTCGGACCCCTGGACGAGCCTCAGACCTGGGCAGTTGGAAACCTAGCGAGCCAGTCGTTGGCCTGGCCGGGCTGCACCTGCAAGGTCTGGTCAGGCTGGTCTCAACTCTCTGACCGCGTCGACGCCCCGAGTGTTCCAGGTCCCGGCGATCCGACGACTTGTAACAATGCCACGCCGTGCTGGCCTGCCTCTCACCCCCTTCCCCCCCCTTCTTTGCGAGTCTGCGACACACAGACGCTGCCGTGAACTGTCAATCGGATGACCCCACTCATCATGGGGGCACACCGCAGGCATGTTGCATAACCCGCCTGCGCCTGCGCCTGCGCCTGTGTAGTCAGTCAGTCTCGTCTGCGTCTGCGTCTGCGTCTGCCCCGTCTATCGGATTGTCGCACGCACGTGTTTTAACATCTCGTGCTTCTTTTCTCTCCCCGATTCATCTAATCTTCTTGACCGTCCTTCTCGCTGTCCCAGCCCATTCTAGCTCGACCTTGTTTCCGAGGCCTTGGCCACCTAAAACCTGTCCTTCCCGTCATCGCCCGCATTGTTTGCTATTCGTTTCTTGAGCCCGTGATCCGTGATCTACGACTTTCTCCCGCACAGAATCTTGTTACCACCCAAGGCCTGGGAGTCTTTCGGCCAACAAAACGGCAGGCCCACAACACGTTCCCCTCTCCCTTTCTTCACATACTATTGAGTGAGCAGCGCTCAACCGCCGGCCGGATAATCACGCCAATAAACGCCGACACACAAGTCGATCGGCCTAATTCTGTTGTGGACGAGGAGAACATTGCGCAAGAGCTTGGCATTCTCCGGGCGCCGTGAAGCAGGGTCAGCATCAGCATCAGCATCAGGACCAGGACCAGGACTCAGGAATCAGGAATCAGGAATCAGGAACCAGCATGCTCTGGCACGCACGAGTATTCGCTCTGCTCGCCGTCGGCGCACACGCCGGCGGTGTCGCCGACTTGGTGGCAGAAGGGGCTCTCACCGGTCGATCCCCAAAATCAATCGAGCAGAGGATGGGGGAACATGCCAGTGACCACGTTGTCGTCAGCAGGCAGGCATCATCCACCGTGTCGCTGCAACAGAACGGCACGGTCAACATGGCAGAGTGGGAAGCAGAGGTCAACGCCGCCTGCCTGGAAGCCCTCTCCAAGCTGTCCCAGTCGACCAATCCCTCGGGGACATGCACCTGCTACAACCTGCCCGTCCTGAACACCAAGACCGGCGCTTTCGAGGCGGACCTCAGGCTCTACCAGCTCAGCACCCCGAGGGAGGACTTTGCGGGCATCCCGCCCGACCAGGTCCAGGTCAGCTTGTCGTACAATGGGGCCAGTGTCAGCCCCGTGACTGCCTCCACGGCAGCCCAGAAGGTCTCGGGCCCGCAGGCACGGCAGGCCACCTCCAACCTCCAGCTACTGCAGACTTATCTCTTCGTCGGGCAGGTCGACCAGGACAAGATGCAGCTAGAGATGAACATGTAAGCCCGTACCAGACACCGCGGTCGAGATGCTCGACGCCCATGTCATTGTCATTTGGACTGGCTGGCATCACACTTGCTAACAAACCCACAGGGCCGCCCTGGAAGCGCTGGTCATGCCAACCGTCACCCTCTCTGCCGTCAACGCAGCCGGGCAGACCGTCAACACAACCGTCTCGTCCAACGAGGCGACCTTTCTGACTGGTGTCTTTTCTAACATGGTCGTGCTGTCGGACACGGCAAGGGCCCAGGCTGCGGTGGACGACGTCACTCAGGGACTCAACAACGGGACGATAGCCTTCGTGCTGCCGGGCGTCAACCTGCTCATCTTCCCGATCGGCCTGATTATCTGTGGTGCGTGGACGGCGATCGGTGCGGCTGTCATTGGGTTTGGGTTCTTTGAGCGGGTGCAGTATCGCGAGTCGTACAGGAGGAGGTCGGCAATCGCCAACAAGGGCTCTGCGTCGAGAAGGATTTAATTGTTGTTCGTCACGAGCCTCGGTCCCGCCCAGCCTGGCAGCTTCTGTGAGGCTGATACTACGAAGCACCTGACCGAAGATGGACTTGCACTACTGTTCTAATCCCGGCGTGGCGGCCAGTTGAGTCGACCGTGGCACCCGGCATTGCATTTTAATGAGTATAGAAGAGCTTTAGTTTCGACAAAGACATTACAGTTTGTAACGACTGCTGGGCATCCACGTGCGGGCAAACAAAGCGGTGACGCCCAACCGCCTCACCTCTGGGGGATTGTCCAGGGTAGCCTCATCAATGGCCCCCGGGACCGAGCTGACATGTAAGGCTGGCGCAGCGATCGCGATCATTGATGCAGCCCGCCATGCATGTGGTTGGACCGTCAACCAGCGGGTCAGTCTTGTCTGTGCCCTAACAACCCGCGCCTGGGGCACAAGGCATTGATGATAGTGGGTCTGACTGCGTGAGCCCTCCCCTCCACCTCGATTCTGAAACGCACCGTCAGATGCCCGTTCCTTGCAGCGCCTCGCAAAACTCACGTCACTTCATGCGCTCGCGCTCCCGCACCGAAAGTGCCGCCCTCGTGGCTGGCCCTGGCTGGCCTCGCAGAGGGGAAGAGATGGGCAGGTGAAGAGACAACAGACACGCATGACACATGGCCGGGTCAGAACCGACATTCCACTCTCCAGCCATCTTGTCTTGCCTGCGCTGTTCGTCGACCGTTGGCCATGGTACCGATTCTCCGGATCCCAACGCAGGGCGCCCTGGTCCTGTAGACCATGTCCTGTACCGTCACGGGCCACGGCCGTGTTGTGAACAACAGCAGAGGCACGGAGCCAAGGGTCACTGGCCGTCGGCTTGAACCAGGGACACGAGGACCACGCCAGCCTCGCATAACCTCTCCCATGCAATGCAGTTGATGAAGCTTCCCGGCCGTTGCTACAGCCCCTCCACCCCGCCAATCAGGAGTGGTTTCTCTCTTGATCGGCGTCTTAGGAGCTCATCCCTGAGCCCCGTCCCCATGTCGGGCAATGCCTCCGCATGAAGCTTCCTGCCTCCCAAGCTCGCTGCGAACTGGCGCTTGCACCTTCATGCTGATGCCCCGACGTCGCCCGGCGCTTGTTGTGGATCACCATCGCGTCCGACGCCATGGGAGGCCTGCGCGCTTGGCTCTTTCCATGCGGCCAAGGTCATGCATTCCATGCCCAACCCGGCTTGCCATGACGTGAGAAACGCCTCCCACGCTGCCTTATTTCCCTCGCCTCGGGTTTCTTGCTCTGGCGTCTGATGCTGTCATTTTGTTTCCATCTTGGCCCCGTCGCGTACCGGTTGGAAAGCAAGTGCTTTGTCCGTCCCCAAGAGCTTCAACACTGGCCCAAACATATATATATATATACAATATATATGAGCCCCGCCCATTCAGGACGCCTGCCAGCCTGTCCTCCGGTCTGCTTCACTTGCCAACGTGCTCTTGACAAGGTGCTTCAAGCATCACACCGCAACTGACAATGCTCGACGTCGCGGCGCTCGTGCAGCAGATGCGCGACACCCTCTCGGAGATCCATGACACCATAACGTCGCTCGACACCAAGGGCCATGACGAGAAGCTGGACGAGCTCGAATCGCAGCGGGACGAGATCTTTCGCCAGCTGCAGTCAGCATTCGAAAAGGAGTCTGCCGAGCTGGAGCAGCGCCGGCAGGCTGAGCGCCACGAGATCGCCGAGAAGCGGCGGAGGGAGGACGAGGAAATAGCGGCGCGCCGCAGGAGGGAAGACGAGGAAACGGCCTCAAGAGATGACGATCACGATGCCGAGAGGCAGCACAAGCTGGAGAGTGAGAAGGAGAGCGTTGAGCAGGAGACGGACGAGAAGATGGACGATGTCGAGGAAGAAGCAAGGCGCATGCTAGACGAGGGCCACAGCAAACTGAAGGACCTGGAAGAGAGGCGAAGAGTGAGCTCGGTGGCCCTACCACAGGCCGGAAGAATGATGGCTAACCTGTTGGGCTTCAGGAAATCAACCGCATGATCGACGAACAAATGAAGGCACCCCTGCCACCTCCACCATCCCGGAGAGCCAGGCGCAGCGCCAGGGCCTCATCGGGGAGAGTGCCTAATCAGCCGGACTCGGATCGGCAACATGAGCCCGCTGCGCGCCTCGAGGCCGAGGGAAGGAGAGATGACGAGCTCACCCAAGCCGAGCAGAAACCGGCTGAGCCCCGGCCGGAACCAAGTAGCCCGGAGCAGGCATCGCCTGAAACGGACTCACCCTCCCAAGACCAGCCGCAAAGGCAGGCCGCAGGATCTGTAAGCCTGCAAAAGGACCTTGGCAACAAGCCAGCTAGCCACGACGACCACAGTCAGCTTCACACGACCGGCAAAGTGGACACAGAAGTAGCCAAATCCTTGGCAGAAGACAACGCGCCAGCCGCTCATCAGGTGAGCGACGAGGACCAACATGGCTCTGGCCAGACCCCAGGTCAAGCGGCATCGGCCAGCGCCCCGAGTGACGCGGGAGACTCTGCCCAGAAGAGCCCAGACGACGAGGAAGTTGTGGGTGCGAGCTCTGACGTCAAAGAACAAGAGCTCAACTGTGACCACGGGCAACAACCTTCCCGCAGTCTCAATGGAGCCGATTCGACAGACACGCCGTCTCAAAACCCCAACCAGGCTCTGGAAGCGGAGAACAAGAGCATAGACATCAGCCCCGACACTGCTAAACAAGCCACGGAACAATCAGCTGCGGGAGACCCACAGGGAGCTCCTCCGAGCCACGAGAAGCCTGCATCTTCCGATCCATTGGCCCCAAATGAAGTTGACACCAACAAGACTCCGGCTGCCGAGGACAAGTCAGGGCAGAACCCCTCTCAGCCCGCAGCTGATGGCCCAGAAACTTCAGATGTCCCATCGGAGAATGACGGACGAGAAAGTCCCGACCATGACAGCCTTTTTCATGGGGTTGCCAAAGGGGGTGCTGCGGAGGAATATGTCAGGATGGCAGAGAATGAGTCCGTGCCGGAGCCACAGATCGGAGGCAATACGTCTGCTGCGCCAGACCAAGATCCATGCAGTGGAAACGGCCAGCAGCATGAAGAACATCGAGATCCCGGCCGCGGCTTCGAGGGGCCCGAGCCAACCCAAGCAGATATCTCAACGACCGAAGAAGCCACCCCCGAATACACCGGGCTGGCAAAGGACGACCAGCAGCCGTCATCTGCGACCCCTCCCGCTGATTCCGCCGAGCCAAAGGGAGAATCGCCCGTCGAGGGCGAGCAGAGCAGCGACCATTTACAAAGCAGACACAGCGAGAGTGTTGATCAGCAGGAACCAAACCAAGAGCCAACACTGGACCGACAACAGCATCGGCCAAGTGAGCACTCAGGACTCGACCATTCACGAGAACCAGACAGTTCTTTCACTGGGCACGCGCATCCGCCTGCACCCTCCCCGAATAGTCCAGATGCAGATTCTCCATACGGCGAACAAATACAAGAGCCAGGACATGGGGGCCAGCCCCAGAGTGGTAATAAATCGCCATCGTCAGGGTTTCAACAACGGGATCTCGAACCGACCTATCATGAAGACACTGAGCTCGGAACATCCAACTCGGCCGAGACATCGTTGTCAGAGGAGGACCATAGTGGCTCGAAAACAGCAGAAGGTCAACGAGAACCTCACGGTGACGAGCAATGCGGAGGTGCTCCGCGGGCCATGGATGGCGAACGAGAGCACCCCGAACATGATGCGGGGTCTCAACTTGAATCGGATCCTGCCGGTCAACAAGGTCTAAGCAGCTCAAATCTGAGTGTGCCCGCCACACCTAGCCATGACGCCCAGGTTGAAAAGAACCCAGGCGGAAGTGGAGAACAGGAAGGCCATGGTGGTCAGGAATCGCCCCAGGAAAGGACGCAGTCTCAAAACCCCAAGGAGGAACATGCTGGCGGGGACACTGAGGAGCAATTAACACAAGAAAGCTCGCATGATACCCCAAACGTAGTGGAACCCAACGAATTGGACGCTCCGCCCCACGAACTAGCTAGCGAGCACGAAACCGGCGGCAAACGAAGTGATTCAGGCTACGAGACCGGAATGGTCAGCAGTCGAAGTTTGGAAGACCCCTCTGCTACGTTACGTGAAGGCCAACCCGCGCAGGGAGCAGAGCACTCCTTTGCCATCGCATCTGCCACCGCATCTCCGGAAGGGGAGCAAGAAAAGACGAGGGACTCGCGTCCACCAGAGCAGATTCTCGAGGGCTCGGGAAAAGACGCGTCTCCTCCCAGACTGGGAGGAGAACACGACTCAGGCAGCCATCTGGTAGAAGAGACTTTCGATCGCTCAGGTAGTGGGCCTATACCTGGCCCTGTGACACACGGGAAAGACCAAGCCGGGAATCAGGGCGAGGAGCTCGCTGGTGGAGATGTCAGCTCGCATGGCATAAGCCATCAGCAGCCAGTTGACAATGATGCCGTCGGATCCACAGCAGATGAGAGCCGACGAAGCCTGGATATCTACGACTCCCGCAAGAGTCCATCTGAATATGGTGAGGGCTTGTTGCCACACGAGTCGTCACAACAGGCCGATGACGACCATGTGCAATCCGAGTCTCAACCCATTTCTCATGAACCAGATAGCACCAGGTCAGCGGACTCGGAAAGCCAAGGCACGGAAGAGCAGTTGCGGCAGGGGGGCTCTCAGAGCGCAGCCGGTACCGTCGGCCATGAGGCTTCTGGTCACACTGAGGGTAGTATGGAGCCTTCTGACACCACTGCACCTCAAGATCAGGGATCCGCGCCCAGCACTGGCCAAGCTGAGAAATCGTACCCTGATGATGACGTCAAAACCACAGCGGTCCACGGCGCGGATGAGCTTCCACAAGAAACACCAGTGCGGGGCGACGATGCCGTTATTCCTGCGCCTCAGGAGCCGGTCTCTGACCAAAGCGTTTCTTACTCTTCAGATGCTCGCGACTCAAGTCAAGATCAATTCGGATCCTGGAATAGCCGAGCCTTCAGCCGACCGGCCCACGATCACGAGTTCAGCTTCAAAAAAAGAGCAGATTCAGTTCAAGTCGGCAGGTCCCAAGGGCTCGCAGATAGGGGTGCCGACTTGCCTTCTATTAACACAGATGGTCCCAACGAGGACGCCGACGAAGGTCTGTTTGCTGTGCCTCCTACGCCGCGACATGAGGTGGAGCCTGAGAGATCTAGTCGGGCCAGCAGCCGAGATGGCTCAGCTAGAGATGACACTTTGCCCTCTCGGGCGGCGGAGGGACTACAAGATCCGTCTTCTGAGGGCAACGACCGAGCATCTCTCCCAGAAACTGCTGCAAGCGAAAATGACATGGATCATAATGATCCATCACATAGCGGGGGTGACGGGCCTGTGGATGTCATCGAAACGCCCGACGGTCCCGAGGAGAAATCGACTGTGCCTTGTGACGATGCAGGGCGTTTATTAAACCGCGGGGAGGTGGGACATGGGCGAGCCGAAGGATCATTAGCCACCACGGCTGGAGAAGTGGCCCATGAAGCTTCAGCTGGAAACGATGACAGCCAGCAAGGCCAGCACCATGGTGGTGTCTCCCTTCAGGCTTTCGAAAACCAATCGGAATCCAATGATAGGCAAGTAGACGGCTCGCGACAACCTGAAACAACCCCAAGGGAACAACAGCACAGTGATGTGATGAACAAGACAGAGGCCATCGAAGACAGTGGAGAGACCCGGCAGAACCAAGCTCGTGACAACAGTGATGATTCTGACGCACAGCCGAATTCGTCAACGAAGAAGCATGACCTCAAGCAGGGTGGCTCGGGCTTCGGCCACCAGGGAGAGCCCGCCCAGCAGTCTTTGGACGATGCTAGCAGGCGTGACGCAGCCACGGAGGACTTGAATCCTCGGGACACGACCAATGTGCCGGACTCGGAGCAAATTCGACAAGACAGCGGCGAGACTGACAACAGAAGCCTCGATGGCAATGATCAAGTCCAGAATGGCGAAGCTTCCGAATCTCGAACGCCCGAGTACCAGCCTCTAGATGTCTCACCAGAGGCCGTAGAGTCCGCCAGTGACCAAGAAGTCGACAAGAAGATTGCTGGTCCGCCACGTTTGGATCAAGGCGGTACATGGGAGCCCCAGTCTGGCTCTGGATCGAAAGCGGGACAAGTCGAACAGGACCACGCTAATAACGGCAACGCAGCCCGCCAGCCATTATCACCTGGCCACCCGAGTCGGCAATCGAACTACGACGGCGAGGGATATGGCGTGACACCGTCCAGCGAATACAGCAATGATCCACTTGCAGAGTCAACGGCTCAGGAGCAAATAGAGCCGCACTCTGCCAACCCTTCCACCGCCGCCCGCCAATTTGATACACCCAGTAACGACTCGCCAGACTCGGCCCATGTGACTCGAAATGATGAGTCCTTGGATAGTGGCTCGGAGACCTTCGAGACGCCACTCGAATCCGCTGACTTTCACAAGCCCCAAGAAAGCAGTCGGTCTGTAACGTCGGGTAATTTCACGCGGGCACTTGACCATCTGCCCGATGAAAGTGCGCACACTGTCCAAGGCACCGATGATCTCTTCGACGACACTGACGACGCCGAGGATCAGGATGACTATGGTGAAGCTGTTGTCTATCAGAACTCGGACGGGTCCGCTGAGATCTCGCCAAGCGGGGAGAAGACAGTATATTCGACAAGGGGCGACGAGAACAACACAGCGCTTGGTGGCCATCGCTCCTCGCTCAGTCTGGGCAGCGTGGGCCACCGCTCGCAGGGTAGCATCAGCAGCATGCGCGACATGACCCCCGTGCGCCCCACGTTCGGTTCTTATATTGGAGGACCGAACGTTGTTCGTGCGGATTGGGCAGCGGAGCACGAAGACCAGTTGCGCACACCCTCTTCATTGAATCCAACACCACAGCTGGGCCCATCCACGACGCACGATACTCCTGAGATCAGTCCATTCGCACTGCGCAATACGCCAATGCCAAGCCACGGCAGTGACCAGAGGGGATTGAATTCGAGCATGTGGAACCCGGACAGGCCGCAGACGCCGGCTTCAGCAGCGGCGCAGAGCAATAATCCCTTCACGACGCCCCAGCGGCAGCCCGAGCCTGAATTTGATTCCTCTCTCTTCGTGCCACGTGACGTTACACACGGTCGCCAGGACTCTGTTCCGGCGTCATTGCACAGCCAGACCACGCTCGACTCCTCATGGTCGTCGCCGGTGCACTCGTCTCTACCCGTGGACAGGCATGAGCCCGTGATCCGTGATAGCTGGCCGGCTCCGGCCCCTGGCTACCAGCAGTACCTTTCGAGCTGGTCATCTCGACCACGCGGAGACACCACGAGCACTGCTGCCGAGTATGATCCCTTCAAGCCCGACAACGACCGTGCGCCTGGCGGCCAAGCTGCGAAGCATCCCTCAAGCTACAATCCGTTCCTTGAACGGGGGCGTGCCGAATCTTCAGCCAGCACTGCTCCCAGCAATCCGAGTGCAAGCAATAGCCCTAGTCGCGGGAGTGCTTTGTTCGCCAAAATGAGGAACATTTTCGAAGGCCAGGGCCAGAATGGCGCCAGCGACATTCCTGCTAGTCCAGGCAAGACGCGACCTGTGTCAGGAGTATTCCATCCCGTGGCATCTGTTCAGAGGAGGTCCCAAGACAGTGCCCCTGGGCACCGCGACGACGAGCGCGGTGGGTTCCTCAATGAGGCAGATCATGAGATTGATGAGCGTAGTGCGTTCCTGAGGAGTGACGGGCAACCATCGGGCCACTGAACACGCTCGGACCGAGGTGAAGAGACTAAGCAACGGTCATGGCCTGTGGCAAGACCCAGGCTGAGGAAGGTTGTACAGACGATCGACTTGCGGGCAGAGACGGCAGATGACGTACACTCTGACAGGATGGTCAATGTGGCCGAGGGCAGGGTAAGCTCTGCGTACACGATTAACCCGCAAGTAGAATCGGACTCGGAGTTCCGTCTCGCTTGGCTGTGGGTGGAAGGTTGGAGGGCTCAGCTGCGCAAAGGCGGCGACACGGTCGAGAGGGCGAGGTGGGAATGGAAGATGGATGAACTGCTGGGAAATAGTCGGAACAATAAGGCAAGGAATAGTATCCCGGACATTGTGGCGAGACTACCGGGGGCCCTGAGAAAGAGTAGTAATTGCAACCGAAGGAGGCGCCACGGCACAAGGAAGAGCGTGCACTGGCCGGACGAGGACCGCGGCCTGTTAAGCATAGATGAGCGTGCATCTTGACTGGCTGTTTTCCGTGGTGCGCGATTTGTCCGCGAAAACTTGGTAGTAATTCGTGGTCTTTTTGGCAAAAAGAAACAAACAAACAAACAAATAGGTATTGATAATATGCTACACTTTGGGCTGATTCTGCGCCGGCGAGCCGAGGTGAACTCGAAGCTTGCGGTGCGGTAGGCCGGCTCCGAGCCACGGGCAACGATTGGAGCAATATTCAGGGGTAAAGTAAAGTCTGGCAGTCTGGTGGCAGCACCCTTCTGTCCTAATTGCGACCCCCCGGATAAATGCCTGCTACAGTGTCACAATCATGTGCCGGCATGTTGTGAGGAGAACCATACCTTGGTAGATTGGCCCTCAAAGTCCAGGGTGGTATCAGTGAATTGTGCGTGACAGTCAGCCTGCGTCCCATCTCGTCCTCGGACTATGAGGCGCCGACGGAGAAGCGGAAGCAGCTACGGATGCGCAAGCAGAGGTCGCAAGGAAGCCCTGGAGCCGGGCGTGCTGCAGAAGACGGAGAACTATGTATTTAATGGGAAGTCTGCTGGGCGTGATCCAAGAGCTGGATTCCATTTTGCGCGGTAGCTTCGAGTTCTGCACTTCTGCACTGCCGCACTTGAGCAGTTAACCACTCCTGAAGTCTACCCGCCAGGACAGTCACCTCCCAGTACTCACCATGAAGCTCTTGTCGGCCCTCTTCGGTGCCAGCCTGCTGGCCGCCGCTGCAAACAGCTCGCCTATGAGTTTTGACGAGTTGATGACGCCCGCCGCGCCACTCAAGCGCGCTGCCCAGGCCATCACACAGGTGACCAACTTCGGCGCCAATACGTCTGGGACCAAAATGTACATCTACGTGCCGTCTAAGCTTGCGGCGAACCCACCAATCATCGTTGCGATCCACTACTGTACTGGTACCGCACAGGCTTATTACAATGGTTCGCCGTACGCCCAACTAGCCGACCAGAAGGGGTTCATCGTCATCTACCCCGAAAGTCCGTACAGCGGGACGTGTTGGGATGTCAGCAGCCGCGCAGCACTGACGCACAACGGAGGCGGCGACAGCAACAGCATCGCGAACATGGTGACTTATGCACTGAAGCAGTACAACGGTGACGCGAGCAAGGTGTTCGTCACTGGGAGCTCGTCGGGCGCCATGATGACGGTAAGGTTTCTGGGGGAAGAGTCATGGCGGTCAACCGTTGTGAAAGAGGCGACGAACGGCGCTGAGCTCATGCTGACCTGGTGGTTCTCCAGAATGTGATGGCGGCCACATACCCGGAGTTGTTCGCCGCGGGAATACCCTACTCTGGAACCCCGGCCGGGTGTTTCTATAGTCAGTCTGGCGGCGTTGATGCTTGGAACAGTTCTTGTGCAAGTGGTCAAATTCACAGTACTCCGCAGATTTGGGCAGGGGTAAGAAATGCGTTGAAGCCATTGCCAGATGTCCTGGGTTCGAATGCTGACCCATTGCAGATGGTGAAAGACATGTACCCGGGTTTTGCTGGTAGCTATCCCAAGATGCAGGTGTACCATGGCAGTGCTGACAGCACACTGGCACCATCCAACTATAACGAGACCATCAAGCAGTGGGCTGGTGTCTTTGGATTTGACTATACCAAGCCAGATACGACGGCTGCAAACACACCACAGTCCGGCTACACTACGTATAGTTGGGGCAGCCCCGTAAAGCTACAGGGCATCTACGCTATTGGCGTTGGCCACACGGTTCCTATCAGAGGCAGCGATGACATGAAATTCTTCGGGCTGTGATAATAAATCATCAAATAACAGTCCTAAAAGAGCAAGAGGCCTGCTCCTGGTGGATACATACTATAGTACGGAGGTACTAACTACTGGTACCTGGGCAGTCAGGCGCCTAAAGTCAGTGAGGCTGCCAAAGGTTGCTCTGGTTTTGAATTGGGCAGATTCTTTGAAGATTGGAATTTGGAAGTCGCACATCACCCAGCCCTTGAATGGAAAGACAATCACACTGTTTTGCGATCACCGATTTTGCCTGAACGCTCAGCAACAACGTGGCTTCCGTTAACAAAGTCATCAAGCCCATTTGTTCCCTGCCCTGGGCATGTCGTACACCGCCGATTACGCACAAAATTATTTGATGAGGCGATAAAGAAGGCGGGAATGGGGTTCTCGGCCGGGGCAAATTATCATCGCAACACATACATAATATACATAGGACTAGAAGTGAAGCAAGCGCTGAATGACCAATCAGTGCTTTCAGAGGGGCACGGAGACACCTGCATATATGGCCTGGCCCAGACTGTCCTTGGAGCAGACTTTTGTGCTTCGGACCTATAGCTGGGTAGCATATCGTATTTTGAACCATGTATTGACACCGTATGCTTTTAAAGCGCAGGGTCTTGAGCGTTTACTATCGTATAAAGGCGCCATGTCTGTCCTCGGACGTATGCGGAATAAAAGCGAAACCAGATAGCTGGGTAGAGCAAGAGATTGTGAGGAATGGTCAAAAAGCCCCGGGGCGGGTCAAAGCCTTCTCATATCGCCGGGTCCAGGATTGCCGTCGGGCAGTCTGGGGAGAGCACTTCAATTGAGGAAACGAGAGGTCCTCAGGGCCAAATCAACCGGTAGCATCTCCGCGATTGAGCGACGGGGTCGGGCTGCGTGACAGCTGAGCATGAGGAGGAGGGGGACGACAAGGATTGGCCAACAAGCTTTATCAACCTATACAAGCTTTTGGCCAAGACAGACCCGCAGAGAAAGCTGACATTGTGGGCGCCTTGCCGCGAGAGTGAATTTTCCGTCATGTTCTAGTGCAATCGTCCAGCATGCCCACCACGCAATGATAAAATTGGGACGTGTCGATAGGTGCAGTCGGCTCATGATAAAAAGGCCCGCTTCCATTGGCTCTGAAGGGGAAGGATCTGTGGATCCGGCAGATTTCCCTACTGGATGTGGAAGCTTGATAGTGACCCCTGTGCCGAAACGGCCGGATCCCGAAGGGCACGTTCGTGGTGGATGCATTGAAGCTGACGCAGTGGCCAATGTGTAGTCGGCACATGAAGAAGGTACCTAAGAATGACTTGGGGGGATATCTTTGTGGCTAGACTGCTGGTCCGACAAGTGGACGAGCAATGCAGATCTCAAGGTAGTAGTAGTGCTGATAAATATTGCACGACGTGGTGAGACGTTCTTTTCCTCCCACCCGTCTTTCCTAGGTACCATTTCCCCACGCCAAGCTGCGCCATCGCCTACTGACAACTTGGCGGTCGGGTGCTCCCAACAATACTACTACACCTATGGATCCCAAGAAGGCCGGCAGCGAGGGCGAAAAGCCGCTTCCGCCAGTGGTCAAGACCGTATCCGGGAAGGGAAACCAAAGCCCCCATGATGGCTTAGGGTCAGATATCGTCAATGGCCATCTCATCGAGCTTGAGGTTGACTTGTCTCGGGTCATCGGCGAGGACGATGTCGAAGGCGACTGGGATGCTGATACGAGTCCCTTCCCAGCCGTCCGTGCTGTCGTCCCCGAGACAGATGACCCTTCAATGCCCGTCAATACATTGAGGGCTTGGTTTCTCGGCATCGTGAGTATCTCTGGGCTGTTGTCAGATCGTCATTAGCGTTCGCCGGAGCCGAAATTATGACTAACCTAACCGTAGGTCTTCGTTTTCCTCGGCGCTGGCGTCAACCAGTTCTTTGGTCTGCGCTATCCAGGCGTCCATATTGTGTCGCTGGTCGCAGAATTGATTGCATACCCAATGGGAGTCTTCCTCGCCCGCCTGCTGCCTATTAGTCGCTTGAACCCGGACAGACACTTCAACATCAAGGAGCATGCCCTTGTCACTATCATGTCCAATGTGTCTTTCGGCTTTGGATCAGCCGATGCCACTAATATCATACAGGCCGCTAAACTATACGGGTTTTCATTGCAGACTGGCTTCAGTGTACTTGTTGTGCTGTGCTGTCAGCTGCTGGGCTACGGCGTTGCGGGATTGAGTGCCAGGTGGCTGGTTGAGCCGGTAAGTCCACTCAATACCTAGGTAGCCTCCATTCCAAACATGAAAGCAAGAAAGACAACAATGAAATTCAAAATGCCGTTCTGAGTTGCCTGAACTCGCCTGCTTGAAACACTTGAGGATGTGTGACTAACGGCGGATAGGCGAGCATGATCTGGCCGGGTGTGCTGAGTAACGTGGCTTTACTGACCTCGCTGCACTCGAGAGCCAACGCAATAGCCGACGGCTGGAAGATGTCACGTATTCGGTTCTTTCTAGTCGTAGGAGGCTGTGCGTTTCTTTGGTATTGGCTTCCTGGCCTGATGTGGACAGGTCTCTCTTACTTTACCTTTATCTGCTGGGCAGCCCCCAAAAACGTCGTTGTCAATCAGGTCTTTGGAATGGTCACAGGAATGGGCCTCTTCCCTTTGACACTAGATTGGTCCATGGTCGCCTGTAAGCATCACTTTTCAGCTTTCACGGATCCTCGTCTTTCATGTGCTGCTGGAATGATCTGGAATACAGCACTTTGGGATCCGTGGCAGGACTAACTTCATCAAAAGACAACACCAATCCTTTGCTGAGCCCCCACTGGGCTGCAGCAAATGTCTTCTTCGGCTTCGCCCTGTTCTTTTGGATCATCACCCCAGCGCTTTACTACACAAACACGTGGTTCACCGCGCACCTGCCTTTCTGCACCGCAGATGTCTACGATCGCTTCGGACAGGTATATGACTCCTGTGAGTGCATTCATACACTCCGAATACCATATGAAATACTGACTCTCAACGTTGATGATAAACAGCGAAGGTGATCACTGGCCAACTTTTCGACGAGACTAAGTACAGGGACTACTCACCTCCTTATCTCCCAGCTACATTTGCCTTTGTGTACGGACTGTCTTTTGCTTCCATCACGTCGGTCCTGTCACACGTTTACTTCTTCCACTGGGATGAGATCATACACGCCCTGCGGGGTTCAACAAAGCTTGATATTCACTCAAGGATGATGAAGGCATACAAGAGAGTCCCATTCTGGTGGTTTCTTTCCATTATTGTCATTGTCCTGTGAGTTGGTTACCTTCCAAAACTTTGTGGTCCCGTCATTAATGGTTGTACAGCGCTATGTCTATTGCCATGACCGAGGTCTACCATACTGGTCTTCCTGTTTATGGTATTTTTCTCGCCTTCGTCATACCAGTGGTCTACATGATACCATGTGGAATGATCCAAGGTGTGACAAACGTGGATGCCAATCAGGTCAATGTCTTGTCAGAGTTCATTGGTGGCTACCTGTTCCAAGGAAAGCCGATAGCCAACATCTTGTTCAAGATACTCTCCACAGACGTTGTCGGCCAGGGCCTTTACTTCGCATCAGACATGAAACTTGCTCATTACCTCAAAATCCCCCTGCGGACACTGTTTTTTGCACAGGGAATCGCCACCATTCTGGGTGCATTGACCCAAGTCGGTGTTACCTTGTGGATGTTGGGAAATGTCGAGGGTATCTGCACTTCAGACCAGCCCAACGGCTTTACTTGCCCTAACGGCCTTACGGTCTACTCATCGTCAATAATCTGGGGGCTCATCGGACCAGGCCGCCTATAGTAAGCAGCTTCTAAACACAATCTTTACCCCTTGAAAATGAACATACCCCTGCTTCAGGTAAACATAACAGAGACTTCACGGGCTTCAGATTTTATGACAGGCTATAGCCATCCTATAGCCTACTTACCACCACATTCATATTAAGCTATTTACTTCTATGGGTATTTGATGACTAACTCTTAAAAGCTCTGTCGGCAAAATTTATAGTGGTCTATTACATTTCTTCTGGATTGGCCTCGTTTTGCCCCCAATCACATATTACATTTTTAAGAAGACGAAATCTGAGTTTGTCCGCAAGATCAATTGGCCGCTGATCTTTGTAGGAACATATAATGTGCCACCGGCAACGGGGGTGAATTTCAGCTCATGGTACCTTGTGAACCTTATCTTCAACAAGATCCTGTTTACCCGCTTCAGGGCTTGGTGGACCAAAGTAAGTTAAGCTCACCTAGCCTTACAACGGAACAAAAAACACCCGTTTTATGGTCATCTTTAACTGACTAAATGATTTTCGGTAGTACAATTATGTTCTTGCCGCTGCGTTAGACACAGGGCTCGCGATCTCGGGAATCGTTATATTCTTCGCTAGTGAGTCGTGTCGGATAGCCCTGACTCTTTCTTAGTACCTCGAACTGAAGCGTTTGGGTGTGGTTGATAAAAATGCCCTATTCGATGTGCGATCGTACAAAAGGCCCCTGGCCTTGATTTTTCCACATTTACGTGTTTTCACTTATGTGGCTTTGGATGTGATGACTAACAGTGCCTCAGTAACATACGGACCAAACCTCCAATTTCCTGACTGGTGGGGCAACACTGTCTGGCAGAATACGGCGGATGGTCTCGGCACACCGTGGCTTCAAATGCCATCAATTGGGTACTTTGGCGGTGCGAATGGTACCTGGGTGTGACCACAGGTTTTCAGACGTATACGGGAAGTTTACATAGACAGATGTTGGCTAGCCGCCAGAGCTTCAAGGGCCCACGCAGGCTTTTGAATCCAGCGTTCCTGAGCAGGTGGAACCGGAGCTGGACGGTGGTGATTAGGTAACTTTCAGAATCAGGCACTGCGCATGATGTGTGTGAATGCCCTCCATCCACCCATCTGCCTACGCAGATGTTTGCAGACTGTCCTCGCTACTATTTGTTTTCTAAGATCAAAGGCTTCAGCCAGAATGTATTTTCTCTTTCTGGTTTGCCTTCTATTCCGTAGACGTCTGCGGACATGCACGTCCATACCTATACAATTGTATTTTTTAAACGCTGGTCTTGAGCGTTTACCACTGTATGAGGGCGTCCCATACGTTTTGTATGCATGTGGATGAGAAACGAAACCACCTCCTGGTCTCACTCAGTATGTCTAATCCCTTTGGACTCTGGACCGGCCAAGTCCGACTAACCGCTGAGCTGAGATACAATCTAAGTGGTTTCGTTTCTAATCCCAATAATCTGAAGACTACAGTAAAGGCCTCATGTCCGAGTGCGTTTCACCGCTTCGATATTCCCTTCCTGCTCGTGCCCTTCATCTGTCCTCACACATTGTACTGAGGATGTTAAGAAATCATGCTAAGGGAAACATCGGTATTGGCTCAGATCATACCAAACATCGTGATTGTCAACTCATAGTCACATCGGCAAGGTTGGCAAGTAGTAGAACTGCTCAGTGAAGTCAACGTATCCTGGTGGGTCCCAAGGTCTAAAATAAATTAAAGGAGACCAGATATTCACACACCCATTTTCAGATGCCGCACACCCTTTAATACCGAGCATGTAGCCTATACGTTAAAAGATAAGTTCTTCTCTAAAAATGCCGGTAGGGTAAAGGGAGTAAGCCTTGGAGCGTAGTATATAGTATAAGTAGGGCCAGTAGGCACAATGTAAGCCTATAGGATTAAACTACCGTCTTCATTTTGCTTAAAAATAACGAAGACTTCTTCCTTACAGTTATAAAGACTTTTAGATAGTCTGATCGAGTTGGTTAGAGAGCGTAGAAGGTAAGCGGTATCAGAAAAAAGGGGCGCGGATATCCGGTCTCAATTAAAAAGGAGAAGCTTTGATTGAGCAAACCTTCTACCCTGTCAACACTGTTCCGAATGGACCGGGGGTGACGCGTCCATATTTCCTCAACTAACAGCAGTCTGAGGCCTTCCCCGCGAACAAGCAAATCATGGAGTCAGTGCATTGTTTCCATCGGGCTTAATGACTGGACAACTATGCATGCAGATGCTGTCACCTACCATCACGGGAGTGACAACTGGAAGTGTGACGGATTGAAATGTGATCTGCGTCTAGACCACAAAGGACCCTGTTTACTGGGGCTTCTTACGTAACTGGCCTTCAGGAGATTCATATTCTTGAAACGCGGGAATATTTCCCTGATTGCGTTTAATAAGCTCCAAAAGTTTCTGAAATACAGTTCGTCCGGTCTTTTAGAGTGTCCCGCAGTCCCCGTAGGGCTCGGCATTCAGGGGCCGGAACCAAGGGTGTGTAGCTCAAGGGGGGCCCACAAAAGCTCGAGGCTGTCCTACGGCTCTACAATATATATATATATATATATATATTCGACATTCGGAAAGCAATGAGTAGATGCTCATTTCATCCAACCCACCTCAAAAGCCTCCTCCGGCCAGGCTCCATCCACTCGTTTACCCATCAGTCCTGGTGACCCGACAACAACCACAAACCACAATGCAGATCTCTATTCAGACCGTTCTCGCAGCCGCGCTGCTTGCGCCCAGCGCCAGCTGTGCACCTTTCGATTGGAGCTCCTGGGGCTCCTGGGGCCAATACACGTCCGCAACTCCATCAACGCCTGCTTCCGCCGCCGCGGCCGCCGCGACACCGTCGACTTCTACCTCCAACTCCTCGCTGTCTTCTGATGCCCAGAAGGCGCTTGACGCACACAATTCGGCGCGTAGCGACGTTGGCACTGCAGCGCTCGTGTGGGATGACACCCTCGCTTCAAACGCCCAGGAGTATGGCGAGACGCTGGCCTCTCAATACGGTAGTACAGGCACGCTCGAGCACTCTCAGGTTTCGGACCAGGGCGAAAACCTGTACTGGCAGGGAGGCAGCGGCGATGATATCCCAATGACTAACGCCGCAAACATGTGGATTGGCGAGAAGTCACAATACAACGGAGAGGTCATCACAGCGAGCAACTACATGAACTTTGGTCACTACAGTAAGCACTATCTGAGATCAACCTAGACAAGCAACGCAGACACAGCTCGCTAATCAATACCCGTGAAACAGCCCAAGCGGTCTGGAAGGATACCTCCAAGGTGGGCATTGCTGCTGTGTCTGACGGTGCTGGAGGCTTCTATGTTGTCGCTCGTTATCAGGAGCCTGGGAACATGATCGGCGAGGCGGCATACTAAATAAGGAGCATATTTCAGCCAGTCAAAGCTGCAATAGCGTCGATCTCACGGATATAATGTCCCTGAGGGTTAAAGCGCGATTGTTCACTTCTTGTTCACTACCATTTTCAGAGGATATAAATATCTGGCATGCACATTAGACATTTGTTCGACGTTGGCCTATTTCGCAACTATTATGGTCAGAGCCCGTAAGCAAGTAAGAAGGCTGTCCTGTGGGAAAGTGCTACTACACAAGTATAAGCTTGTGGTTTTGCTGCTAAATAAACATTTCCTCTTGGTTTGACTGCCCAGGTGGGTTGGTTTAAGAATGAAGAAGAAAAGCCTGACTAGCTGCGATGGTCCTTGGAATGCATGCCAACGTCATGTTTCCCCACAAGTCAAATTTGGAATAGATAATTTCGATCTGCTCAAAGCTGGAGCCCAAAACGGTTGTAACACGCCGAAATCCAACATGGCGGGTAAACACTTGGGCCAAGGGGAGAGCCGCAGATCGTGACCTGGGTTGGGCGCGGGGATGTCTACAGGTCAGAATCCAGGGCCTTGTTGTTCCTCCAAAAGCCTGACTCCGTCTTGAAATGGCCGATGCTTATTTTTGGCTCGTTAACGGAGCAATGTGGCCTGTGTCGGCCAACCACTACGCTGTGCCGCCGCTCCCTTTGGGGGTGGCTGGGGCCCGTTTCAACTACGGCTAACACGGGACGGTGTTCATGGTTCGCGCTAACCTGGCTATTCTGGGCATCAGAAAATAGCAACCAACGTCTGGCGCAGTTGATAAAATAGCTTTAGAGGACACGGAAGAGATTTCTTTTCTGCTCAGTCCCATTTCCAATGAGTTGAAGCACGCCGGTGTATTCCTTTCTAGTTTGCAAGCTCTGGCGTAGATTTTCCTGTTCCGCACACGCTGGTAACGCACCTTGTTCATCAGTGCTGGGTTGCTTTAGATACATCTAGTTACTTGCATACTGCAACCACGATGGTTTACTTCCACGATGACAGCAGCACCGCTAGCCTCCTCCACAAATCTGCGGTATCGATCACCGAGGACGGCGTCACATCAGTCTATGATGAAACAAGACAAATGACGAGTGGAATTATAACTGCTCAATGCGGTATGCTTGAGCACTGTGAGTGCTATAGCATATCTTGCCAGAACCGCAAGATGTAAATTTTTACGGGCTATCCCTCTCGGTAACATTTCACACTCGCTAACCCAACATCATCAGACAACTTCCAGCTACCACACAGACTATATTTGAGTCCTGGACTCTGACGTACCATCAGCCCACGACGCACGTCAGCTCACAGCTTAAGAAGTTCTGCATTTTTCGTTGTTTCCTGAAGAAGGATACATCCATACCAGGTCGAGTCATTTCCCTCGAGCAAAAAACACAATTTGGCCAGAACGAGCTCGCCGAGGTAGTGTCTTGTCTTCGAGATCGGCACAAGCCAAAACTCTTTAGTTCAAGGAGTTATGAGAAAGATGTCGAAACTCGACTGAGAAAGATTGACTGGTCGGTCCAGGACGAGCTTGATAAGCTCATTAGGGACCGCACTGGGAACCCCAGCAACTCATTTCGACGGAGGCAGTACAAGCTTGTCGTTCTCTTAGAAGTACTCAGCAGTGAGATGACCGATGCGGGGGCTGGAACGCAGTGCAATAAGGCGTGGTGTAAACCCATAAGAAAGCTGAAGCGCATCAAAGTGCCACTCGTGGAGTACCGTGTAATCCTTCGAGGAAACGAGGTTTAAGCAGTGACGCTGGCTGGGGCATTTACGACAGATATACCTGGGCCTGGAGGCTGGCTGAAGACGTCGAGCTCCCGAACGCCAGGGAGAAAAGCGGGTACCAAGAGATGTTGAATTGAGCGTCCCTCCTCGTGTTATGACCGCCTGCATGGCCCTGTCAGGCTATTTAATTTTCAATTTTACAATGCCGACACATTTCCCATTGGCATTGGTGGGTAATTGAGGACTCCAAGGCGTCGTAGGGAGGCCCACGGTTGCTGGGGAGTTCAACACGCTAATTCAGTTTCGCCTTGCCTTTCGTCCTATTTTTCTCCCAGGATTGATAGTGGTCATTCAGTGTCTCCTCTAAACTTCGGTAATCGAGCCCCAGCTCGCTGATGCTTCTGGTGTTATCAACGGCGAATTTGACGCCAAGATTGCCGGACATCCATTTTTGTGACAAACCGAACAATGGGCCGACGAGTCTGACCAAAGTTGTTGGGAGCTGGAAATTGGGTACCCACGGTGTACCGTTTCTAAGCTTCTTGAAATGCTTTGAGATTTCCAAGAATGTTGTCGTCTTGGGTGGGCCAACGATATATCGGCCGTAAGCCTCCTTGAGCTCGGCAGCCCGTATATGCGCAGAGGCGACGTCCCGCACATCTACCGGAAGAAACGAGAGATCCGGCACGCCATAGAACATCAAACCTGAGAGCAGCTCGTCCATGAGGAAGAGGGAACCTGATTCCGATGACGGCGTAAGAGTTGGGCCGAGGACGAAAGCGGGACAAATGACCACCAAGTCCCAGCGACTCTGCCCCGATTGCTGTTGCTCTTCAAAGATCTTCCAGGCCTCTTTCTCCGCGAGGACCTTGGAGTAGTGGTATGGGTTGTGCTTGACGGTACTAGTCTCGTTGAAGTAGTCATGGCTCATCACACGCATCTTATCAATAACATCTTTGTAGTCGCCTGCTATTGCGCCCGCTGTTGAATATGTCAGCCATGGTTCCGCTCTGAGCGGCGGGACAAAAGTACACCCACTTGTCGACGTGAAAACCACTCTCTGCACGCTAAGTGTGTCCTCCACAGCCTTGAGGACGTTTCTAGTCCCCTGTAGTGCTGGTTGAACCATCTCTGAATAGCCATCCTTGATCTTTTCGGGCACTTTGAATGGCGACGCAACGTGAAACACGGTGTCGCAACCCCGCATGGCTGCGTGGAAGGAGCCCGGTTGCAAGAGGTCAGCCTCAAAAAGAAGCAGCTTCCCCTCCGGATGGTGTGTCTCTAAATCCTTCAGACAAGAAACCTTGGCGGCGTTCCCTAAACTTCGGACGGTGGCGTGGACGGCATACCCCTGGGCAAGCAGCTGTGAGATTAACTCCAGTGCGACAAATCCACTGCCGCCAGTCACGAGGACTGGGTTGGTTCTTGATGCATTTGGTGTCATGGCGTCATTGGTGCTGAAAGGATTGGACAGAGAAAGACACAACGAGAACAGCTGGGTGACAGCGCGCTAACTTTTATCTAGTACAGAAATTCAGGGCAGCGAAGGATTCTGGACAGGTTCCACAAGATGGAGCCATGGTAAGCACCGACGCGAGCCTATAACAAATAGCTTCTATTAAGGAGCTAAAGCGGCAGGGTGGTATGCCGACCGAGCTCGAGATGCAATGAGCGCGCGTACCTTGCCAAGTTTCGCCAGACCCACATGATAATCACCCTATGTAAAGTAATACAAGATGAGACCGAGTCCCCGTATTGACGACGAAAAAAAGAATGGCCGGCAAGAATCTCCGATCTGAACCAACAAAACGACAAAAAGGAACCAGTCGATCGACTTGGGACTCGAACCCAAAACCTCATCATCGCTTCCAGAATAGGAGTGATACACGCTACCATTGCGCCAGCCGACCAGTCTCACATCAAGCAAGTAGGAGCATGATACGGATCTAGTCTTATAATGTTGAATATAATTAAAACTATTTTACTACTAATAATTTAATAACTTAATAACTTATTATTAATAAAATATAAACTATTATAAAAATAATAAACTATAATAAATTAATAATTATAAATAAATAATAAGAAATAATTATTAAAAATTAAATTTATAATTATATAAAAATAAACTTTTATTTTAAAAAAGTTATTAATATTTAAAATAATTAATATATTTTTAAAAAGTTAAAAATATAAACTTAATTTAAAGTAAATTAAAATTTAAAAGAATATTAAATTTAAATTTGAAAGTTTTAATTTAATTTTATTTATTTAAAAATATTAAATAAGTTTAAAAATTAAATTAAATTAAAAATAAAATAAAGTTATAATAATATAATATAATTAAATAAATAAATAATTATAAAATTATAATTCTAAGTTTTTAAGTTTATATTAAAAGAATATTTATTAATATATATTTATACTTATTTATTATTATTTAAAAATATTATATATATTTTTAAATATATATAAAATAAAACTAAAACTATATATATTTATATTTATATAAGTTATTTAATTAAAAGTTATAAAGTTACTTATAAATAAATTATATAATACCTTTACTCTATTAAACTCTCTAACTTTATTTTAAATAAATATTATTAATACTTTAAGTAGATTAAGATATGTAAGTAGAGATCCTATCTTGCAATTTAGACGCAGCTTCTAACCTTGGGTGTAAACTTGTCAAGTCACCCTTACAATTAAATAATTTAAGCCTCTCAACCATAGACTTGTTGGTACTGAACGAGACTTTTCTCATTTATCTGAAATCCCTTTTGACCTGGACTCATTTACGTATTCGAAGCCCAGGCTGAACCCTACACCAACAATTCCGGCCACTTCCAGACCTGCACATTTTGCAGCATCTCCAATCCCTGGTCCCAATGACCTTCTTGTTAGGACATGGCTGGTTCGTTGCAAGACCTTTGGTACAAGGCAGGGTGTCTTCTTCCAATCGTGATGTGTTGCAGTGGATGCAACGAAAGTAGCAATAAAGCAGGAGACACATTGTGACCACGCACTGATGCAGTACGTGTGGGAGCAGTGGTATGGGTATGGCCCGGCTTGGTTTGGTTTTCGAGCTTCGTAGTAGAGTGCTTGGTAATTGACCCAACTAACAGTTGCGTGATTGATTGAATGACAGGTATTGGGTGTGCTGTGGAGTGAAATGAAGATGCCGACTGTGGGGCTGCTGGTGCGCAGACAAAATGGCCTTGGCAAGTTAAAGCGACGACTGAAAGCCCTGTTGAAGACATTTAAATTTGCCCGAGACCTTCGAACTCTAGGCCCCAGAGCCGTGTGTTTGAACAAAGAGTTGCAGCTGATTGCCTCACTCGGCCAAATACGGGTCCCCCTGGCCGCGAACGGTAACTGCAAAATTGCAAGCTGGACAAAGAAGCAGGGAAAGAGGAATGAATACCAAACGTGAGACACGCTCAAGTCGTATTTTTGTGAAGATTGTTTCGATGACTGGCGTGAGAAACGGTTTTTCTAATTATCTTATGTTACCTTAGTAAATTATACTCCACCAGTGAAAGAAAGGGTTGAGGTCTGCAAGCAGCTGCAGCCACCCGCCATCGTGGGATTCGTCTCGAAGAATTCCACCTAGATTCCACCAAGTCCGACCGGATCCATCGCATCCATGCCAAGTTCCCAGGTGGTTGGAACGCCCTGCTGTTCACCTGAAGAAGCCATGGGATTATTTGCCACGCTCAGAGACTGTGGCATTTCCTGCACGATGTTTTGGCAAGGTGCAGTGGACTTGCCAAACGTAGATGCATCGTTGGCGCGTGAGCTTCTACGGAGTACCATCTCTGCGTAAGCCGTGTACTGTGCTTCCTTGCTACTTTAATTAGGCGTCATACCATCGTGGTAGCCATGTCGCTCTCCTCGCCTTCTCTAGCAGGTGGCACACATTCCCAAGGGTTTGCTAGTGTAGACCTTCTTCATTCTATTCCAGCATCTACTCATATACTATCTTCTATAACCGCGTTCTATCTTAATATTAGATTAAAAGTAAGGAGAGTATATATTATATAATAAAATAGTTTATATTAAAATTATTATAATATAAATAATAATATAATATTATATAATTATTATTAAATTTAATAGAAATTAAAACTTTTATTTATAATTATATTAAATATTAATAATTATATTAAAAATTATTTTTATAAATTTAATTTTTTTATAAAAGTTTTTAAATTATTTTAATATATTTTATAATTAACTTTTTATTTAATTATATTATATTATTATTATTTTATTAATATTAAATTAAAACATTTATAATTATAATGTTTTTATTAATTTATATTTAAAATTATAATTATAATTATTTTTTTTAAATATAAAATTAAAAGGTTTATAATTATAAAATTTTAATTAATTTTAATTTAATTATTTTATTTTATTATAATTTAATTTAATTTAATTTAAATTTTTTTTAAAATTCTTTTAATTTTTTTATTTTTAAATAAATTAAACTGTCGGTTGGCTTAGCTTACGCGTAAGTAGGTGAAAGTGGTGTATATTGGTGTTGGTTAGAGGTCTGCCTGGCTGGGCGGCGAAGCGCCCAGTTGGGTTGGCCAGACCTGCTGACTAAGCTAAGTGGTCCGTGCGTAGGCACGGACCCACTAATCTTGCTTGCAGTGCCTGCAGTGGCTAATCCACTGCAGCCTACTATTCCCACATAAACTTTTATATTTTTTAAATTTAAATTTAAAATTTTTATAAATTTTAATATATTTTAAATTAAATTTATAATCTTTTAATTTTTTTAAAACATATATTAATTATTTTAAATAATAATAATTTTTTTAAAAATAAAAATTTATTTTTATATAATTATAAATTTAATTATTAATAATTATTTTTATTTATAATAAAATTATTAAAATTATAAACTTAAATAATTAAATATAATTATTTTATTTAAAAGTTATTTTTAATTTAATAAATTATTTAAATAATTATTATTAAATAATTTTATTTATAAAATTTATAATTTTAAATTTTATTAAATAAATATTTATTTAAATAAAATTAAAACTTTTAAAAGAAAAATAATTTTTATTTTATTTATTTTAATTAATTAATTTAAATTATATAATAATTTTATATATAATATTTAATAATATTAAAATTAAATAATTTATAATTTATAATAATTTTAATTTTAATAAATTAATTTATATTAAAATTAATAATATTAATTTAAATAAATTAAATATAATTTAATATATTAATATAAAAATTAATTTTTAATAATAAATAATATTATAAATATAATAAATTATAAAATTATTATAAAAGTTTTATATAATAAATTTAATTAAATTAACTTTTAAAAATATATTTTATTTTATTTATTAAAAATTTTAATTATTTATTTTAATTTAATAATAAAATTAAAAATATTAATAATTTTATAATTATAATTATAATTATATTTTATATTTTATATTTTATATTTTATATTTTATATTTTATATTTTATATTTTATATTTTATATTTTATATTTTATATTTTATATTTTATATTTTATTTATATTTATATTTTATATATTTTATATATTTTATATATTTTATATATTTTATATATTTTATATATTTTATATATTTTATATATTTTATATATTTTATATATTTTATATATTTTATATATTTTATATATTTTATATATTTTATATATTTTATATATTTTATATATTTTATATATTTTATATATTTTATATATTTTATATATTTTATATATTTTATATATTTTATATATTTTATATATTTTATATATTTTATATATTTTATATATTTTATATATTTTATATATTTTATATATTTTATATATTTTATATATTTTATATATTTTATATATTTTATATATTTTATATATTTTATATATTTTATATATTTTATATATAAATTAAAAATAAATAATAAAGATTTAAAATAAAATATAATATATTTTTAAAATTAATTTAATTAAACTTATTATATAAAAGTTTTATAATAATTTTATAATTATTTATAATATTATTTATTATTAAAAATATTATTATATATTAATATATTTTTAAATATAAAATTAAAAGTTTATAATTATAAAACTTTAATTAATATTTATTTAATTATTATATTATATTATATTATATTATAATTTAATTTAATTTAAATTTTTAAAACTATTTTTAATTTTTCTATTTTAAAAATTAAAATTTATATTTTTAAATTTAAAATTTAAAAGTTTTATAAATTTTAATTTATTTAATATTAAATTTATAATTCTTTAATTTTTAAAATATATTAATTATTTTAATAATAATAAACTTTTAAAAATAAAATTTATTTTATATAATTATAAATTTAATTATTAATAATTATTTTTATTTATAATAAAATTATTAAAATTATAAATTTAAATATTATATATAATAATAAAATATAATTATTTTATTTAATTATTTTTAATTTAATAAATATTTATTTAAATAAAATTAA